TTCCTCTCTTTTTCTCGAAAAACTGTCAAAATCATAAAGCTGTCGGACACATGTGTCTGGTTTTTGAAAAACTAAAAGAATCGTCTAGATGCACCATTCTGATTTCATCCCCCTTCTCGCCCTCCGCGCCGCCGACTCCTAACTCCGCCCCATTTTGAAGAAGTCGTTGGCGGTTTTTCTAACAAAAATTCTTCATTGAATAGACAGAGGGGGCCATTGGAGCACCGGGGGCATCATGTTCAGACAAAAAAATCCGAATGGAATTTATTTGTGCCTTCTTTTTCTCTTTTTTTCCATTTTTTCTACGACGTCTTCTGGTGGTAGTGCTCTGTGGACCTTGATGGATTCTAACTTATAAACCAAAGTAAAAGAAAAAGGATGAATGGGGTTGTAGTAGGAGAAGAGGAATCCATAAAAAAAGAGCAAGCGAACGAACGAATGAGCTGATTCCTTTCCTTGTTTGGATGATGAATTCATTCACTATGGGGGCAAGAAAAGGAGGAGGAAAAAGGAAAAAAAGAGATTGAATAGAATTTAGATGTATTTTTCTGGTATGACAAAAAACCTGGAAGAGATACTCTGCACAAATCTAGCAATTCAGCAGGTATCTTTATTTTTATTTTTATTCTCAGATGATGAACCCAGAGCTAGACGTTCATAGATTATTGAAATGGAAAGTGGCCCTTTTTCGAGTGTCGCCTTTTTTTGACGTGTGTAAGAACTTGTAGTGTTTTATGAACGTCTACTTCGTCATAATGTTCAAAATTTCGGCTATGGTTCCAGCTACAAAAGTGATTCACTGCTCTCGAAATTTTGTTTTGAATGACCAGACTCAGAGAACCGGAACATTTGCAAATTTTCCATCGTAATCTGAAAAAGCGTTTCAGAACGAAATCAGAGGCCATGAACATGTTTCTTGGAAAATCGTTTTCTTTCCAAAAGTCAATCGAATCATTTTCTAAACAAAAAATGGGAGAAATGTACTACAAATCTTTCAAATAATTTTCCTATCCACAATGTCAGAAAATGACTTTTAGACCAAATTTTTTTTTGTTCAAAATTAGATAATAATGTACTTAAGATATTATTATATCAACATAATACTTTTTTAGAACCAGAAAATTTGTAAAATTAAGTGTAAACATAACAAAATTAACACCCATTTTAATGAAAATTGGAGGATTTTCCACAAAAAAAATTTGTTTAGTTTTCACGCTTTTAAGTTGATTTTTGGAAATAAAAGGATTTCCGAGGAAAATGTTCAGGAATATATGTCAGTGCAGAGAACTTTCTGTCCAAAACCATTTGAATAAAATTTACGAGTCCGAAAGTAGCAGAAGATATAAAGGAAGACCGAATGAATGGAATACTATCGTTGCATTTCTAATCGGCACCCACTAACCGCTCCTCCTACAAAGTTGATGTTGTTTAGAGATGGGTATAGTCTGGGTCGAGGGGTAGCAGTAACAAGACAGGGCATGACTCAAAGCGAAGAAAAGAAATTGCAGAGACTGATTGTTAAAATTGGACCCGCAGGACGTCTACGACGGGAAATTAAACTTCTTAATGGCGTTAAGACTGAAACTCACAACTTTTTCTCTTCGCTTTGCTACTCCTTGTTTCATTTTTTTTTTCTTCGCCTTCTTTTTTTGCCGTTTTCCTCTAAACAGGAAACGTTGTCATGAAATGAAACGAGGAGGCAATTATGTTTCTTCCTACTTTCTTTTTGGAAAGATTGGGGGTGAGTAAAGAACCAGTGCGTAGGTTTTCGAAGGTTCCAAAAAAAAACGATTAGGTGTGGCGGAAGAAGATGAATAAAAAAAGCGAAAAAATTTCAGTGAAGAAAAAAAACTATTTGCCACGTCATATGTCACACTTTAGTGCCGTGAAAAATGGAAAAACTGGAAAAGAAATAGTGCCGTCTTGCTCGAATTCAACCCATCTCTTACTTATCTTCTCTATCCTTGCATGCCTAATAAAATTAAACTTTAGACTTCTGTCTCATCCATTTCTTCTTCGGTTTTTTTTCCTACTCCAGTTTTTTCTCCTTAGAAATCGGAAGAAAAATCTTTTTTTGTCGATTCGTCTCCCAACAACCTAGTCTAGAATGTTGCTATCTCTTTTTTATGTCTAGAGAAACACAAAAAAGAGACCATGAGCTAAATTAGTTTGAATAATTGAGTTATCGAATCTGTCACACCCGAGAATTTGCTCAGTGAATGAAACTAAATTGATCCACAAGCCAGCAATAAACGCCTCCACAACATAAAGGGGATCTCTTTTTTTGCGAGTGGTGGAACATTTACGATAAATCAATTATTAACGTTCTGCAAAAAGGATACCAGATCAGATGACGTAGCTCAAGCTACACTGATTTAATTCTAGTCAGAAGGACGTTAAGAAAAAATTTTGTGTTTTGCAGGTATACTAAAGAATGACGATTTCGGCTACAGCAGAAAGAGCCAGAAATACTTTTTCTTTGATCTACCCCCCAAAGCCGACCGACGATAAAATAAATCAAACGCCATACCAAGTAATGAAATTTGTTTTCGTAATGTTCACCGATATATTTCGGTTTTCTTAACAACTTCCAGTTTTTGGACTGCAACCCAGAATTCAGAAAAAAGGGATTTTGTCTAATACCCGAAACCCAGAAGGAACCAAAGGATATGTGGGATGAGCAATGAGAAAGATGAAACAAAAAACAGTGTATTCACTGGAATGAGATGGAAAAATGAAGAAGATCAGAAGGTTGAGATGGATGAGATTCGATCGGAACGATGCAAAAAAGAAAATTTGATCCGAATCGTCAAAAGGTCGAGAAGTATTAAGAAAAAAAATTGTTTTCGTTTATGAGCAACGGACACCAAAATAGAAATTTGATACTTTTATAAGGAAACATGTTGTTCTCTGAAAAACATGCAAAAAAAACAGGGAAATATCAGAAAAATATAAAATTATGTGAGAAAATATAAAAATGAAAATCTAAATTTTTGAGATGAGATCATGATCATTTCTGGAAGCAAATAGAAATCTTAATTTTTTGTTTCTAGGCTAAAATTCGTAATTATTTTTCGAAATAACAACTGTTGTGCAATATTTTTAAGTTATGACAAATCTAATTTGAGTTCCACTTGACAATAGTTCGAAAAATTTTTTTCGAGTTTTGATAGCTCAAATGTTGAAAATTTAGATATTCACTATATCGATGAACCGAAAAAATTAAAAGGCGATAAATCTAAAAAAAAAATCTACAACCTTAAAAAAATTTTTCGAAAAAAAAGTCTGGTTTTAGTTTCTGAAGATGCTTCAATTCAAACTTTTTAAAATTTTGAATAAAAAACATTAATTCTTTTAAAACTATTTTTTTCAGTTATCAGCTGAAAATGTTATTTTTATATTTAACGTTTCCCAACAAAATACCGTATTTCCTTTAATAGAAGCCCATCCTACTACAAACTTAAAAAACATAGAAACCCATCATCTAACAGACGTTCGTGCTGTTTGGTTTGTGCATTTTGTACAGTTCAGTTTGTCTACTCGGTTACTGCAGACATTTTCCTTAACTTCCAAAAAATTTCTAATAATTTCAGTTTTTGATAATTTCCTGAGAAGGACGTTAAAAAATAGAAGCCCATGAGCTTAAAATAGAGGAAATACGGTGTTTTTATTTTATTTTAAATATCAGCATAGAGTTCAATTTGACAATTTTTGGAAGTTTTCATTCAAGATTATAATCGAGTTTTGATAATTCTGATATTTACGAATTATTTATAGACTAACTAGATGAACCTAGATCAGGTGAATCTAAAAAATTAGAAGAGAAGTTTAAAAAACAAATGCCCAGGTTAGTTAACCAGTACTTTGAAATACCGTAAAACCTGTAACAGAACGGCCTGATTGTCAAAAGTGAGTTTTTTTATCTCATATGCAAGATATGAAAAGTTAAGGGTTGTGGATGCATTCTAATAGAATGACCCCTAACTTTAAACATTGAGCCAATCTATCTTGGTTCTTTTCTGAGATATTTAAAAACAATGACAAAGTAATTTTGAATCTGTAATAAACAGTTTATTAGTTGACAACTTTTTTATATCTTTGACAAGAAACGAGATACATTAGTTCAAAGTTAAAGGTTAACTTCCTACTACAGGTTTTTGAGCCGATTCGGGGCTCAAAATTCAACGAAAAAGTTCCTTCAAAAATATTTCACAGCTTTTCCAATATTTTGACTTTATAAATTTGATGTGTTTTTGCTAACCGTCCAAAGTAATTTCAAAAGCCATTTTTATTCATTCTGGAAGTAAGCAAATAACAAACACAACGTTTTTTCTTCAAAAAGGTTGCAACCGAAAGAGACAAAATTGGAAATATGACCGAAGCAAAACACAACAGGAAAAGGAGATTCATCTGGAAATGGGAGGAGGCGTAAGCGTGAGGAAAGTGACATTTGTAGCAAATGTATTTTAGAGGTCTATCCTACCGTAATTCCTTGTCAGAATAGGAGGGTCCAGACGGACTAAAAAACAAATGATTACATCACATTTTCCAGAAATTGAAACTACAAGAATCGGAGGATTTCCAACTACAAACTAGATGATGAGAGATGAGGGGAGGACTAAAAAGGGCATTTCGAGAAAACCGAATGCTTTCGGGAAATATAGGGCAACCATCTGCAAAAAATGAATGAGCTGTGGCGAAGAGCTCCCAATAAAATAGTGGGTCGTCGAGATGGGGTTGGAAAAATGGGTTGGAATGAGTGGGAAGATGGGGTGGGAAGATGAAAAAAAATAAAAGAGAGACATGGGAAAACAGAACACTTTTTTCCACAAAAAAGAACTCTTTGGGAAAATAGAGTGCATCCAGATTGTGGGAAAATGTTTTTTCTGAGATAAAAGTAGAGCCAGGTAAAAAGCGATCGAAAATGAAAAATATGGAAGTTTCAATATGAAATACAAAATATCAATTGTGTCTAATCAAATAATTACAATACGCAAGATTTATACAGTAGTTTCACGGAGTTCCCAAGAATTGTTCGAGGACACGCTGAATCGTTCAGTTTTGACAATATGGTCCATCTCTATTCTGGTATCTTTCTTAACCAGATTTTCAGTTTCGCCTTCAGTTTTCGACCCAGCCGCTGTCGTTTCAGCTAACTGTTTTGCTGAAAATTTTGATAGTTTCGTCTCCAGTTTTGGAATTTTGTTTTACCTTTCAGCCTCCGTTCTCTGGTAATTTTTCTATTCTCCCTTCTATGACGCCTATTTTGTCTAATTCCTCGTTTTGTGTTTTCCCACCAATCAATTAACTTGTTGAATAGTTTAACGGCGATGTGGCACCGGCACCATCTTAAAACCAAATAAATTTAATCACATATTTATTTTCAGAATACAATATTCATTAGAGCCAGGCTCACCTGTAATACAACCGTGCCGCAAACTTCATCTTGGATATTTTCGGAAGTTTTTCATACAGAACTTTGGTTCTAAAAGGAAAATACAGAAGTTCAACTTGATGATATGAACAGTACCTTTTCTCGCCACCGAGTGTGGTTTGCACCAAAACTTCAAAATGCGTGGTACCATTCAAATGACGTATCATTGTATGCTGGAAGTCCGGATTCAGAGTGCAGAGAGAAAGAAGTTGGAATGGAGCAAGCACATAGGATATCGTCCGCCTGTAAATTTGGTTAATTTGCCTCAAGCACCCGCAACATTAGATATTCAGGCTAATCAATCAACTTACATAACTGTTTTTGCATTTTTCAAAAAGAAGAAAATCTCTTGATCGGTTGGCTTTGTAGTGTAATGCAGTGAAATTTCGTAAACATCACAGAAGAGTTGGAAACCCTGTGGAAACTAATTTTCGAATTAGTTTTTCTTAAAGTGAAATTACCACATCAAAACACATGAAAACTATGGTAACACCAAAAGTTAGCGCACATCCTCCAAAGTGCAATTTCTGTTTTCTGAATTAAAAAATTTCATAAAGATTACTGAAACTCCACTCACAGTTGAAGGCCAACACCGTTCCTCTGATTCATGTGGTGTTGTAAAATTTTATACATTGCTAACACCATGTAAAGCTGAAAATATGGTTATTATATACATTTCATACAGTTTATCGTGTTAACATACAATTGTCAGAATGTATGGAATTGTATGGCTGAAGATTTGAGTTTCCCACTCTACTCCTTTCATCAGGTTGACAATCTTAAATTAAAAGTAATTTAATTCTTTGAGAGCAAAACTAACTCCAACTTTGTGAAAAATTGGGTTCAGCAACACAAAACATTTATGCTGATATTTCAGTTCGTCTCCCGACTTTGCCATGGCAATCCAGGAAATGCAGAAAATAAAGAGCACATCCAGAAGTGCTCCCTAGAATCAAACCGGATTATAAAAATAAAGGCAGGGCTACTTACGTTGACAATAACGACATAACATGTTCTCAAATTGAAATTATTCAATTTCATGCCCAGAAGAGTCGGATGAGTTTTTCGGAAGTACATTAGGAACATCATTGCAACAGTACAGTTCGAAAGATTAAACAGAAATCCTGGTATGTATTGGAAAGAGTACAAATAGAAGATGCAAACGACTTTGGAAGTTCCAACTTCTGAAAAATAATTTATTTTCCATTCATCAACGTCACCCTGTACATGCATTTTGAATCAATTACTTCAAAATCTGAAAGAGAAAAATGCCGGTGGCCGTGGCCGAAGGTCGCAAAAAAACAAATACCGCAATTGGAAAATATTTTATGTTCAGTCTTTCTTTTCTTGTTTTTACTGCTTTTTGCACAGTTTTTCTTTTAATTTACTCCAGAAAAGCCGCAAAATTAAATTGTTTGACAATTCAAAGTATTGTGAAGTTACGCTAGTTGTTGTGGGACTTTTTTCCCGGTCCACCGGCGGTTCCCATCAACAGTTCCAATTTTTGTACCAGCTCTTTGTACCAGAATTTTTTTTGTATTTAAAAATATTATATCATTTTAACAAGCTGTGATATCTTTGAAAAGAACCGATATGAACTAGGTCTAAATTCACGATGTCAGTTTTCGTACAGGCTTTACGGTTAAATCGAAAACGTCCCCAGAAATGTACAGAAACCAGTTGACTTCTAACTCACCATCCTCCTTTGTAAAATATCCAAACGTCCAGTAAAAAACCGCAAAGATTGCTGTAACGTACTGCATCCCAATCAACTCGCCCATCGCAAAACATGCAAAAGTTGTCTCGAGTTTTCGGACATGAAGCATATAAGCAACTTTGAATGAGTGATATCCAATATATGTTGATAGAATAGTTGTTAACGGGCAAATTATTCCTAGGCAAATGTAGTGAAGAACCTGTCAAAATAAAAGCATCTTGGAAACACAAAAAAATTGGATAGGTTACCAGGTTGACCTTGAAACTGATCATAACCGCTTGAAAGAGCACTTTGTTGATCTGAAAGTAGATCATCAAGCAAAAAATTGAAATAATCCCTAAAATTTGTTTCCCTAAAATTTGATTGTTGCATGTGCCATCCGTTAAGTCACTTTTCATATATTTTGTTTGTCTGACAGAAATAATTAAAATTTTTCAATAATCAGCGTCTAGCTGAAGTTCATTTTCTCGTGGGACGTATAGAAATGATGTGCGTAAAAGAAAAGTCTGCTTAAAATCCATTTCATTTTGGAGAGGTTTTCGATGATCTCAGAATGAATGAAATCATTTCAGTAGTGCTTCTTTCATCTATTGTGTGAATCAAAAATTATTTAAAATTTTAAATATTGTACTTTCTCTGACAGAACACCAAGCGTATATTTTCGTATATTCGCTTTCTATGAGGATTATTAAGAAAAGGCGAAGTCAAAAAATTTTGTCGTTTTTTGATAAATTTTTGGAGTTTCTCGAGAATTTTCTGCAGCACCTCTGCGTCCCAAATTTTCATATTTGTAAAAAGTTGTCAGACATGTCGCAGAAAGTTTGCAGAAGTGCTGCAGATAGGTGATATGGTCATTTTATGAAAAACACCTTCCTGCATCGCTTTTGCAACATATCTGCAGCCTGTTTTGTGAGCTTTCTGTGTCGTGTCTGGCAAATTACTATAAATGAAAAATTCTAAAACGCTGCAGAATGTTGTCGAGAAATCTTGAGCTTTTATCACTCGAGTTCTTACCAACCTCGCACATCTGCCTATGTGTCTGAGGGAATATAAAAAAAAGTTTGGTTATTGAGGAGGCGATGGGGCAACCATGGCAAAACTTTCCAGAAGATAAAGAGACGTGTTTATGAAAACAGTCATAAGAAAAACGAACTGACAGCAGCCCACCCAAACCATCAACGTCCAGCTCAATAATCTGAATTTCCGCAAAAGATACGAAAAATTTGTCAACTGATTAAATATTGTTTATATTATGGCAATGAATTTATCAGTTGACAATGTTTTGATATCTTCCACACGAATCGAGATAATTGAGCCCAAAGTTTGGATCACCTTCTATTCGAGAAAATACGATAGTCTTCTCATTTTTAATTTTCATAAAGGGATATGTCAGAGTTCACAACTCTAGTCAGAAAATTTGGCTTTTTCCGATGCAACGCTTTGAAGAGAAAATGTATATCTTACCATGTTAATGCTCATATCAAACTTGTAGTTTGGATACTCTATCGTCGGTCGCGGAAACGGATAATTGAACATTTTGCTCCGATTTTACACTCAGTCACAGTCCATCCTGAAAAGGAGCATAGAGTTCTCTAAAGTGCTAGAAAGCAAAGCAAGTGGTGTAGTTTTTTGGATGGGCTCCGCCTTTGAAGAGGAGTTGGGAAGAAGGCGGAGACTCGACGAAAAAATGGAAAGTGACGACAAAAAAGGATCAAATACCAAATAAAGGGAATTGAGATTTATTTTGTAAGATAGAGAAGAAAATGATGTGAAAGATGTAATATGAGTTTGTATCCATGCGGATCTTGGAAACGAGTTAATGATGATAGGTCTGAAAAACAAAGGACTTGAAGAGAAGTATACTTTCAAATCCCAACAAAAAATGACATCGGGTGAGCTTGCGCGTCGGAGTATTTGAATACGGTTGCTATGTCCAGAAGAAGAAAAAAACAACAACACGAAAAAAGAAATTTTCCGATAGCACGTAAAACATAAAACAGAGTAGTTAAGTGCGTTTTGCTTGGAAAGGAAATTTATGTGGCTTTCTGGTTTTTTGAATTATGTCTTCTTGGAGTCAATTCGAAAATGCACAAATTGCAAACGCCAATCTCGATCATCAAGACAGCCGCATGGAGACAGAAACGAAAAAGTCGAAATAAATTATGGAAAGTATCCGCCAATGCAAAATAGAATAGAGTGGGACCTTCGCGTCTCAAGAGAAAGAAGTCTTAATGTCCTCTGAAAAAGGATACCGAATGGCGGCGGTTTCTAATTCCAACTCAATTTAGGCAGCACATCAGAAGCAGCGAAAAAGAGAGTTTTTAGAGCCCCTGCGCCTGTGCGACGCCCATTTCGAATGCCTCCGACATTGCCGACGACGCCGACACCGCGCCACCGACGAAGAGTTTCAAATTGAATGAGAAGCAAAAAAAAAAAAAAGAACGGCTGCATCTAGTCATTCACTAATGGATAAAAAAAGAACGATGACGAAGTGAAAGAAAAGGAGAAGTAGAGTTCTAAAGAATACGAAAAAAGTGCACGGGGTGTTGATGAAATAAAAGCTGGGAGCCCAAAATCTTCTTGAGTAATGAATGACTTGTGCCTCGTTTTTATGAATCGTCCAATTTCATTTCCTTCTCCAGTAGCCTTCATCTGCACATCGACTCGCACAGTTGTGTTCTGAAGAAAGGGATCCTTTTTTGAACCTCATACTTGATCTTCCTACTTTTTTATATTCCGCCGGATAAACATGTCAGCTAGATTTCGAGAGGGGGTGTTTGATTTGATGCGCGCAAATCAATTAATCAAACATCCCACAGCCAAAGCACTTCAATTTTCATCAGCAGTTCCATTTGAACCCAGATAAAACATATATCATTGACTGTTTTATATTTTCTTCATTATGCCACTAGATAAGGAAGCAATTGAGTTTGGTGGGTTCCTTTCAAAATAAAGTTTATACTTTGAACTGTTTGATTACAGAAGTCGCACAATCGGCATTGCTGAGACGGAGGCTCGAGCAGGGTGAGCTGTTGAGCTCGAATCCTCTTGATAAAAAGTATCGGAGGTAGGGTCTTTTATTTTACCATTTATTTTTATTGGTCTTTTTAGTTTTTTTTCTGTTTTGTATATTCTAAGAAATGAATTTTCCACGCGTGTTTGAAGAGTAAATCAAGGATTTCAATGTTAGTGTTGTTCTGCTTAGAGTGATTGGAAAATTTCGGGTCTTCAAAGAAAGCTACAAAATGCTCGGTAGAGAAAAACGTTTTTTGGGATTCTCGATTTTTGTAAAAATCCAGACAAAAAATATCTGAATTATGCATATTGACCCCAAGCTCAAATTCCGGCGTATCATTTTCTGAGAAAAAAAATAAATGAGGGTATCCAGTTGAAATTATCTTAAAGACGCAAAAGCGTATTACGGTATCCTATGAGGATATTTAAAAAAGTATATCTCTGTTTTTTTTTTATTTTTCAACGGATTTTTTTTCAATTTTTCGACGATTTATTATTCCAATTTCTTAAGGAATTTCTTTCGATGTAATTAGGAAAAAAGGCATATAATTCGGAGGGTACAACAATTCGGGGGTACAAAGGGGCACAAAGCAATTTAGGAGTACAAAATCTTCAATTCGGGGGTACAAAATACCGGGAAAAGGGCTTAGTTTGTACCCCCGAATTGTTGGTTTTCTACCTCTAAATTACGTTGTACCCCTTTGCACCCCCGAATTATTGTACCCTTCGAATTATTTGCCGAAAAAAAATTTGAAACGATGAAAATTATTAAGAAAATGACGAAAATTGTCGAAAAACAAAGAAAATAGGAGAATGCTATTGAAAATCGGCTGAAAATCGGCAGTTCAATTCTGCGTTTTTATTAAACGAGTCGTTCACTCTCAACCGTTTTTTTTTCTCAGACAACGATAATATTTCACATTTTGAGCTACAAGTTCCAGTTGTACATTCATTATTTCAGTACATACACACTTCTGGGATCGTCGATGACATCACTCCAAAAGTCATATCTCGAAATACCTGACGGACGCGTTTTTCTCCGCCGGAAAACATCGAGCAGTGGCCGGCACCATCATTCAGCAATATACTTTTACGAGGTATTCCAAATTTTTTTTGCTTTTCTTCTTGCTTTGTTCTGTTCCACTTGGCTACTCGCTTCCAAACTTTACTACCTTCTGGTCTGACTGACGAACCATGAAGGCACGAAATAATGAAAAAAATAGGGAGATTGAAGATAGAAGAGGGCTCTCTCGTCGAACTTGTCCCTGTGGAAGTCAATGAGACAAAAAGAAGTGCTGAGTGTTTCTGTTCGCCGCGACTTGTCACTTCGCGGTAACACCGACATCCGAGCAGTGTTGGAGAGTGACCAACTGGCCTCGAATTGTGCAATAGAGATAGGGGGGAGAACCTCCTCGACAGGATATCACAATTGCACAAACGATGTATGTATGTACTTTAAAATTTTTCCTGCGTCAGGAGAAAAAAAACCACGTTAGTTTTTTTTCACGACGTAGTACCCTATTTCATTTCGTTTCAATTTTTCTAATTTTTGTTTGAAAAGAAGGTTCACGTGTAATAATGACCACACACACGCACACGCTTCCATCATTTATCGCCGCAATCATTACACCTACTCGGGTCTTCAATTTCTTCAATTTCCTGCTTCTTGATATCAATTTCTCAACCGAAAAGATTCGCGCCGGCAATGACAAATCGTGATACCAGAGACTGGAGCAAATCACCGGTACAATTAAAACTCTCATATCCAAACAATTGCACCAATTTTCCCAGGCCATCCTTTTTTTCTCTCAATTCAACCTACCTGACGCACCAGCATTTTTTGTAAATTTCCCGCGCCAATTTTCCCTCTCTTTTTTTCTATTCCTCTATAATACACTTGAGATTTCCACCTTTTCTATTTGATCATCCTCAATTTTTTACGTTATCGTTCGACTAACATTTTGACCTCTTTCAGTTGTGTAGTTCTAACGGGTCAATAACTTATCGATGTTGGATCTTTTTCGATCAAAAGGAGACACTAAAGACGTAAGATTTCCTTTTTCTATAGTTTTGCTGACTCTATTTTTGGCCGATATTCTTTTTCTTCTCATTATGCGCGGTTTTTTTTCAAGTCGGACTTATGCTAATTTTTGCGTGGAAAAAAGAAAATGAGAAAGGGCGCCGAGCCAGCGGCAAAAAATCCTATTAAGGAAAATTTTTGGGCGCTGACTAGCTTGATTTTGTCGGAAAAATCCTACTCAAAAAAGAGTCTATATTCATCAGGGGAGCATCTAAAGTGGCATGAACAGGAAAGTTCGTTTATTGACTGCAAATGTTTATTATGGAAACTTGGAGAATAAGAACGTGAGCGAAAGGGAAGAAAATGAATCATGATTTTTTAAAAATAAATATTATGCATACTTGTAATCCGGGCCTTTTCCGGGCCTTCGCGGGCCCTGCCATAATTTCTTTCAGAATTGATATTTTTAAACCAACTGAATTGGATATGATAGAGCTTCACGAGTACTACAAAACGGTATTATTTGGAATACTATATCTTATCTATGAACAAAGTTTCAAATCATAAAACGGCTTTTCTCGCAGGGCCCGGCAGGCCCGAGCGGGGCCAGCTTTTTTTGTTCCTTTTGCTCGGCAAAGGCCCGGATTACAAGTATGATATTATGGAAATAAAAACTGACACGTTTTTTTTCGAAAAAAAAAACCACTATTTCAATTTGATAGTAAATTACCGTTTTTTATTTTTATATTGAGTTAAATCGATCCAAAAAATTTTTCTGGGATATCGAAGATTTTTAGTAAAGTGTTATTCCCACAAAAAACTGAATGATATGATAAAGTCTGTAATTTCAGAATGACGGCCACGCATCCACATCATCCAACACATGGCTTGCCAAAAAGAAACATTTCCGAGACACAGAAGAATGGAGAGTGAAGAAAACACGGATCCTAAACAAGCTTCGAGCCCTCTCCAAAATCAATCTGGCACTTGTCCTGTCGCGAATGCCGGTGTGTTTGTTTTTCATATCTTTTTGTCTCCCAAGATAATTACGTACATTAGTTTCTATTAGTTTACAACTAAAAACGTTTTCGTGGCTCCGAGAAACTTCGAAAATGAAATCTAATGAAAAATCTCAACTCGTTCCGTACCCGTCGTCAAATTCTTTTCCCGAACCAAAAAACCACATTCATTTAGCTTTTAAAACATCTGCTCACTAAGAACGCAAAAAAAGAAGTCCTTCGCAATTTCTCATCTATCCAACCATTTTTTTTTGCTGTCTTGCGTTTCTTTTCGTCTTTCACGACTGCTATTCGCTGTAAAATCGCCTTCTGGCTTTCCGGAAGGTTTAATTGAGCAGTTTTCTTTCTGGCCTTCACAACTATTCCTAACTAACTAATGAGAGACTCTCAACTTTTTTGCGCTAACCACGCATTTCATGTAGAACGTGGTGAGAGTAGTAGCAGCAATCGGACTCGAAGGAATAGAGTGAGTTTTTAAAGGATTGAGATCAGGTTGAAAAATAATTCTGACGTCTGCCTTGGTTATGGTTTCAGTTTAAAATTCTATGAAGTTAGTCACATTCAACTTGTAAATGCAAAAAATTGGAAGAAACTGGAATTTATGTGGAAAATTTTCTAACAATGGTTGTCGTGAGTTTTCAGTAACATATTGTTTTTAATATTTTAGTCAGTGTTTCGTTAGTTGACCCCTCTGTGATGGCTTAAACAAAAACCTGAATAAAGTTGTGCAAAACGGAAGCAACTGGAGCTATCAGGGCCCTTCTATTAGATGTTTTACGAAAGCATCTTTTAGATATTATGAAGCTCAATAGGAGTGGGTTAAATATGCCTTAAAATTTGACAAGATCTATTTTCATACTTTCTAATAATAGTAAAATTTGGAATTTCAATTAAACTCCTCTTCCTGATTTTCATTCTTTTTTTGGAATATGGTCGGAGAACTTCTGAACAGAAGCCAGTCCCTGTTCACAAAATTCATGATATTTTCAAACACATCATCGTCTTGTTTTACTCATGAGCTCAGAAACACACACAAATATAACAGCGGAATTCTCGGGTTGGGGCCCCAATATCTCAGTAGGCGGCAGCTGACGTTGATCGCATTTTTCGCAAAATGACAGCATATTTGCCGCATGTGATCTGCGGCGATGCCGTAGGGCCACAGGCAAAAAGTATCTCTTCCGTGGCACCTTCCACACACAGATATACACACACACGTACACACAGAAACGAAACAGAGCAAGAGAGTGAGAAAGAAGAAAAGAAGAAGCACACAATTATATACCGAGACTTCGTTTTTCTTTCTTTTGCTTTCATCTCCGTTTTTCTTTTTGCTATCACTTCTGATAATTTGGGTCTTTGAACGTGGTTATGTTTGTCAAGCCAGCCATTATAAAGCCCAATCAATTTGTTTTTTTACCTGAGAATTAATTTCATTCTCACGAATTTCTTTCATTCTCACAATCTAAAATCATATCGTAAAAACTTCAGAGTATATCCAAAAATGACGGCAATATACGATATGACCCGTCGGGTCACAATGCACGACGTCAATAATGACGCGGCTTATGATGATATGGATGCAGACGTCCAGGATTTTTTCACTGACAGTAATCAGCAGTATTATCATGAGAGAAACCAATATGTATGGGTTGCTAGAATCTAGAGATCAAGAGATTTTTTGGAACTGAATTTTTAAAAATTACTATCAATTTTTCAGACCATCGAAAAACTCCCAGACAAAGTGCTACGAGACATCTTCCAGTATTTGTCACCAAAACAGGTATTACTAATTTTTCAAAAAAATTTCGATTATTATACTGTATTTCCACTCATAGAAGTACATCCAAACCGTCAACTTTGACCTCAGTTATCTCGATTTCTGTGGAGAATATCGAAAATTTGTCAACCGATAAAATATTGGCGATACTATGTTATATAATTTATCAGTTTAAATTTGACTGTCTAGTTGGGCCTCTATTAAAAGAGACACGGCAATTTCACAACACCATTTATCTTATAAACTTTTGATTTAGATCAATCAAGTCGGCCTTGTATGCAAAAGATGGAGAGTGATTTCTCAAAATCCGGGACTTTGGAAGTTTGTGTCATTTAGACCGAATTATGGAGGAATACAGGTATATCGTCTCTGTGAAACTTTTCCAATTCTGAGCGATTTTCAGGTCAATCCACAGTGCATTGATTTCTTCATTCAACTAATTGGAACTCGATTTTCTGAGCTCAGAATCGTTGAGCTCGCCACAGATCTTATCACTCCCAATGTGCTCTATGAGTTGGCCAACAAGGCTCCGAAACTTCAATATCTGACTTTGGGTGACTAGTTTTAGATCTCTTTTTTGTATCTTTCGGTCCTTTCAGATTTCTCCACTGCCATGCAGCTCCACGATTTCACCGATCTTCAAAGTTTTCCATCTCGCCTGAAATCTCTGACTCTCTGCCTCTCGGAGAACATTTTTCTGGAGGGATTCCTCAGAAAAGTGTACACTTTTATTTCATCCGTCGAAACGCTCCATATCATTGGTGAGCGTCTTTTTTTCTGCGTTTCTTTTTTCTTTCTCTTCTTCACGCATCGCTTTGAAAACAAGCAGGAAAAAATGTGGGGATGGAAGAAGGAAAGAAAAAGAGGAAATGTGTGGAGGGAGAGATAGAGAGAAAAAATGTTGTTGTCGGCAGTATGTATACTAGTGAAAGACGTATAGGAGTATCTGCCTTGATAGCTCAGTTGGGAGAGCGTTAGACTGAAGATCTAAAGGTCACCAGTTCGATCCTGGTTCAGGGCAATTCTTTTTTTTTTGGGTTTCTTCTATATATTAAACATATAGTACCGATCAAAAATATAAAAAAACAAAATTTCGGTTTAATTCCGGCCATTTTGACCATTTTCGAGAGGTTAGCTTGGCTGTCAAGTTTCAAATCATTTTGAAAAACTTGGAAAGTGAAAAACATATACAATTTCATGAAAGTTTTCAGTTTTTCAGCTAATTTCCGATTTCTGAGAAATACCTTTTTTTACACGGATTTGTACTGAAATTGTGAAAAAAAGTTGTCCAAAACAAAGAATTTTCGGAAAATTATGTAAACGCAAAGGTCTGTTTTACACCTTTCAAACTTTTCAAAGTGATCGAAATGTAACAACCGACCTCCAGACATTTGAAAATGGCCAAAATAGCCGAAAAATGAACAAAAAAATGCGCTTTTGTATGGACAGGTGCTGTAATTCAGCAATCACAAAGTCGCAAACACAAACAACTTTCTAGGAACCTACGAAAAAGTTGAGGACGAAGAAGAAGAAGTCTACGAGACTGTGAACGTCTTCAAACTCAAACAGTTTCTTCCAAACTTGAGAGTTGTGAACTTGTGGGGTGTTCCATTCATCACTGATGAACATGTGGACGCGATCTCTTCCAATTGTGCTCATCTGGAATGTCTTTGCGTCAATTATTGCCCAAAAGTGACTGGATCCTGCCTGAAATTAGTACTCCAGAGATGCAGAAAACTCAAGACTCTCTTCCTGGCTCACACCAGTATGTTTCACAATATAAGAAATCGTAAAACCCCACATTTTTTCTAGAACTCGACAACAACATTGTGAAAATGGTCGACTGGGAGAAGACTCGCATCGAGGAGTTGGACATCAAGGGAACTGAGCTTAACTCTGAAGCTCTCATCTCAATCCTCACACGTCTCCCTCATCTCCGTTGGTTGGATGCCAGCTGGTTGGAAAATATGACCGACCAGGTTCTCGAGGCATGGCAGAACTCTAATGCGATGGGAAGCCTTCAATTCTTGAACATGGACACATGTGACTCGTTGAACGAGCAAGCGCTGGTTGACATGATCAAAAGACATGGCCATCAATTTCATGGACTGTGTCTCGGAGGACAACACAAGTTGCTCGAATATTTCTGGATGAACATGATCCCTCAATTGAGAAATATTAGGTACAAAACGTAAATCATGGAGAACGGAACTGAATGGAATTTTTCAGAGTTATGGTGATGGGAATTGCCGAAGACTGCTGCCCAAAAGTGGTTGCAAAAATCCACGTAGATCAATTCATCGATTGCATTGCTCAGAATTGTCCAAGATTGACTCGCCTGGAGGTCAGATGGGATGATGAGACTCTTAGATTCTCTGACAAGTCGAGGTACAATTAACAATTATTTGTTTTCACACAGGATCCCAATTTCAGCAAGTTCATTGATGTGCTCCGTATGAAATGTCTTATGCTTCACTCCATTGTGCTTTCTGACGGACAATATTATGAATTGGTCCGTTCAAATTTCGAAAGAGCTGATCGAATGTCGGTTGTTAGAACTACTGAAATGTGCCGGACTGGATTACTTCACTGCTCCAGATACTTTAATCAATTACTCTTCAACTAAACTTTGTCATTTCCACACATTCTCTGAAAAAAAAAAACTATTTGGAATCTATTTTCTTATACACATATAGATAATTTTTGTAAATTTGTAACTGTGATTTCTCAATTAGAATGTTACAATGAAGCTCTCTCCTTTTGAAATTTTGTCTTTAGATCAGCTATAACGTGACTGGTTGCAAAGACATTTCGCGTGTCTGTACGCTTTTAAAGTATATTCTAGGAAAAATTTAAATTTTTGAAAACTTCAAAATATAATAAAGCGGATGTCTTGTTGAAAAAGCTTTCAAGAAATGAAACAATTGTTAAAGGGTAGTAGACGATCAAGTTCAAAGACTTGAAGGGACAAACGGCCTTGACCGCCTACTTTTTCATAGACCTTTTCTCATCTGACTGTTACCGCCTATAGCTCACCACCAATAGCTTTTTGGTACTTTTGTAAGCTCTATGCGTCTTCTATTAACAATCTGACACCAAACTCGGAATAAAAATACTTCATTCAAAAAAAAAATCGAAAACAATTACAAAAACTTCTTTACTTTGTACTGGTGGGTGGCCGGATTTCTGTAATAGCGTAAGGGTTATTTTGTTTTGAATAATTTTTATGAAAGAAAGTGAACAGTATTCAAGAAAATTTTTAAATGAAGGGAGGTTACGATGTATTACAGTTCATTAAACAAGTCCATTTAGTGAATGCAGTCACGGCTCTCTCCTGGATAGGAACCGGCAAGTTGAATGACTCCAGCGTCGTAAACCTTTCTTGGAACCTTTCCGGACGAAGTGTAAGAGTCTGGAATCTTGATTCCGAACTTTCTCTGGCATGGCTTGATTCCGTCGTTGCAGTCGTGGTAGATGTTAAGCTTAACATCAATTGGGGTGTATTCTTTAGTCCATCCTCCGAGTTGGAAGTCTCCGTTGGCGTCAGTAGTTCCGGAGTCCAAGAGATCATCAGAGTCCACTGCAAGTTAGTTTTCATAGTTTCATTATTTTAAAAGCTTAACATACAGGTATCTTTGTCCCAGAGCTTCACCAAGACTCCAGCAGCCGGTCGTTGATCGCAAATCAATTTTCCACGTACCTGAACAAATTTAATTATTTTGGAGTAAGTGATATCTTCAAAACTTACAGCAGAAGACTGATCGCGACCGAACATCTCAATGGAGGCGGCCACTCCAAAAAGAGCAACAATGATCACGAGAGAACGCATATCTAAAAATTAAGATAGATATTCAATGAGAAAAAAAAACAAAAAGTCACAAAACAGAGCTTCATCAGTGTGAGATAACTGGCGGTCTCTGACAATTACATTGAATGAGGAAGAATGTTGGAAGAGAAGAAGGTTGGCCCAGAAGACGAATCGCGTCTCTGAGAGGATCTGCCCGCCAGTGTTTTCAATGTTCTTTTTATGAGGGTCCACAGTGTAACATGGTGAGATCTTCTCCGAGGGCAGCTGCTCATCACTGGCAAAATACGAAGAAAACAAAAGAAGTTGATGAGTCAGAGGGCAAGAAATCAATGGATAAAGCATCAACAGTCGTATGAAAAACTTGTGAAATCGTGCTTTTTTGAATTTGTTGAGAGATTTATGAAGTATTGATGTGAGAATTCGTCACCCAAAAAAAAACACCGGCTGTCTGTTCGAGTGAAAACGTGTTTCACGAAAATGAGTCATCAACAAGAAAATGTAGTTTGGACCCATCGAAATCCGCAGATTGTGACCGAAGAATAATTAATTGCGACCATTTTTTTGTATTACAACCGGTTTGGGAATGTCAAGTTATGAAAAGACCCATACCTGTAAAATGAAGGCTCAGCCTGCCATGACTCGGTCCTGTTAGCATAATTTTTTCCTAGTTTAAGTGTTTTTTTTCTGTCCTAATTTTTATTGCTTCAGAAAGTTTTGATGATATCAAGAAAATAATTTACTTGCTATGAAAATCATATTTTTTTAAGTTCTATCAACCGTCGAGACCGCCGGGTCGAGCTCTAAAAAGTTGAGAAAGGCCCGTTACAAGTAGGAACAAAACTGAAAATAGAGATATAATCTAAAAACTGAATATAGGATTATAAATATATCTAGAGATGTTCTTCAAAACAAAAGATTCGCCTTAACCTTTTCGGGTTATTATTTATATCAGATGTGAAAAAATCCAAGAGTTTGTCATTTTTATTCCAATTTTGTCATTTTCCAAATATAATTTTAACACAAAAAAACGATTAATTTATCGATAATAGACTCCATATCCTGTTGAACTTGCAGACACCAAGAACATCACTAGTGCTAGGATCGTAGCAGCGAGTGAAATACCCCAGGACCATCCGACCTGTAAGTGGCCTGTTCGATTTTGAAGTTGATTCTTACATTCTAACCTTCAATGGAATAATTCCGTTCAACGTATAGCCGTTGATGCCGGCTCCAAAAACAATGATGGATATCAGAAGGAGAAGGAAAATAATCAGGGAGAGTAGAGTACATGCCGCATGTACAGGCATCATTCGTCGGAATAGGCTGAAAATTTAGGATTAAAAACGTAAAGTTAAACACCTATAACTTACATTGCCGGAATGACCAATAGACAGAAGAGGAGTTCGAAAGAGAATGCCATCAATTGACATACAACAACACATTGCAACCATCCTGGGCTTCTTTGAAAAAGTCTGTTGGCATTTGCTGCTCCCCAATGGTAAATTCCCATGTTTCCTGATAGATTTCCGGTTTTTGCAACTCCCCAATCTGAAATTTTCAAAATTATAAGTGAACTGTGAATGTAGTGCTAACAATTTGTGAATGTTGCCACTCCAGTCAGAACAGTTACAATTATTAGTAAGCCAGCAATGGCGAATGGTGCGTGATGATGATGGTGATGCATATTTTGTCTGAAAAATTAAATCTCTCTGTGAAATCTTTCTGAGGCTATACAAAGAGTAAGAAAATACGGTAAGAAGATATTATAAAATACTTACTTCATTTTTACTTAGTAAATTTCAGATGGGTAGTTTTTTGTGATCAGGGAAGTTTGTGGTTTGAAACTTTTTTGTTTCACGTCAAACTAAAAAACTAAAAGAACTGGTTAACCTAATTTGTTCATCTAAGGGGAAGGACCAACCCACATGATGAGAACCTTTCACTTTGTTCGATAAAAGTTTTTACTGAGTTGCACGGATATTGCAAACAGAAACCAAACTTAAGAAAAAATAAAACAAAAAAACGACCATTTCCAGAGAAAGCAACTGTTCCGACTTTTCCAGAAAGACTAAACTGCTCATAGTTTCTTTTCGATCCTTATATTTGAATACAGTTCTTCTTTTCCAAGATGTCCGCCTCCTTGTTTACTTTCTGTGAAATCATGAGACGGTGATGGACTGCTCTTCGCGGCGAAGAAAAAATCCCTCACAGTACAGTTTTCCGATAGTTTGCTCTCCCATGACTTTGTATACAAAAATATATATGTATTATAGTTCACTGAATCAATGTTGATTTATTCACTTTCAAGAAAATGCTGAATCATCTCATTCGCCTTTTTTGCCGCTTCAAAGAAATAAGAACTCCACAAACACAATGAAAAACGTTGACTCCATCAAGTCGTTACTAAGAGAAGATCGTGATGCATAGAAAGATTGATACAAATAGAGGAAAATGGAAATAGGGAAATGAAGGAAAAAAATCTGATAGAATGACACAAGAAATGTCTGTCACGAAGGAAAAAAATTAGGAAAAAGATGAGTAAGTTGCATGAACTTCGTCGCGCACAATTCTATTTACATTGTGTATTTCCAAGTGGCCATTGCTTCTGGAGGAAGGGTGGATGAAGTGTATCCCATATTGCTGTTGAGGAAGATTTGGACGGTCTCAAGTGATGTGCATAGGATTGAGATGATGATTACACCCACGCTGAGCCAGTAGGACCATCCGAGGTGGCAGAATACGGTAAGACCCTTGTATACGTAGGTTTCTAAAAATTAAAAATATGATTTCCAATTTTAGCAAATTTTAGCAGCAAAGCATGAAGATTTGAGGGCACTCCTGTTTTGTCTCAAGTGGCTCTTTTCCTTCTTTGTTTCAATAAAATGTTTACTAAACATATAACAATTATTAAAGAATTACGTCAATCGAAAACTTTTTGGTCTACCAGTAAAAAAAAGTGTGTAAACTTTTTTCGTGTAATCCCAGGTAAACAAATAAACACATTTCACAACTGCCATCTCTCTGCAATAAAACAAACAACTGTTTTCTTCTAGATAGGTAAGAAACACGTTTGTTATATTTCTGAAATTTATTTGCGGAAGAGTCTATTGCGATCTGTGATCAACTAGCGTTTGAAAAACAATTGCTCATGACCTACCGGTCGGCGACTCTTTTTGATCGCTTACGATTTGTGAAAAATATGAGAAAAATATTTGCGATCGCTTAGAGGGAGAAATCCAGAAAAATAATTCACACATCTCTTCCAAAAGATCTCAGGTAATCTTGTTGAAAGAATCTTGTTGAAAGAACATAAGATGAACCAGGGACCTCAACTTACCAAAATATACAGGTTTCGCTTGTCCGCTAAAGATCCCAATTGATATCGTGATCAGAAGAAAGCTAGTGAACGACAAAGCAGTGCACACAACCGAAATGTACATTTTTCCGCGTTTCATGAACCTGGAAAGAAAAAGATAACACTTAATGGTATTAGATGACCGCAGTTTGACCAGTACTTACAGTGAAATTATAGCACAGATACAAAGAAGACTTTGTGTACCCAGACCGATGCACATGCATGCGAAAACTGATTTCAGCCATCCCGGGTACAGCTGAAATGTGGAAAATAGTGATATTCACAATAAAAGGAGGAGATTACCGGATATTTGGCGATACAATGGCGATCGCTGATGTCTTTTTGGTTTATGCAGACCCATTGCATCAGACCACGATGTAAATAGAGATTGTGACCTTTTGGATTAATCACTTCGACGTCAATCCAATCTGTGAGTTGGGAATTTTTCAAAATTAAAAATTGATTTAATCGCAATTTGAATTTCAAAATTCTCAGATTTTATATCATTATATTTATAAAACCTACGATCTGTGAATAACGATGTGGCTGTGAGAGCAATCCCAATGATGGTAGCCACTAGTGAGCAGTATCTCATCACATTGTTCTCAGGCAATACTGCCATTGTAGAACTGAAAACAGAAAATAATAATTTAACTTATAATTTTACACTTCAAAGTCCAAAATGAATGTTTTGAGGGTGTGAAACAATTCGCTATCAGCTCACTGCCATTATCAATGATTTATGCGGTTCACTATTGCCGGTTCGGTCGATTTTTCCGGCTCTTTCTTTCATCATTCGGTCACTCTGTAACAGTTATTGACTTACCAAACGCAGCGAAAAGTACGGCTAGATTCTGAAGTTGGGTACTAAATTTTCAAAGTGAGGTTTATTCGTATAAGGGGCGGGATTTATTAAACAAGCTGAAACGGAAACGCTCAATTAAGATAGTTCCAATTAAAAACAGAGAAAAGTTTGGTTGTGCACGCTAATTAAACTCATTTGGTTTCTTGAACTGAAAATTGTTGTATTCCGTGAAAAATAAAATAAAATAAGTTGGGAGAATAGAAAAACAGGATGAAGTTCATTACCAACAAATTGCAGTCTACAAATTGAAGTTTGGTAGGAACTGAGCAATCGAATAAGTCTTGGTTTTTGCTTCATTGATCGGAGCATAAAAAAAATGTGTGTGTAAACTAAATATGTAGTGTACCGTTCAATTTAATTATACATTTTTTGATAAATGGTCGAAGCCATTGATATAATGAATATACAGTAAATGGTTAATTTAAAATTAAAAATGGGGTCAGATTTACATAAAACAGGTTAGTTCTTAAAGAAGATTCTTGAGAAGCAATTTCTTAAAGACTGAGAAGGCTGATTGGGGAAGGGAGTTCCAGCGAGAAATAATTCTTGAGGTAAAAATTGGAAAGAAATTTTACTGGGGGAAGTTTTTAATTTGGAACGGATATTGAAAGGGTGCCTGAAATTTAAAAAAAACGTATTCAGATTTTAAACAGCGTATTTTTCAGTTGATCATTCAAAAAATTTTTTTTAGTTCCCAGCTTTCAATTTTTTTAGTTCCCAGCATTCAAAAAATTTTTTTGTTCCCAGCTTTTCCGCTAATTACCGATTTTGGAAAGATACCTCTTTGTCACGTTTCCAGTACAAAAACAGATCGAAAAGAGATTTTCATTAATAAAAAAACTGGAAGTTTACAAAAAGTTTTGTCAATGTAAGTTTTCAATCTAGATCTCTTTTGTTATCTTTGATTCATTTCTCTTATTTTTCAAGATTCATTTTTCAAAACGACAATTTAAAAAATATTATTTTTCATTCTGAAAGCTCGAGGTTACAATCATAATTTTCGATTTTCGTATTTTTTCTTGATTTCAATAATCTTTTCCACAAACGAATTTCAGTAACCCCTATTGAACAAAAAAGTTTTTTTTCCTTTTCGCCCCATTTAATTTCTTTTTCTCAATTTCAGTGGTATCCAGTTTGATTGTCGTTTTCATTAAGCACATTTGAAGGTTTTATGGATGATTGTCAGTTCGAATTTCGAAACTGACACCTGATTCTTTAGTGTCACATGACTATGATGATGTGCACGTTTTGAAAAAAGATCCCTGCTAAGGAAAAAAAACCGTTCCAGAACATTCCAGAATTCCTGCTATCGTAAAAAGGTTTCCCGCCACACAGTTCAAACGTTTATCACCGAGTGTCACACGTCGCGCCATCACAGGACACTTGACCGGTCCTAGGATGTACCCTGACACTGGTGATGATGGACGTCGACCAATGCATGCCCCGCTTATCGACGTGGTGCACAGGGCTAACAAAGTTGATAACGAAAACATGTTCTATAAAAGCATACTGATAAAGACGATCAGGCAAGCGACGACAATTTGCGAGCAACACGCTGACCGTCGACGCTAGAATGGTAAGTTTTTCAAAGTTCGCGATGATCAAAATCCGAGTATGATTTCAGAAGACGTTACTTCTCCTCTGCTGCCTGGCAGCAACCGTCTATTGCGCTTGCAATGACAACGTTGAGTCTGTCCTTGGTAATGCTGTAGGTGCTCTAAAACATTCTAGAATATTTGAGTTTTCAGACAAGTACCGCAACCGCGAAATCGACTCTGACGCCGCAGAACTTGAAGGAGATGAGTTGATCGACTACATCAATGATAACCAGAATTTGTGGACCGTAAACGGTTTTTCCAATAGTATTCCAGAAATTCTGAATTTTTAGGCCAAGAAACAAAAACGTTTCACCTCCGTTTATGGAGAAACCGACGACAAGGCCAAGTGGGGATTGATGGGCGTCAACCATGTCAGACTTTCTGTCAAGGTAAGTGCACATTCAAAGCGTCAATTGTTTTTATGACCTGACAGAAATAGATTGAAGTTATTAAAGTTATTGAATAGAAAGAAAAAAATCAGGTGATCATTCACGCTAATCGTATATTCAAATAGTCACGTTGTTGACACAGACTGACAACCTGAAGAGTAGAGCGAGTAAGAAAAATACGTGAATGGGGCAAAAAAGGAAATTTCAGGGAAAGCAACACCTTTCCAAGACCAAAGACCTCGACTTGGACATCCCAGAGAGTTTCGATTCTCGTGAGAACTGGCCAAAATGCCAATCCATCCGCAACATCAGAGATCAATCCAGCTGTGGATCCTGCTGGGCATTCGGAGCTGTTGAAGCTATGTCCGACCGCATCTGCATTGCTTCTCATGGAGAACTCCAAGTCTCGCTTTCTGCTGACGACCTTCTCAGTTGCTGCAGGAGTTGTGGATTCGGATGCAACGGAGGAGATCCGTTGGCTGCCTGGCGTTACTGGGTGAAGGATGGAATCGTCACCGGTTCCAACTACACCGCCAACAGTGGATGCAAGGTAATTTTTCCATGAAAGTCAGTTTCCAATATTGACATTTCAGCCATACCCATTCCCACCATGTGAGCATCACTCCAAGAAGACTCACTTTGACCCATGCCCACACGATTTGTACCCAACTCCAAAGTGCGAGAAGAAATGTATTGCCGACTACACTGACAAGACATATTCCGAAGACAAATTCTACGGACACAGCGCTTACGGAGTCAAAGATGATGTCGAGGCCATCCAGAAGGAGTTGATGACGCATGGACCACTTGAGATCGCTTTCGAGGTCTACGAAGACTTCTTGAACTATGACGGAGGAGTCTATGTGGTAAGAATAGGATACAAAATGGTTCTGATAAGAAGGTGAATAATATTTTTTCAGCACACCGGAGGAAAGCTTGGAGGAGGACATGCCGTGAAGCTTATTGGATGGGGAATCGAAGATGGAATTCCATACTGGACATGTGCCAACTCATGGAACACTGACTGGGGAGAGGATGGATTCTTCCGTATCCTTAGAGGAGTCGACGAGTGCGGAATTGAATCTGGAGTTGTTGGAGGAATCCCAAAACTTAATAGTGTCTCTTCTAGACTCAGCAGGTAAAGTATTTGATTTTCGTTCCTGGAGTTTGTATGATGTAGTTTATTGTGATCCCACCGGAAATTCATATTTCCAGACATCATCGCCGCCACGCTCACTACCATGAAGTCGACAACTGATTCAAGTTTTTGCAACCATATTTTTTCTTTTTTTAATATATGTATAAACGAATATTTTAATCCAATTGCTTATTTTTCCCTCTAATAAATGATATTTCTGTTTACTTATTAGATTTGTATACACGAATGATCGTAGTTCAACTGGAACACACAACTCTCCACTGCTCTCCGCTAAAACATTTGGGATTCTGCGCTCAGTTCCGGTTCAGCCAAATGTTTTCATTTCGAGAGTCACAGAGTCCTCGTGCTCGGACCCAGATTTCGTTCATTTTGCTCTCAATTGTCTTTTGAAACTTCTTCAGTTTTTTTTTCTCCCAGTCATTATGAGACGGAAGCCCTTAATGTTAATCGATCAAAAAGCGACCGGAAAAAAGGCTTGTGGATATGACAGGACTCTCAAAACATGTGGGATGAGATTGGCGTGGAAGATTGATAACGCGGATGAGAAATTTGATATGTGCACCAAGGCAACCGAGGATGGGAGAAGGATTATGATAATCTCTTCACAGCCAGGTATTAGTATATTGTTTTGTCGCGAGTGATCGAGAGAGGAAGAATGAAGCCGGATAAAATATGAAATACGCCGTTTGGATTGGAGTGTTCCACGGGATTGCTCATAGGATGCCGCTTCACCTCCCTCTCGGCTTTTTCTTCTTCTTTTTGCCTCCCTCCTCAATCCATGCATCGTCACAGGCGAATCACAAGATCGTGGAGGGGATTCAGTGATTTGAGATAATTTGTTAGTATTGGATTATGGCAAGGCAATTTTTTTATGGCAATTTTTTTCGTCTTCTCAGAATCTTTGTACCTGTTCATTATTAACAGTGTACTCATTAGCCATCCCCTTTGAAGGGTTCGCATTGTTTATATGCTCTTCTCTTCTGTTTTCTACTTTGTCCCCATCCCACCTGCTATTATATTCAGTTTTTTTATACATTTTTGTTTTCCTCAGGCCGTGATTCCAACGGAAGCTGCGCTTCTTCTCCTTTTCACCCTCTTCATATTTCCATTTGATTTCATATTGGAGTTAGTTCATATTATTCATCGTTTCTTTCTTTGTTTTTTTCTCTAGAAATCCCATATTTATTTTGTATTTTTTCCTGTTTTGATAAATAAAAGGAAACGCGATTACACTTGTTATGTACGCATTCCATTATCGTTCACAAAATGTTCTGAAAATTAACCTTATTTTATTCTTTGTTTTCAGGAAGGCTAGCTCAATAGTGCTTAGCAAATCTGTCTATGAGGATGAAAAAGCAAGTGACAATGGACAAGGAGTACTGTAATATGGAGAAGATTGTGAGCAAGGTGAATCTTGTGGTTTTAATCAAAACTTTTTTCTCTTTTTTTTCTTCTACTACAAGTGAGTCAGGTCCTGCAGACATGTAATTCTGTTTTGGTTCCAGAAAAAAATTTAACTTTAAGATTTTTTCTAGCTTTGTTAAGTCAACAAGGTTCCGAATTCCTTTCAGTTTAGCGTTAGTCGTTTTCAGAGTATATGATGGCGCAGGTGCAAAATAGATTAAAACATTTCAGTCCATGATTACTGAACTCAGAATATTATAACTCATTTACACCTTTTCCCTTTTACGATTTTGAATCCTGAGTAAGACCCGAGAAATCCAAGGAAAACGATTATAAATAGATTTTATATCCTGAATATATGTTTTCTTCTTCCGTCATTTGAAGATTATAACGTGGTTTAGAGAACAGATTTATACGTCTAATATATTTTTATATCTTCAATTTTTTTATCAGGGTGATTCTATTTGTTTTACAGTGGGCAAAATGGAAAAAGAAACCCGATTGAGCAGAAACGTCATATCTTTTCAGTATTTTTTGATTAACCCCACCAGTTTTTTACGACATTGTTGTTGGCTGAAAATGACAAGTTTAGTTTTTTCCCCTCTTCTTATATTCAGAATATTGAGCTGCGCAACAATTTTCTACTAGTTTTTTCCTCAATTTTCCATTAATCTTCGTCTATTTGCTTTTTTTTGCTTCTTCTTTTTTTCTTTCAATTCTACCAAGTTTTTTTATAACACATCCTCTCCCAACTCCTTGCTTTTTCATTAAAACTTTATGAAGTCAATTATTCAACGTGCACTTTTTCTTCCCCATTTTTTTTGCATGATAATAACTTTTCAGCACATATTCTCTAAATTCAGACCTAGTTTTCAGTTATCTTGACATAATCGACCGCTAAGTAGAAGGAAATCTTAGGAAAAAAAGCGAATCGCGTAAATTTTCATGCGGCTTCTTTCTTTTCCTCCCATCCTCTTACTTTCCTATCCCGGGGACGGATTGCCCACCCTGTTGTCTATTTTGACGAGACGAGCAAATGGTCTTCTCAGTCACTTGGTCTCTTAACGGGGATTGACAAGTTGTGACCCCCCGCTTTGGGACATAGAATTTTATTTAAAAAAGGTCGAATGATTTTTCTTGCTCCTACAAAAAGCTCTTTCTTTGATTTTCAGCATCGCGTACTTTGTGAATTAGTCATGGAGGGTAGAGAAAGAGTGAAAAAGTTTATCCCTTTTTTCTGTGTTCACCGAGCATTTACATTAGTCAGATAATACAATTTTCACAATGAAGTTTTTGGCGTTGTCTGAAGGAAGCTTCCACTATGTCACTTCAAAGGTCGGATGCTCTTGTAGAATAATTTAGGCTTAAGAGTCAGGTTTTTGTTGTTGAATTCAAACCTTAAATTTTGCCAAAGTTTCAATTAAACTGTGTTTTTAAATATCAAACACACATTGTTGATATCAAGTGAAAATTAGTTTTTTTTTTTCAAATTTTTAAACTCTTCTGAAATTGTTTCTATTTATTGTTGACCAGAAGCTACTCCCTTTTAGTTTCCACTTCCATTGACCCTCGTCGGACCATTATTACGAGCTCCCATTTATTCCGCCGTTAATTTCTTTTTGTTCTCCCCCGTTGACAGGAGGGTACGAATCACGAAGGCGCACGCCATTTTCTGGGCCACCGCCTACGAAAAGGGACGGCTCTAAAATGATATATACACTTTTAGAAGACGAGATGTCCTCTTTAAATCCCCGGTTGGCTTTGTTTTTGGAAATCGACGATCTATACGATTTTTCAAAAATCCTTCTTGAACATCCCACTCTCTTTTTTTCATCATCCCTGTTTTCATTTTCTCCTTTCAGACCGCGTGCAAATCCAGCAGCGTTCCGGCAGTCGCTTCGTCTTCGAAAACTAAAATGGAGGTTTGTGTTCTAATTTCAGAAATATTCCCATAAAAGTTTTTAGGTCACCGATCGCAAAGTCTCAACTGGAACATTGAACAGGCTGATTCTGGTGGCTCAGGCTCTTGAATCAGAAGTGGAAACACGGCGGAACGATGACATCAGTGCTATCAAAATCACGTTTTCAATAAGGGTGGCAAACACAGTGAGTGTGACAATTTATGATGTCAACATTGAGTGTCTATCAAAAATCCAATGAGTGGATAAAGCAGATTTATTTGATTATGATAAAACTAATCCGATTCAATGAACACATTTCTATTCAATTTTTAACATCACAAAATGTGGTTATCAGGAATGAGGGACCGAAGCACTCTAGAGCCAAACATTTTGATTTCAGATTCTTCTCCTGCTCATTAACATATTACTGTTCTCGGGATTCGGGAAATATCAAGTACAAAAAGATGGGCGTTACCAGGTATTATTTGTCTTTGTTTTTCACTGTTTTGTTCATTTGGCTTATAATAATCAAAAAAGACAAAAATAATAGTTATAGGATTTGATGTTAACGGCTGACAAATGGACATACGATTCGTCGAATGATGAGCTCCCGGAAACGTTTGTCTACCTCCGCCTAAGCGGTCAATATCTATCGGCTTGCATCACTGTGTTCTTGCTATTCTCCACATTCTTCCTTCAACTTCTGCATTTATGTGGAATCTCCATCTCCAGAATCACGGTTAGGTTACCCCCCCCCCCCCCCCCCCCCCGCCCCTCACTAATTGGCATTTGGTGCCCACGTACACACGCACAGCGTCCCTATTTCTAACGAATAGCGAGCAAGTGTGAGAGAGAAAGAGAATGTCGTCGGTTCCTTGTTTTCTGAGCTGTAATTAGGGGGAATAAATTGGCTTTGTTTGACATGCAAAGCAGGAGAAAAGAAAAAGGACACATGGGCTTTTGCTTGTTGAAAATGTGGAACATGGGAAAGAAATATGGGAACGCAAATGAGTCGGTTCAGGTTTCTGAGAGATGTGAAAAAATTTTGAGGGGTTTCCGAATATTAATTTTTGTGTTGAGATTGACAAAAACGAGAGAACAATGTTCAATTAGATGCTTGTTCTACTTTTATTGAATCGGATAATCCAAAAAACCTGGAAATAGTGTCTGATAACTGCAAATGCAATTATCAGACAAAATATAGTTTTTTTCCAGTATTAAGATGAAATTACAATTCCTCAAAAAAACAGAAATCAAAATACATAAGTAAAACTGAACAATGAATGAAATTAGGTTTTTGAAATATTATTCTATTGTCCTAGTTTTCAGAATAACTCTCTAATTGCGATTTGATGTAAATTTGTGAAATCGCCAATTTTTTCCAAGTCTCGTAAATTTTTTATTAAAGGAGGCCAGACATAAAAAAAAAAAGTTTTCCTGATATTTTGCATAAAGAACCCCCACGAGGAGTTGAACTCATGACAGGCGGCTCAGGGGTACAGCGCCGCTACCGGCTGAGCTACGGAGGCGCAAACACGGGTGCCGACCGATGGCCTACATAAGCGCGGTGCGATTTCGTCCCCCAAACTGTCCCCCAAATTTTTTGCTGTCTCGCCTCCTTTAAGATTTTGAGAAAACTGAGTTATTTAAAGGCATTATTGAATTTTATACATTATTAAACCAATCCTTTTGGGTTCTTCGAATTTGGGAAAAAAAACTTGCGTTTGTCGTAGAAAAATATAATTTCCGTATATTTCGTTTTATTGAAATCCGCCCTATAAGCCAACTTTGAGCACAATTATCTCGGTTACTGTGGGAGATATTGAAAATTTGTCAATTAATAAAATATTGCTAATGTTTTAAAAATCGTTAAAGTTTTTTTCAGAACATGTGCTATTCCTTTGGGGCTGTTCCATTCACGCTGTTTGTTTTTGGATTGGAAATGCATTATTCCACATGCCCGTGGCTTGACGAGTATTTCATTTCATACAGTATGTCGGATATGAGCTCACAATGTGCAATAAACGGATGGGCTTTGGCTGGAGTAAGACATATTGTTTTTTGAAAAAACCAAAATGCATCTGTTTTTCTTCCAGATTTTCTCACTTCTCTCATGCGGACTATTCGTTTCCGAAGGTATTATCACCGCTTTTTTTGGCAACTCCCACGTGACAGAAAACAAGGAGACAATAGTCTAATGCAATTTGGTTATGGATTATTTGGCGCCCAGGAATTATGGAAACTGATGAGCTTCCAGAATACTCTTTATTCTTCTTCATCATCTCATCTGAACACCATCTTTTTTTCTTCACCTTTTTTTAAAACCGCTGATCTACACTTATCCTCCATCCATTCCTCTCAACGTTCCTTTTTTTCCTAAATTTTCAAACTTCATATAGTTTGTACATCATTTCGTGTTCTTCCATTTTTCATAATATTTTTGAACGAGTTACCCCCACCTTCCCAAAAACCGTACTACAAATCACATTGAATTAAAATCGTTTTACTGTACCGACCCCTTCGGCTCGTTTCTGCATTAATATTATTTTTCCGAAATTCTTTTTTTCCCGGATGAAAAATATGTTTTTGTATTTAATAGTGCATTAAGGTGTCACAACTATACAACTATAAAAACGTTCCAGAAGTCAACAAAAGGATTATTTTTCAGAGTGGGAGAAAAGAAAAAGTACATCCAGTCTTGCGATTTAGTAGGAATAGTGCAAATGAACTCTGAGAAAAGGAAATCCAAAAATTATATTATGGTTTGATAAACTTCAAGGATTGATGAGATTCCTAGAACCGACAAAAAACATGACAGCAAATAATTTCAGAACACATTTGTCAGAAAATGTTTTAATTTAGGAATCGTACTCTGTTTAGAAAATCCCAAAAAAAAACAAAAATATTTTGTACTATCGATTTTGATGACGACCATCAGAAGAATATTATCTCACGTCGGGTCCGGAAATGAGTTCGGAAATAGACTTCACCGCCCTCTTTCTCTGAGTATCTACTCGAAAAGTCAGAAAAACATTTTTTTTTCAAAACGATATTTTCTGCAAATTTGAACTGAAAATCCTTTTAAAAAATTACTAGAAATTTTTTTGAGCAACTAAATGTAAGAAAAACAAATACGGAGGCTTTTGAAAAATTGAATAGGGATTGCTCTATTCAATTTTTATTTTGACAACTGCGGCGATGAACCTTGTGATCCAAAATTTATCTTAATGACGTATCGCTGGTCCACCAGCTAAAACATTGATTTTTGCTTTTTGAATGTATACATGCGCCTTTGGTACCGTATCTCGAAATTTATTTTTATCTCAAAACCAATGTTCTCTTTTATCCGTTTCCTACGGATACTTATATCAGCCGAATTTCCTTTTAAAGTAAAAAAGAATTCAAAGTTATGTCAGGGTAAAATAATTTCGAGATACGGTAGCAAAGGTCCATGCATTCAGTCAAAAAAAAAACAGTTTAGACCGACGATGCAACTTTAAATAAACTCTCGGCTGCAATGTTCATCGCTAACAAGAATAACATTCACTTTAATTTATTGACATTTGCGTCTGGTGAATTTAAACTGAATTCAATCGTTCTGTAAAATAATGCCCAAATGAACTAGAACAATACAATGCACAGCTGTTCCCCAATAGTAACTTCTTTGCGCAACTACTGTGTTTACGGCCCACTCAGATTGTATAGAGGTTGAGACGGTTCTATTGTACACCTGTTGCTCAGACAATGCCTAGCTCACAGATTTACTGTTTTACTTGTCTTTTCGATCTGAGAAACCTTATTTTTCCGTAGTTTTTCTTTCTAGGGAGCCAACTCTAATCCATCATTTCGCAGACTGGTGTCTGTCTGAAAAAGAGTAAAAATCTGATTAATGTGAGTAGTCTCTGTCCTGAGAGTTCAAAAAATGTTGTTAGAAAGACTCCTTGTTCAGACTGAAATTGTCTTTCGTATAGCTCTGACAGTAGTGCTGCCGTGTGCCAACGGTTGGAAACCTAAGATGTAGTCTTCACTCATATTTTTGTATTGAGCACGGCCATCTATCCTACACATCTTCTTGAAGATTCGTGTCAGTGCGAGTCCTAGAGCATTCTGTTAATATAGGAATTTCCTAGGAAATGAAATGAAACAAGAAAAACAGTCATTAATATGCACGGAAACCGCATGTATGTATGCTTTTGGTATGACACCCTCTCTTATCATTAAACTTTCATATCTCATCAATATTTCTCTCTGAATCATTCATCCTCAAACTTTTCCTCGTCTTGTTTCTATTTTTCGTGTATTTATAGGTTACATCTTTAAGTTTCATTTTATAATCTTTCAATTAACATACTTTACTAAATATGGCAAAGTTAAAATAATTGAGATTCAAAAGCGTTGATTAGTTTTAAAATTATTCATATCATTGAAAAACATTTGAGAAGAATAGCTTAAGACTGGAAGTCGAACTTCCTGTTCAAGAAATCGAGGATGGTGCTGTTTCTCTCGCAGATCGAGAAATGCTTGAACGAACATGGCTGGTAGTAGGTGTAGGCAGAAGCTTCCCAGTTGAGAGCGGTACTGTAGTGAGCGGCACAGTTGGCGAGAATCGACCATCCGTTGGAAACTGGTTTGTATGGGCGGATGAGCCAGTTGCTGAAAAAGAAAACCATAGACATTCACAGGAAGTATAGAGCGTTATGTATGATCTTTTCCGTTCTGAACTTCTAGAAATCTCATTTCCGGAAGGATGCCACCCAATGGTACCACCAATAAAACCTTTGTTGAGCTCTTGTTTTCCGTTTGCTCCCAACAAAGATCAAACCACCGCGCCCCGAACCAAAATTAATTTCGAGTTATTCGAAGTAGACGTTTCTGACATCTTTCGCTTTCTAATGAAAAATCCCACAAATCCAATCGAACTCACAGTTTAGCTGGATTCACTGCTCCTTCGGTTTGCCAGGTTGGTACGTCTTCAGATCTCTCGCGATGAGTGAAGCGGACGAGTCCAATCCAGGTAAATCCAATTTGGGGGAAGTGCTCGCGAACGGCGTCCTATAAAAATTCGAATTTCATTTCTTTCTGAATAACTAACACGTTACCCTTGTTGAAAATGAAAAGACATGGATGTTTTATTACCTCCATTTTCTTGTTTCTTTTTTTTATTTGGTGATCTTTCTGTTCCCCCAGCTTCCCCCCTTTAACATTCTAGTGCTTTCTATAGATCATTGGGTATGCATTACCAACTCGCAACATCCATTCGCAACAAATTCCAAACATATGTGAGTCTGGTTTTTCTTGGAGCTCTCCCTCACAGTCTTTTTGTTCCTCTCCCACCAAAAAATATTCCTTTTCCTTACCCATTCATCCTGTGAGTTCACCACGAACAATGTCGCGTTTTTCTCATAGCACCGTTTCTCGGCTTCAGCAAAGCTTTGCTTGTGCTGCTCGACCCAGTAGCACGAGTCGGAGAAGCGTACCCATCCGTCTGGGCAGGTTCCAGTCTGAAAATTTTTCATAGAGTTCTTTTTTTCTGAATTTTCTTGAATTTACCTCCGTTGGGAAATCGGCAAAATGTTGGCGTTGAGTAAGTGAGGTATCGGAAAATGCTCCATTTCCAAAGTCCTTGTAACTCCAATTGAACAGTTTCACTGAAATTATGATTTGTACTCTTCTGAAAATCTCCTGTCAAAATACTTACCAGGTGCAAAATGAGTAGACGAGAGTCCGAAAATAGCGGCGAAGAGAGCAAGCTTGACGATTCTGAAATCGGTAAATTGAAAATTACCTATCGATTAATTACTAAAATAAAACATCAGGTCTGTGGACCTAAGGGGAGGGGGTTATCATTTCGTCATCTACGGGAGCTCTTCAAAAGTTTTCGAGTGTTTTATTGACATAATCAAAGATATGAAGGAAGGGGATACTCGTCATTGTTTTTGGCTCAGAAACGCGCACTATATTGGTTTCCACCCCCCGCATCAGTCCAATCAGCATGACTCTCTCGCCCTTTTTTAATTTAAAGTCCACCTTCCAGGTGGCAATTTTCTATGATTTGTTTATGTTTCCTGTCCTCTTGATAAATCTGATTCGGTTTTGCTGAGAAGTTGTGACCACCAGTTTTTAGAAATGTCTCAAGCTTCGGGAGAAGACAACGACTATGCAGATCCAGTGTCTCCAGAGTCCCCAATGACTCCAGACGGCATGATTCTGGCGAGAATGCCATGGCACCCAGGTGAGAAACGCGTGAGAAAATCAGGGGGAAAGGCGGCGAACAAGAGAATCTAATTTGCATTTTTAATCCTTTTGCAGGGCTCGAGGGAAATTGGAACACAGTGAAGTCGGTGAGCACCGCGATGCTCAACGGAGACGAGGTATGTAAAGGATTTATCATCTTCCAGCTGGTGTGTGCGGGAAAGGCAAAAAGGAGAAGAAGCCTGTGCAATATCTTTCTTAATGTCTCGCCTCTTCTCAGCTGCCCCCTATCCTTTGCCGTAAACATTGTCGCTTCACACTCGTTCGGATTCCTATTTGAAATCGAATTCATCTCCTTTTTTTTCTCCTCTTGGTTTTTCATTTTCTTTATTTGGCTAACACTGGTCAGACAAACATCAGGATGTGCCAACAATGCAATTTAAAAGCTATTTTAGACAAAAATGCTCAATCAGGTTTTAGATCGAAAAACGTTGCATCTTTTTTTCTTTTTTGTTGCAACCTTTTCCCTTTTATAGTAGAGAAATTATTTATTGAATTTTCGGATGACAGCGAAAAAATTCGTAATCAAATTTTGTGGTTATTCTGTTATTTTTCACATCTAGAAAATAGAAAGGCACTATAATTATTTTTCCTTAATGACTTTTTTTTCAATAATATGCGCTGCCGCAAAAACAAAAGTTTATGAATCAACCCATCCTTTTCTCATTTTCCCCATTCTCTCGGTCATTTTCAGATCTTATGAAAGAGCACTTTGTGTCTCAACACCCCGTCTCTTAGCTTTCCGTTAATATTACTTGCTTCCAATGACTTTTTCGGGTGCAAGAGAGACGAGGAGTGTGGGGGCGAGGCAAAATGAGAATCGCTCCAAGAAGAATAGCGCGCTACTGAAAAAAGCTCTAGACCAGAGAGAAAAAAAGATAACAATTGAAAGGACACACTGATTTCTAGAAGAAGTAGACGCGCCTTATTACTAGTTTTGAAATATCATTCTGATTGCACTTTTTTTCTTAAAATGTACTTTTTTCTTCAACCTTATTCCTAAATATTCTTTCTTTCAAATTTTCAATTCAAGATTGGAAATCAATCTCATTTGGAGGGGAGTGGAATGGTGTCGGTAAGTTCAGAAAACACTTGAAGCTTATGACTTTGGGAAACTTTCTAGAAGATTTCTAAACGATTTCTAGAGTGACGCTCTATGAGATCCATGGTGAGGAAATCGTGGGAAAAAAGTGGCATGAGACAATAAGATTTTCTAGATCAAAGCAAGAGAAAATTTCTGTGTTATTTGTAACTCGAAACACGCTGACTAGACGAATTCGGGTCCTAAATCATTGGGACATTCATTTTAGTATCCGGTTTCGGGTTTTCTAGGTAGAGGATGCGCGTGGCTCCCCTGTCACATGACTATATTGTTCACTGAACACATTTTTGTGTCGTAGGTTGAAACAGAATACAAAGATTTCCAATTCCTAGAATTCAAAAAGATACAAAAATCTGTATATATTTTGTGTATCAGTACCTATTGAAAATTCGATGATTGTTTTTGTATTCTGTGTCGCCGTCTATTGAACGGAAGGATGAGATGAGAAAAAGTGATCATTTCTATGGCTTCATTCAGCCAGTCCTCTTCATATGTTCTCACAATCTGTATTCGTGTGCTCCCATATAGAAAACATACCTATTCTCCTATTTTCTAGTCGTTCCTTAAACACTACAAATACGTATTTTTTAGAATCTTAAAAATCTGGATTTATTGTTAACATTTCTTCTGTCGTCACACAAACAAAAATTTACGTTTTTAGTGATTCTATAGAACCCGGATGGTGAAATATGAAATTAGAGGCCTTGTGCTCTCTTATACTCACGTCATCATAGAAAGCGAGAGAAAATTGTGCGGGCACTAAAGTGCACAGGTTTTCCTTTCACTCTAACCTAACATCAAACACACCTCTATTAACCGCTATTATCTACCCAGACGACGTTCTATTTTTGAGATGTGAAAAGCGGTGACAGCGCTCGAAAAGTGAAAGCACGATGGATATAGAGAACAGATCCATATCAATATTTTTCCTGCTTTCAGTATTTGCTTTTTATGGCATGCAACTCACAACTAAATACACACAAACATCTGAGCTTATTGTTCAAAATAGATACTATTCCCGACTATTTTCAATTCAGTTATCGATTTGTTTTAAAAAACTGAAATTTCTATAATCACTAATTTTGTGTTTTGCTTTTGCTTCTCACCATGAATCAAAAGTTCTATACAACACCTGCTCAGTAGAACTTGAATTAAGTTCCATTACTCACTTTTTTTCAAGGAAAAAACATCTTGTACACTTAATCGTAAATCTTGCTCATAATCTAAATCAAAATCTGGTAGATATCCTAAAAATTTTGGCCTGATTATCTGAAGTTGTCAAGATTAGATCACCCAACTGTCATCTGTTAATACAACATCCATATATTTCCGTATAGACCCCTCTTCTTCATTTAGTGACTAAGCAATTTTTTTCACTATATCATATTCTTATTTTCTAGATTTTCTTTCTAAACTAAGCTAATTATATATGAGAAGAAGTGATAATTGAGAAGGAGAGGATGAAAAAGAGTCTTGAGACATAGGACCATTATTAGCAATTATTAGCTATTATAGATGAACTTGTTGCGTTCAAACTAACATGTGATGAACTTAATGTTTTCAGACGGATCGAGCTGCTCCGAGTGATGGGCAGCAGGAGGCTGGTTCATCGTCACAGATTGGTCAAGAGTCTCGAAAAACTGTCGTGTTTCAAGAACCAGGTTTGTTAAGAACTACTTTCAACGTTATACAAACCTTTTTCAGATACTGGGTTCCCAAATGAACACGACCAACTAACAGCTCTACACGACTCTGAGGTTGGTGTTTCGTTCATGCTAGGAGAGGGGAGGAAATAAATCTTTGTGTGTAGGATAGTAAAGTTAAGCATTGCCACATGGAGTTGTCATAAAACCGTCGGGTTGGGCGCCTCGTCTCCGGCGGAAATGCCACAATCTATCTACTCATTCGATTTTCTAAGCTGTATCTATTCTCATTTTTAGGAGGGCAACCGGAAAATGTCATTAGTTGGAAAACCGTTAACATACAAAAATTATCGTACTGACCAACGATTCCGCAGAATGCAGAACAAAATGCACAATTTTCTGGAGAGGCCGCGAGGGTGGAAAGCGGCATCCTATCATCTAGCGGTGTAAGTTGATTTTTTCTAAATAGTGGTTCCCAAAAATTATATTTTTTTAGACTCTTCATGGTGCTCATGTGTCTTGCTCTTTCTGTTTTCTCAACAATGCCTGATTTTGAAGTGAAAGCAACTATCGTTCTATACTATCTGGAAATCGTATTTGTTATCTGGCTGGCAACAGAATACATTTGCCGCGTCTGGTCTGCTGGATGTCGGTCGAGATATCGAGGAATCAGTGGGCGCATTCGTTTCGCTACAAGTGCCTACTGCGTCATTGGTTAGTGAGAATACATCTATCTAGTCTATAGAAAATACATTTTTTTCAGATATTATTGTCATTTTGGCCTCTATCACAGTATTATGCATCGGAGCAACAGGACAGGTTTTTGCAGCGTCGGCGATTCGGGGACTACGATTTTTCCAAATTTTGAGAATGCTCAGAATAGATAGACGTGCAGGAACATGGAAACTATTGGGAAGCGTTGTGTGGGCGCATCGACAAGTAGGTCATTATTTATGGAAAATTAGAAAACTAAAAAAAATGTAACTAACCTGGACATTTTCCGACGGGTTGAGTAGAACAGATGAGCGTTGTAGGTTGACTGACAGGAGAATAACCTGTATGGGCCCGTGTATTTATACAGGTACTCGATGGGCGGAGTGTGTTGGAATGACCCTTCCAGAACAATCTACGGGATTAATTAGGGGTGAGAGAGTGAAAAAGATGAGAGTCCAGAGATAGTGGCAATGGGGGAACACCTTCTGTGACGATCTTTGGTCAAAGGTAATTATTAGAGAGACCAAAGATCAGAAAATCATAACCCAGATATCGAAGAAATCTATGAAAATTGATAGATACCGAAAACCAAAGAAATAAAAATAAAATTTCAGGAATTACTGACAACAGTGTACATTGGATTTCTAGGACTAATTTTCTCTTCATTCCTTGTTTATCTCTGTGAAAAAAATACCAACGATAAATATCAAACTTTTGCTGACGCTCTTTGGTGGGGTGTGGTACGTTTCTAAAAATGACAGGATTTTAGAAACTGGGATTTTTTTTTGCAGATTACCTTGTCTACAGTAGGATATGGTGATAAAACTCCTGAAACTTGGCCTGGTAAAATTATCGCAGCATTCTGTGCTCTTCTCGGCATTTCGTTTTTTGCTCTGCCAGCTGTGAGTACCTCAAAAATTCATAAAACCGACACGGAAAATTATTAATTCAGGGAATCCTCGGTTCTGGGTTCGCTTTGAAAGTCCAACAACATCAACGTCAAAAGCATTTGATCAGAAGAAGAATTCCTGCGGCCAAACTCATTCAATGTCTGTGGCGTCACTATTCAGCAGCACCAGAATCTACGTCATTGGCAACCTGGAAAGTTCATTTGGCTCGGGAGCTCCCACCAATGTTAGTTTTTTTGTAGCTCTATATGAAGTAAAAATGAATTTTTAGCGTGAAATTCACTCCGAATAATGGAAGCAATAACGCAACAGGACTAATCAATCGATTACGACAAAGCACAAAACGTAAAATCATTTGAATTTGAGATTTTTCATTCTCCCATGACTTTCAGGAAGTCCAAACTCTCAATTGCAAGGGCCAACATCTAACTTTCCGTCTTCTTCTAAAAACCTATCGGTTCCCCGAGTCCATGATACGATCAGTTTGGTTTCTACATCGGATATCTCGGAGATCGAGCAACTTGGAGCGTTAGGATTTTCTCTGGGTTCTTAGAAAATGTTGTGACGTCAAAATAAAGTTTGTTTGCAGGATGGAAGTCAAAATCAAAATATAGCGGATCACGAAAAGCGGCTGATGACTCTGTGTTGCAATCCAGGATGATGGCTCCGTCGAATACAAATTTAGATGGTACGTTTTCTTATTGATTATTAATGCATGATCGTATTCAGTTAATTACTGTTCTTCCCATCTTTTCAACTTCTACTTATTATGAGAATTTGAAAATTAGTTTACTGATCACAAGGCAAAAAAAAAGAAAACATTTTTTTCAAGTTTATTCAATGAAAATTTTCTTTCATCGCACTAGAATACGATTTGTAGTCTGTAGTCACTCGTAGCCATAGAAATTAGGTACTTTCTCATTCCCACACCTTCATCCATACGTCACCTATCCTTGGCCAATCTCCTCTCTTCTCCTCTTTTCCATCATCACTATCTCTATCCGATTTTCCCATCTTGTTTGGTGTGACCGTTTGGTGTGTTTTCCTATTCCTCTCTTTCTCTCTAGACATGCGGCGGCGTTCGCGAAGGTCCGCGTCGCTGTGTCGTGTTGTCAACAACAATGGACAACATCTTCGACCCTCGCAACCGAGAGCAACGTTATCGGATGGTGACGTCATCGGAGACTACTCGCTCATGATGGCCCCAATCTACCAGTGGTGCGAACAAATGGTTCAACGAAACAGTGGACCGGGTGAGGATGGGGTGTGGAGTCAATTATCACAATTAACCACGTGTGCCACACGACGCGCCGAGGACATTTCAGATGGCGACGGTGAGCAAAGAGACAAAGGAAAAATGACGCAAAACCAAAACACTGAGCAGCGCAAGCAACTAATAATTTTCTTTTGTTTTCAATTATTACGCCCTAATTAACTGACAACTGACCTGTTTTTTGTCCCCATTCAACACCACACTAATTAAGCCAAACGAATGTCGGCGAGCTTTTTTCTTTTTTTCTTGCTGTTCGGCACGAATTGTTGTAACGCTTATTAAAGCATGACAATGGCCGTTCAAATGAGCTGATTCTTAACATTACACACATTTAAATCTGTCGCTTTCAAAGTTTGTTTTTGTTCGCCTAATGTTTTCATTTCGGTTATTTTCCCATGTCCGTGTCATTCATCAAAGTAGATCCGTCGATTTTTCAGTTTCGTTCATATGTCCCCTGCTTAGCTCAATTATTTTTTGCCAATTAGAAAAGTAACACAATTTAATAGATTCTGTAAGAATGAGTTCTTAAAATTACCAGTTTCTTTTCAGAGGAGGAGAACATCGGGTATCAGCCACAAACAATGGAAGAGCTCACACCAGCACTGAAAAATTGCGTTCGTGCCATTCGGAGAATACAACTTTTGGTGGCGAGGAGGAAGTTCAAAGAAGCTCTAAAACCTTATGACGTCAAGGATGTTATCGAACAATACTCTGCTGGTCATGTTGATTTGCAAAGTCGTGTGAAGACGGTACAAGCGAAATTGGATATTATTTGTGGCAAAAATATTGAGAAATTGGATCCAAAGATCTCAATGTACAATAGGATTGCCACATTAGAAAATACGGTAAGTTTGAGTTTTTAGGAAGTAAATAAAATACAATCTTCAGTATAGAAATTTTTGATTTTTCAGGTTGGAAAAATGGACAAGAAGCTTGATATGATGGTCGAACTGTTGATGAGCAGGCAACCCGGGTCACGGGTTTTCTCTCAATCCACATCTCCTAGAGGGGAAATTGTCAGTGAGCCAAACACGGGAAGGATAGATTTGACACGATCCAGAAGATCAGTTGCCAGTACTGATAACGAAATGTATACTGCTAGGTGAGCTCAATTCTTTAGAAAAATCTGGACCAATATTAATCAGATCTCATTCCCCCGGTGGTCCTGCAATCCGAATGGCCGAGGAAGAGGACGATGGAGCCTTCGATGAAACGAGCCCGTTGAATAATGGTCCCAGTACTTCCAGTTGCTAAACATGTCTCAATTACACTATTTTTCTTTTTACCCTGTTTCTCCAAAAACCCAGGTATTTTGTACAGCAGTCTCCGCACTTTGTGTAAATTTGGAATCTTGCTAATTTCAAGATTTCGTGCGATCATACGGATCTTCTATGAACCCATCTTTCTTTTTCTCAATAATGCATCTTATTTCTGCAAATTCTCATCATTTTGTTTTTTACCCAGTTATTTGCGCTTCCTCGTCTCCAGCCTATTTCATGAAACAAAAAACCGAGATCTTTATTAACATAAACATTTAAAACGAGTATCTCAACAGCTAACCAAATTCATAAACGAATACATTTTACATCAACAGAATTTTCAAGAGAACCACAAGAACATCGGCTGGAAAATTTTGCAAGAGGAGCTCTTGGAATACTTTTCGGAGTGATTGCGAATATCTGAAAACATTTATTTCTGAAATACAATTGAATATCTACAACCTCTTTCGGCTTAATCTCTTTAAGCTCAATAGTTGGAACTGTTAAGAAGCCATTCGACTGATTTTCCCTGTTTTTATGAGACACGTTGTCTGAGTATCCGCTTCTTCCATGTCTCAAAAAGATGTTTGCTATCATCTGACGGTAAGGAGCATACGCAATGCTGTGATGAACGGATTTATTATCTGGAAACCAGAATTTTTGAAAACCTACTAGAGCTGTTAAAGCAAACCGGATTCATTATTAGCATGTAAAGCAAGCTCCATGTGATCCAACTCAGTATTTCTTTAGACTCACAATCAAGAGTAGGCCATCTGAAATGATATGTTTTGAAATATAGTCTTAATCAAAGAAAAATAATTACGTTATAACATGAATTCTAGCAAGATTAGCCACTCTGTAAGGCAACAAACTGCAGGATGTCCACAGTGTTGTTGCAAAAATGAAGGCGAATGATGTTGCCTGAATAAAAAAATAAATTTATACGGAGAAGTATAGGTCTCACCTTCTTCTCGGATTTTATAGCATTCGTTGATCGGATATCCAATTTTCTTTTAGTCATGGTCAAATTGTATAGATAACAAGATACCATAAGAGAAGATACTATTGGGATGACACAGAAGATTATAGTAAACGCTTCATAGAAAAATCTGTTGATAGGAGAGAGCTGTAATATAGAAACAGTTGAAAGAATCTTTTGAAGAAACTCACCTGTCCTTCATTTACAAAAACAGAAAGGAAAATGAATTGAATTTCGAAACGCTGCTTCATATTTAGCTTCGTATTAATAAAGTATATGTAGCTATACATCCAATAATATGTGGCAAATCTGAATTAATTTTTGATTAGAATATTTCGGAAATTTGGCTCCGCGACGTTTCGAAAGCGGACGTTTCGAAAGTGTGACGTTTCGCAAGTGTGACGTTTCGCAAGTGTGACGTTTCACAAGTACGACGTTTCGATAGTAACAGCTTTGCGCTTTTTTGCATGAATGAAAAAGCAAAAACTTGTATTTGAGTGTTAAAATGGTTTTTCGAGCAGAGTTTTGTATATTTGAAGTTATCAAAACCTTAATTGCCGTACTTGCGATACGTCACACTTTCGAAACGTCGCACTTGCGAATTAAATCGAAAAGTGTGTTTAAAAGCTTCAAAAATAGAAAGCTCTATTCAAAAAACCATATAAACACTCTAACACACTTTTTTTTCATTTCCTTCCATGCAAAAAAGGAAAGCCGGAAATTTGGACTCACCCAATTGAAATGGCCCAAGTTGCATAGCAGAACATTTTGGCTCTAAAATAAGACATCCAAATGTCATATTTGAACGGCCAGCAAAAAAATATTAGCTGAAAACTGTTGATATTATAAAACCAAATTTATATCATATACCTTGTCTACATTTAGAAGTGTTAGAGACAATCCAGAAACTGCAAGTCCAACCCAATTTGCAAAATTCAACAACACAGTCAGCGAATGTACTTGAATGCCTGAATATCTTCTTGCAAGTAGCTCATAAGGGTGGCAAAATACTGAAAAAGTTATGAAATCACGTGTTCGGCCACAATTTGCTCACGTGTTAGTATGGAATCGCCGAGAGTCATGTTTAGGATAAACAAATGCAGAGTGTCTCCCTTCTTCATAAATAACTTGAATGAACACGAGACAACAAGAAAATTGATAACCGTCGCTACCAGACAAAAGGCTATCAACATGTCGTCCATCTGAAAATATGTATTTTGAAGGACAAGAAAACTATGGAACATTCATGTCGTAAACACTCAAATAGAATATTCTTCAAGCTGTCAATACTACGCCCATATATCTAATTTCCTACAGATGATATTTAAAAGTGGCCAACTGACAAAATATTAACCATAATATAACATTTTTGCTTTTGAGCAACTTTTTGATATCCTTAACCGGGATAAATTGGCGCAAAGTTAGAAGTTGGGGAGGTCAATTGATTAGAACCATGTGACGGATTTGGTATTTTTCAGAAGCATCTTCGTGTATTGAAATTTAATTAATCAAGCTACAATTTAGAGTTTCAGAAATTTCTGGAATCCGAATAACGCTTCTTTTTTCATTCCTAACTCTGTATCGCTGATTCAGAGAAAATGGTTTATTTCTTGTTTTCAGATAACATTCGTTTTGACGAAAATTCTCTGCGACCAGAATTTTTGCAAATTCTCCTTATGCTGAATAAAAGCTTGAATATTAAAAGCTTGAATAAGAAACGCGTATTAGTTAAACGGGGGAATCTACGTTTTAACTTTCAACAGAAAGAAAATTATTCCTGTAAAATCATACATTTTCCACAGATACTAATTTACTGTCATACTTACTTTAATAAAAATTAGACTTTTTGTACCATTATGCTCAGTTAAACAAAACATAATAGACAACTAGAGTACAGAAAGGTAAGAAATCTCTTCGGCCTCCGTTTCACAAATTCCGAGATTTTTTATTACTCCGGATTTTGAGAAATGTTGGTTTTCAAGATTTTTCACAAGCTGAGAATCTTGCAAACACAGCATAAAAATTTTTCCAGTAACCGATTTCAATTGTTCAGTGGATGATTTTTAGGCTATGATTTAAATAATTATATTTACTTACAATATAATATGAAAAGAAAAACTTACAGTTGTTGCGAAATATACAAAATTCATTGAGTGATAACATCGTGGCAACTGATGGACCGCAGCTATCTGAGACGCGTATTCCGCTGGGAGATCGGTGAAGTCATTCCACGTTCCGGACGGCATTGTTTCCACTACTCGACGAGTCGCGAAGTGTGGCATTTTAACAGGAACCTGATATTTTGTTTATATTCAGAAATTACTTATTCAATCGATGGCGGATTCTATAGTTGAGAGTATTTTTCTAAGTGAAACGATGCTCAGCAACACTAGTAAAAAACAACATTATAAATTTTAAAAATATGAGAAATATTTTATTCACCACCTGTTTTCAAAAAAAAAAGTCTTAAACTCTAAGAGCCTGGATAAAAATGGAAAAAAGTGTAAGTTCCTGAAAAAGTATCCGCCTATATTGATGTGTTGATGTCAGTTTGACATTAATTTTTCACCAATTTTTTTTCCTGGTCCCTGCATAAAACTTGGTTCCTCACGCACACATTTTCATGGAGACACATGAAGAGAGTTATCAAAAAATGGTCGCTTTGAATTCCTTCGCCACCCACACGACAAGACTTTTTTGTTGTTCTCAAAGAAAGTTTTATTAATTGGGATTCAGTTTTTCGAATATGGATAAAGAATATCTCAGAAAATTTGAAGAGAAAGCCAGCTGGAAACCAAGAAGTGAATTGAATATTTAAATTACGGAATAGATTTTTAAAGATCAAGCATCAAGTGAGTTGTTAGGAAAGTTTTATGACGGAACGCAGGGGCAATGGGGTTCAAAACTGTGGAAAACAGTTAGCAACGGCTCCCGACTTGAAGTTGGTTCTTCTTCTCTACAGCAGTTGGAGCTGGATTGGGGTCAAACGTAAATCCATCGTCGCTCTTCATTGGTGTCACTGGAGGTTCACTCATTGAGATTCGAACGACCTGTAAACTCACTATTCATTGCTTTCGACCCAAACCTGTTCTGTACTTCGGTTGACTGTCTGAGGCTGGCAAGTTCGGTGCACGACGATCGGCGGTTACGGTTGCGACGAATGGAAGCGAAGCTGCTGTCGGACTGCAAAGCACCCTCCGGTTGATTGTTATACAAAAAGCGAGTCCCAACTGGAATATTTACTAGGAATTTCTTAATAGTCAAACGGTACGGAGCGTAGATTAGCGACGTGATGAGCGGGTTGATGATCTGCAAATTGGCCTAACTAGTATTCTTGTCGAACAACAAAACAAAAATGTAAAAAAACTAACCGGATTGAGAGTGAGTAGGTACACTAGTATCCAAGCAATCCAGTTCATGCGTTGTTTTCCTTCACAACTGAGTTCTGACCAGCTGAAATCAATGTCTATCTTTATGATAATTTCACCGTCTACCTACGTAAACAAATGGATTCTGGCCAGGTTAACGATGCGATACGGTAGCAAACTGCACGAGGTCCAAGTAGTTGTAGCGAAAATGAATGCAAGAGATTTAACTTGGGCAAGAACCTATAAAATGCGGTCACTCGATTTTAGAAAAACAATTATAATCACCTTGTTCTTCATGACACTTGGATCACCAACGTTGGGAGCATTTCGCTTGCTACGTGTCAAATTGAAAAGATAAATGGAGACAATTAGAGAAGAAGTGACTGGGAGAACACAGAACAACATGGTGAAAATTTCATAGAAAAACTTTTTGTTCGGAGCCATCTGCAAAACTGATTTTGAATCTACCTGTACGTACCACCCGGCTAGACCGAAACCTGGAGGGAGCAATCCTGATGGTAGATGTAGACAATCTTGAACAGCCAACAGTAGGAGACAAATCTGAAATATCATTTGTTTCTCAATTCTTTTCGAAAACTAGCAAACCCGATAGACAACACCCAAATCGCAATGCAAAACATGCCGGCTCTCCGTTTTGACATGGATCTATCATAGTTCAAAGGCCAACGGAAGTAAATGAGCTGAAACCTAATGATGAGTAGATTTAAATTAGTTTATCAACCTTATCAACGTTGAGAAGGGTTAGCGAGAGACCGGAAACGGCAAGTCCAATCCAATTAAAATAGTGAACAACAGCACAAAGATGTTTTTGTTGAAGGAAGTCGTGTTTACGGATGAGAAGTTCATTGGGGTGGCAGAATACTGAAATTCGAGAAACGTTACTGTACCAAATGAGGAGGACCAGATATTAATACAATCAATACAGTTAGCTGTCAAGTTTTGGATTACTTTGAGAATTTTGGAAGGTGTAAAACAGATCTAGATTGAAAACTTTGCATTTACAAAATTTTATGCGATTTCCTAATTTTTCAGCTATTTGCCGAGTTCTGAAGGACAACTGCTTTTTCACGTTTTCAGTACGAAAACAAGAAAGATAGGGTTGCGCTTCAAAAATCGAAAGTTTGTCTCAAACCTTTCAAAATTTTCAAAGTGATCGGAAACTTGGCAGCCGATTTCCAGACTCCTGAAAATGGTATTTCAACTGAAAAACACGTTTTTATATCTTATTGGTACTGTATGTGTTCACGTTTGTGAGACAATTTAAAATTAAATTATTCCAGCCATTGGGTCGACAAGCGAGACAACAAATAAACTTATCTGATACCTAAGGACACGTAAAACAAATCCTATTAACCGCCGGAAGTTCATTCACCGGATGTTAGTTCAATTAATCAGACGTGTACATTAAACCCAGTTGATAGGAAAAGTAAAAACAACACAATCTGTGACTTCTATAACTGTAATACTAGATTCTACTTAAGATATTTGGAAAAAATAATAAGGTTCCTACAGTATCCCAAAAGATCAGCCCTACTTACTTGTCAATACGAGATCACCAATTGTCATATTGAGGATGAAGAGATGCATAGTATCACCACTCCGTTTGAAAAGTTTTATGGCACAAAAAATCACCATCACATTGAATACGGTAGCAGCCATACTTGCCGCTAGCAACATATCGTCTACCTGAATAATAAAAAGCATAAAACGGCTCAGGGTTACTGTAGCAAGAACTTACCGTATAGGTAAAAATTGTGAACATCGGATCATTATAGCACTCTTCATATTCTGCATAGGCTTCTGTAGTTGGGACACTGGTGGGTACCGTAACGATGCTAGTGATACTGGATACGGTAGTTGTGCTCCCTTCCAGCGTTGTACTGGCATTGATGAAATCAAGCGATAAAAGCTCTTCCATGTTTCAAATCCATGCAAGACTCCAAGGTGTCTCCTAGAAAAGAGCTGTTGAGAACGACAAAAATACGGCAAGGGGACGAATTGAAAATGAAGCAAATTGAGTGTATGTGTGGATCGTCTGCTTTGTGAGGGAAGGAGGAGACCTCGGAGTGAGAAGATGATGACTGTGTTGTCGAAACGTGCATAGTGTGGGAGATGGGGGCCAATTCGTTCCGCGGGGCCGTAACAATACATATCATTTTCTGGGATAATTTGGGCTAATTATGTCATGTACTGTATATTCTGAATACGTTTTTTTTACGCCATCTCTTCTGACTTACTGACTGCTCGCTGTGTCGACTTAATTTGGGGTTTTCATTCTTTGTTTTCTCCTAACATCGTTGAAAATGAAGTGGTGAAAGTGGCGGCATTGGTAGGAGGCAACGGAGCCGCTCCACCTGACAAAAATGGGCCAACGCATAAAAAATAACGGGTTAATGATAGTGTTCGGTCTTTCATGAGACACCGCCACCAGAAAAAAGCAGGTCAATAGTATTTTTTTCCGAATTATAGATATAGCTTTTGTTTGGGTTCAGTGCTTGGGTTTTCAGAATATCTTGTTTTGTTTCTGATAGCTGAGCCGCTTTGATCTTTCACGCATTCTAAGACATCACAGGTTTATTTATATACACTCTCTGAGGTAAAATAATAAAGAGAAAGAGAAAAATATCTGGAATCTGAATATCAGACACGACTAAAACAGGAATCTTGAAAAATATGTACTATGAGAAGGTGGAGATCGATGAGAGGCTGATCGGAAGAGCAAGTCGGAGATGGTATTTAGGAAAGAGCCAGAAGAGAGAAAAAAGAAGCGGGTTGAGATTATTCGATTATCATCAAAATTGTAAAGGAGTTCCATAAGAAATTACATCATGTCAATTGGTTTTCGGAGATATATATCTTTTCCTATGTTCGCAATGTCGAATTCCAACACATTCATCAACTGAAAATCAAAATCATGTTTTGAATTTAATAGTATAAATAGGCCCACCGAAATGTAATCCCGACGTTTCTCTCCAAAGTTAACGAAAGTGGAAATCCCCATCAGAATGAACGAGAATCGGCTCATCCCGATTTTAAATCCGTACTCTGCAACCAAATATTTTCGGAGAAGTGTGGTTAGTCGCTGTCGCTCCTCATTGACAATAGTTCGTCCAGTTTCGGACATCTCCAGGTTGTCTGAATTAAAGATTGTATATTTTTAGGTCGATTTGGATATTTCTCACCTGGAGAGAAAAGAGAAATGGACTTGAAGAAAGCATATTCGGTCATGGTGATTTTATTTTTTAGGAACTCATTCACAGGCGCGTTGTACATTTCGGCATAGTAGTTGAGAAAGACTTTTCTGTAAAAACTGGAATTCAGATATAATCTGAATAATATAAAAGATTCGGACCGTTTCTCATCCTTCTTCATATCCGACAGCTTCCTTTCAAAAGCGTTAATGCCATCCGGGAATGTCAATGTCGACGACTTGGCTTCGAAATATGAGTAAAATGATTGGGTTGCTACATGGAGCACCCCTCCGATGTGAGAAATGAGGCACTTCTATAAAAATGATCAGTTATAGAAGAATGACATAATGAGAGTTTACCTGATCAAGTTCGCCCAAGCTTCTGAAGGATTCAAAAGTTTTCGCAAACTCCACAATAAGGAGAAGGTCCACAACCATCCAGTATCTAACCGGGTCTTTGGTGTAGAGGGTTCCAGGTTTCTGCAACAAAGTTTTGAAAATGAGAAGTGAAATAATCACTTACTCTATCAACCATACTGTCTCCTCCAATGAGAATATTCTTTCTTAGCAACTGACCGAGACAGAAGTCTTCTTCAACTGGCAAGGTCCCAGGGACACGGTGTCGCAAGACTGCATCCTCTCGACGGAACTGAAAATTTAGGATATCATTTATAAGCACGTCCCTGGAGCACTCACGATATCATCAACCCATCTGTATGTGTGTATTGTGGTTTCTCTGATTGGGCTTGATGCAAATGGGATTATTGCCAAGGCCTTGTTATCTTGACATTCTTGGCCGTTTCCTGGAGACTCATCATCTGCACTATCTTGCTCATCCGCTTCGGCATGTGATTGTTTAGTTCCAGCTCCAGGGAATTGGATAGCGGATGGGTTCATACCAACACGGACACATTTTTCGAAACGGCAAGCACGACAAGCGCAACGGAAGTCTAGAAATTGAAAAAGTTGAAAAAGTTAGATTCAAATACATTTGTTTCACCTTTTGTGAATTGACAATTTCCTCCTTTGGTACATTGAAAATTTCTGTTATTGATGATGGTCCTTCTGAAGAATGTCTTGCAACCATTGCAGCTGAGCACGTCGTAATGGTATCCGGTAGGCTGAAATTTCATAGTTGCTTTTATATAACTGTTTCTATCACGAATTTCCAGAATTATTTTCCCGATAGAAAAGTTTAGATGCCCTTTATGCGTACTATCACATACGGTTCTGTCACAAAAACCGATCTTTAGACTCTCCTCGATTCTATTAATACTTGATGTCTCCGACTCTCACTATTTCTCGTATTCTCTTCTACCATCTTTTTTCTATTCGCCGAAGAGATAACACTATTTTCGCAAGTGACAGTAACACAGACACAAAATCTAGAGGTGGCCAAAATTCATGTGAAACGCAAATGTGGGGTAACATTTTGAACTTTCAAAGGAACCTACCCGATCACCGCAAACCGAGCAATGATGCTTGTCGCTTTTCCGAACGTTGCGAATTTTGCGAATAGGTGCTGGTGGAGGAAGTTCGTTGTTGGAGGAACACTCCATCATCTGGGTGTCTTCGGCTGGCGAACGCATCGGAGATATAGAATCGGACGACATGGGAGAGTGCGAGGACAAACTTCCGTCAACCTGAACATATCGAACATGGATAATGTATAAATAGAAGATAGATTGCTTACGATATATTTTTATTACCGTTCTGTTTCTGAACACGTTCAGTGTCAGAAGAACAACAAAATGGTTTATTTTGTTCTCTCCTTGAATCCTAATCCCTTATTTGATACTGTGTGTCACTTTCTGTATCTTTTGTTTTTTTTTCTCTTTGGTCTTTTCTTTTCCTATTTCCACATGTTTCTTCTTTCTTCCGCCTAGTGTCAATAAAACCTGGAAAGCTTCAGGAAAAAAGGAAATGGAAGAGATCTTGTAGCGTGTATTTTGGTTTCTGATCATCTGATTTTCGAAGATTGGCATAGCTAATGAGCCCAGGTGCTTGTCTCACAGCATGAGCGAATTATAAAAGTTACCTAATACCATCATATGCTAGAATAATTTTTCACGTGTATTACGTTAGTAGTCTGACAAAAATGAAAATTGAGTAATACTGAAAATAAGTACAACTATGATATTTTTCTTTTTTTCAAATGTGATCTGTCGAAACTACAGATGTACTAAAATAGATCAAAAGTTAATGAAAGTTTTCGTTTTGGAAAATATGTAAATGAAATATATTAAAGCTAGCTAAAACTCACATAAAAACAGTTTGGCATGAACAATGGTCATTTTTAATCTTCAATCGGTGAAATGGGTTTTGCGACACATCGGGATAAAAAGGATGTGACCGAAAAAGGTTTGTCACTAGTGTCTATTGTTTCGTTGGATACATGGACCACTTAAAAGATGTCTATCGGTAAAATACAGCTGATCACAACAACGACCTTTTGCAATAAAAGAGATAATAAACTGACCCAGTTTATCGAATCACGATTGATCCACATTAACGGCGATGGGTGTAGCAGTTTGTTGGATTTGTCCAGGTGAGTGCAGTTCATGGTTTCCCAGAAGGAAGACATCTGTAGATAGAAAGAGACGTATGAAACGAGGCTACACAAAAAGTTATGTAATTCGAGGCTGCCGTCAAAGCAGAATATATAGACAAAAATGGGAGGAGAGAAACGGGGAAATAAAAACGATGGAAAGTGTAAAACAATCTTTAGAGATTCAAAATTTCGACGTTTTTGTTTGTTTGCTTTATCTTTCTTTTTTTGAGTTTTTAGCTTTTTTTTAATTCAACGTTTGGGAAATCGAACATGTTCAAGAGATTCTATTACTGAAAAGTGCAAAGTTTCGGAACTCAAATTTCACACAGAGTCTACTTGCTCAGAAACCAGACATGAGAAATAATGAAGCGTCCACTTTTTTTTTGATCATTTGCTCTCCCACAAATTTGCAAAACAAATTTATCGGCAACTTCTTCAGAAAACTGTACTCAAGAAACCAATTTTTCATATATAAAAATTCAAGTATATGTACTCGGCTGTCGGCTTGCAACTTCTGGACGGAAGTTGAGGGGTTCGGCTTTTGGACGGATTTTGGTCAGATTTTGGTCAGAAGCTGCCCACTGACAGCAGTGGGACGGACAATGGTCAGATTTTGGCCGGAATTTGAAGGCGCTGCGTGTTAAGAGGTCGAAAGCTGGCCGGTAATTTGTCGGATCTTGGTCGGCTTTCCACAATGTTTTTGCCGTAATCTGACCAAGCTCCGGCCAAAAGTAACCGGCGACGCCTGAGTATTCTAGTCCAAACTGTTGCAAAGTAGTAAAAGAATCTTCTTGGTGGAAAAATCATGACTTTCTCTATCGATTACAGTCCATTGACACGCTGTCAATTACATCAACACATTGTAATCTTGTTTTTTTCACCTCTCACATTGTCAAACTTCCCCTCTGTCTTTTTTTGCCCAACTCGGGTCAACGACTGAGAAAAACCAAAATTTCATTTGTTGTTCCCACTTAAAACACTGTCTGTACGCTGATTGGTGGTTAAGACAGTCAAAAAAGGACAACTAAACATTTCGATTGCGACAGAAAAGTCATAAAATTACGAAAAGATTCTCAAATTTCTGTTCACTTATTGGAGTTTGTGACCATTTTTTGTGACTGACTGGAAAGGATAGACAAGGCGACAAACAGAGAGAACAGAGATTGACAGATCGCGACAAGACTAAGCTACCGTAATCGCGACTATAAGATTATTCCCCCAAAGCAATCTAATCTAGAAAGAAAAGAAAGATGAAAACAAGGTTTTTTCCAAGAAAAAAAAGTAAACTAGACACTAGTTTGCAAAAGTACCGAAATGATTCAGATTTTATGATTTTCACATCGATACTGCAATTTTCTAATCAATTCGTGTTGTCTGCAAAAAAATGTACTAGGTTGGAAAATCAGCTTCTTCTAGAATATATTTTCCCTAATTTTGTGACTATACAAATGGCGGACACTACAATCGGCCACTACAAGAATCTTCCGTGCAAAGGTCGTTTGAAGTACAGAGATAAGGGCAAAAATGAAAAAGGTGTTTATAGGAATTCGAGAAATTTCTGGAAAGAAATGCTTGTTGTTAGGAGAAATTGAGAATGCCATGAGACTTTCTAGTCAGACAGACCATTTTTTTGCGAAAAAAGTGGAATTTTTTTTTCAGACAATGCCTCAAAAAAATGACACGTGTGTTTTTCAAAAGTGAATGATGAAATTCTTAGCATTCTCTCATTTATAAAGAAAAAAGCAACGCGGAAGAATACAATTTTTCAGAGAGACAGGAAATTACAAATCGTCACATGGGCTCCGCACAAATTAGCGGGTGTAATTGTGTTCCTGTGCTTCAGAAGTCGTTGACTCAGACTCATAATGATACAAAGAAAAAACAGAACGGGCATCACAAACTCCGCTAGACTAATATCACAGAAACGGATTCAAGGAAAATAGGATTTGTCTCGAAAAAAAGAAGGAAATCTCGAAAACCGAGGGTGGCCGTTGGGTAGACATATTAAACGCCGATTACTATAGAGATCGGGAATCGAGATTTTAATTTTACTTCAGTTGCAAATAAGATTTTTGGATGTTCTTCATAGATATTTGCTGTGATAGACCAATTCAAAATTTTTAGGCGTCATCAAAATGTAGACATATCCTTGAAATAAATAAAAAAAATACATGTATGGCATCCTAACTAGGCCTATTGTTGCAAAAATATTCCCCATTCACTCGCCGCCTCTGGCGTAATAGCATATCATGTTTTTGATAACAGATTTACTACCATTTATGGCTTGACCAAAGAGTTAGACAAAAACATTATTACAAAAAATGATGACAAATGCGAGAAAATGAGAAAAATATGAGGGGCAGAACAGAAAAAAAACTGTTGTAACGAGAGAAAGATTGAGGTGAGAGTGAAAAAAAGGTGAAATTGTTTCTCTCGCAACTTCCCTCCTCTTTCTTTCCAACTTTTTTTGTGACCGTGTAGACTGTATTTTTTGAGAGAACCAGGGAGGTAAAAGAAACGAAGCGAGGTGGGCCTGTTCACGTGTTACATGACGTTGAAAGCACGCCACGCGACTGACGGAACAGTCATTGCAGCACCAGACCAACTGGGTCACAAAATTTATGTCTCGGAGGCCAAAAACAATCAGGTTGGACAGGCAGATTTTTGATTGGCTCACAAATTTCTCAATTTTTTGTCAATTGCGACAAACAGTTGAAACTCGAGGTGTAAATAAAATCAAAAAGTTTACAAACATTTTAAAACGGAAATTAAACTCTGTTAGTTTGTTTCGATAGTCGTGGACTTTCTTCTGCGCTTTCGGAGGAATCACACAATTTTTTCACGAGTATTCGAAATATTCATAGGAGTCTACAAAGGTTTCCTGTCCGTAATTTTTTCTCTCTATCACGTGATAATCGGATTGATTTAGGAGTAATTTCGTTGGCGACTTTTATTGGTCAACACACAGTCACAGAAATTAAAGTATGAATAAGACCGAGAGGGGCACAATATGACTAACAATCTGGACAGCAGACAGAGCACTCATGATTTCTCAAAATCAGATACAAATTTCTGGAGAGAAAGACTTACAAGTAAATCACAAAAATAACAATATTCCAGTGAATACACTTCGTATTTTCACAATTGCACTCATATATACAAAATCTCTAGCTTTGTTTTGCCTAAATGTGAGCCCACCCGGAAATTCATAATAACAGGAAATTCGAAACATTTAAAATGAGCAATCAACTTCAAACCAAAACACAATCAATCCTTATTTGCAAAACTTTCTTGCCTTGTTGAAAAAAAATGACGCGCTAGGCTCTTCATTTTTGTTAAGAAAATACAGCATCGAACTAATCCGGTCTGTCTTTTATTCTAACTGTGTCTAGCGCCGTTCATTTTTCAAACAATGAGTCAAGAGATGATCTTTGGAAAAAGGGATAGCAAATTTATAAAGTGAATGAATTTTTTTTTTTGCTTTTCTAACAAAAAGGTTTCACTGTCCTTGCCACGTTAGCTAACGGTTTGCACTTTTTTGTTGACTTTATTGAACAAACTTTCGAAAAAGTATACGGCGGAAAAATTACGAGCAGCATCACAAAAGTTTCATGACCGATTGGAAGAAATGTAACTGTTTACAACTTCTGGAAAAAATCGGTTTTCTGAAAAGAGCATTGCGTAGTTAGAAATCGGTTTTTAATTTGTCACAATTTTTCCACATAGTTTTTTAGGTTTTTCATAATCTTGTCGTACGGTTTCCACGATTTGTTATCAATTTCCCGCACACTTCCGAGTGACCTTTGCCCATTTCTCACGTTTCACACAAGATTTTAAAAATGAAATCGAGCGGAAACAATTTCCAAGCGGGGCCACTATTTTTGAAATTTTAGTATTGCGCAATGACGCGTGCATCTAAAGCATTCTCTCACCTAGCAACGATTTTGGCATAGACACCACTAAAGCCGCCGGCGGACGACATTTAGTACGTTCGCCAGAGCCTTTTCATTCTTTTTTTTTCACTTTGCTATATACACCCATGTTGTCTTTCTTCTTCCCCATATTATTGTGAATATGTCAGCCTCTACTACTGTCAAACGAGCACGGGTAACGGCTAGAATAGCAGAGGCAGAAAACACAAGTCTACCGACATCTTCAGAAGTCACTCAACAGCTGCTGCAGCAGGTGAAAAAACCTAATTACAGAAAAATGACATGACTAGGGAGAAAAAAGTAATTTTCAGACTGAAGCAAAACGAAAACAGCTTGATAAGAAATGCAGTGATTACGAGCAAATTTGCAAGAAGACTGCAAAATTGAAATTGGAGACTAAACGAATTGAAACGGAACATCACAATTTAGCGGTAATTCCATTAAAGAGGCACACACTCATACAGACAAGACGTGATAACATGTTTTATCAATAATTGATTTTCGAAAATCGCCAAGTCATTTCTGTCGCAATTTTTTCGCAACGTGACTGACTGATAACCGCACTGACTATATACTTTCTTATCTGGATTTTCGTTTTATTTTAAACACAAAATAAAATGAAAAAAAATTGGAAATAGAATAGAGGAAAAATTGGAAGAGATCTTTTTGATATCACTTTCACCACCCTCTATTGTTGACTGACATGAGACTTCAAACATTCGGGAACACAAGAATAAAACGAGAGAAACCCGGACTGCAAAAGAAAAAAAAGTTGCGGACAAGTTGGAAAATTTTTACGATAACAATGATTTTTGAAATTCACACTTTTTTTTTGATTACTTGTGAAAAACCAGTTAGACAAAGAAAAGAGAAAAAGAAGACAGAGAGGTTAATTCCACAAAATACAGCTGCGGAGTACTTTTTGGATTGTGTATGTATTAGCGACCAATTTGAACAGCTTGTAGCGACTAGAGCTAATGATGAAAATTGCAATTTTAAAAATTTGGTAAAATAAAATTCAATTCCAGGCTCAATATGACGAAATCGATGAAACGTTTACCAAAATCGAGCATAACGCCGAGGCAAGCTTCTTATTGCAACAACAAAAGAACAATGAAATGAATGAGGCCGTGCAGAAATGGTCGGCGCTGGATGGAAAAGAGGAGAAACTGTATGACGACTTGATGCATGAAGCGGAACTAGGAAGAAGTCTTCGAGAGAAGCGTGAGTTTTGTCAATCAAAATAATATTATGATTTTATGTGTTGTTGCATAGAACTATTCAAATGCACTGAATCACAATGAGCTTCAAAAATACGAATTCAGATGCCGAAGTAACCAAAAATCTGAATCACATGGGATCGGATGCGGAAACAGATGAAAGAGCGTTCCAACAATTGGAAGCTGCATTTGATGCTAATATGAGAACAGAGAAGGTGATATTAAGTGAAAAAAATAAAAGGAAAATTAAGAATAGTGCGATACTAAAATTGATTCAAACCACATCGGTTCTTCTTAGCGTCCTACAGCTTCATTAGAGCTCAGAATTCATCATTTCTGGATTGGAAAAGCTCCAGTTACGGTTACCGCTAAACCTCTATTAGAAGGGCTTCTAAAACTACACGGTCACTCTAATTAAATTGCATTCCTGATGACCCCACCAAAAATAAAATTGTTTCTTCTAAGTAAATGGCCTCTTTTTTTGAAGTGCCCCCCTTGAGACCTCACCAAACATAAAAGGTTCGGCCTTTCTGATACAGGTTTCACGGTAACCAAGAAAAGTTACAGTATCACTTTTACATATTTTTCACATCATACTTTTTGCTTTTTATAGCCCTATTCTAGAGCTTCTCCTTTAGTAGGCCTTTTTTTCTCCTAATTTCCGTTCAATCATCGAAAAGTGCTTTCACTGTAAATATCTTTAAAAGATCTGTTAATCTGCTGATAGATTTCTAATCTGAATGCTTTCAGCAACAAACTGAATTGCGCATTTACAGACTCTGGAGCATTATTTAACCCGATTGATTGATGATGTTTTTATCAACCAAAGAAGATTGGAGGATATACAGATCGGTGAGTGGGCTGTTCTTAGAATAAAACTTGGAAAGTTCAAGTAGGGCGAGATTATCCGTTACTGTAGATTTGCAAAAAACGAAAGAAGAAATAAGATCAGATTCCAATTTTGAACAATTTTTTTCAAAGAAACAAGGGCTCAGACACACGACTACAATACAGACAAAGTGATTATTAATTTGAGCTTTAGGTGAAAATAAGCCAATAATACCTCAAAAGAATGTCTTTTAAATGTCTAAAGGCTCTATTAATGAAATTACGTTGAATGTACTTAGGAACATCAAGAGGACGTGCAAATTTCCGACAAGCTGAAAAGTCACTTCGAGACCAGCGTACAAGAAACAGGCGACTGAGTGCACAGATTGCAAAAAACACGGTAAGTTATTACAATTTGATTAATCAAAATATTTCCAATTTCATACTATAGATCCAGAAGTCATTGTTCTTTCTTATCTAAATATCCATACCTGTTTTTTATGATTTCCAGGAGTCAGAATCGGATCGTGTATTCGAGGACGAGGACAGGGATAAAATGAGAGAGGTGCAAAAATTGGACGAAATGGAAAAGGCGTGGTTCACTCTTGAAGACAAAATCCGTCTTAAAGAATTTGAACTGGCTGAAGAGTCAGAAAAGGTTTAGTTGATATGAAAATAGTTCGAAAAATACTCGTTTGGTTATTTGGTAACTTTAGGTGAATCATCAACTGGCAATGCTCGATAAACAACAGTCCAGAAATTCGGCACGTGAAGAAAAACAAAAACAGCTGAGAATAGCAAAAGATTATGCAGATTTGCAATCGTATGAATTTTAAAGTTCAACAGTACAGTAATCCCGAAAATGTTCAGCCACACACCAATGTATGCCGCTTATTCTGCATCTTTGAGTTTGAACCATAATTTGATTAAGAAACTGGAGATTCCGGCCAGTCGAAACAGTATTCTTAAGGAGGTACGCGGTTAAGTGGGAAAACTCGCCCGAAGGACGGAGAAAGTTATTGAAAGTTTATTATTTCTTTACAGCCAACAACAACATACCGAAGTTCGCAAACAAGTGGAACCCCGAACCAATTTGTTGAGTTTGATGACGAAATGGACGATTTCCCAGAGTATTCAAAAATGAACGAGAGTCGGAGGAAGGTATGTCATGTGTTGGTTTTGTTAGTGCCAAAGTTGAAAACATAGAAATTCTTGATCGAAAAAATCGATCTTAAGAAACAATACTGGTACCGATTTGGAACTGATGTTCTCGCAACAAGCGGAATTATATTGTTTTACAGAAGAACTATAAAAGCTTATTGTATACCATTCTTTTGCAGATTCTGCGAGACACTGAAAACGAAGCTGAAAGAGTGCTAGGCATCGAGCTAAAAGAACTCGAAGGAGTAGTTAGTGGACAAAGACAGGAGGGTCAAGCACTAGCCAAAGATGTCAAGTGGCTGAAAGAAAACATTCAGGTATCACAAAACAGTAAAAAGAAGAAGAAGATATTTGAACACATTTTGACCGCCGTGATCTACGTCATGATGCAAATCAGAATGACTGTTTCTATGATCACTGTTTCCTTATTGGGTTCTCTCCAAACGTCTTCTTATACCCATCTGACGATGATATTTTCTGATCTTTTTGCGCAGCGCACTTGTGCGCGAAGCATGAGGTGATTTTTAGAATATCAGTGATGACGACAGATTTTTGTAGTGGTAGGGATGCGTCCAAGAGGATCAAAAGTTGAGATGACAACGTAATTGTAGGATGAGTAAGCGATATAACTACATAGAATGGACAAAACGTCAGTTTTTGAGATCATGATGAGTAAACAAAACTCTTATACAGTATCAACGTCATACAATGAAGGCATTTGGAGTTTTTTCGAACTATGAAAATTAGAATCCTTGACTTACAACATCAGACAGAGATATATTATGCTTTAAATTTTTAGTAGAAAAAAGTCAACTTCAGAGTCCTGAAAAATTACTCCAGAAATTTTCCATTTCCGAAAATTGAAGACATCTTAATTTGTATAGTTTTCAATCATTTTTTCAAATGTCATTATAACGAGGCATGCTGTTTGTAACCGTTTATCCAAAATTATCAATTAGAGTTCTGAGGTCAATTACAGAACCAGTCAATAAGAAATTAACAAAGTGTTATTCAATTGATCTATGGCCATTTTGCCCATTTTCAGGAGTCTGGAGCTCCGCTGTCAAATGTCCGATCACTTTGAAATTTCAGGAGGTTATAGGACAGACATAGGTTAAAACACTTCGACAATTCCTAGATTTCCAGTTATTTGCTAAGTTCTGAAGGACACCCCAGTTTTTCCTGCTTTTGTACTAAAAATATGAATAAAGCAGGGTCCTTCAGAACCCAGCAAATAACTGAAAAACTATCATCAAAATTTTCAAAGTGATCGGACTTTTGACAGCTTAAGACTCCTGAAAACGGTCAAAATCCGTTGAAAAAAACGTTTTTGTATATCTTATTGATCAGTACTGTAATTGAATTCTCGACCGGCATTACCCAATAAAATCACAATATTGAATTTTAATAAATAAACACAATCACAAACGAAAAATAACATCTAAATGTTTAACTTTTCCAATAATATTTAACTTTTCACATAAACCAATTACCCCACTCACCTCGTTCGTCCATCTCAATGGGTTCCAAATATTGAGGGCAGTAGTTTGATTGACCTGATCCATGATTTATTCTATTTTTTGCAGCTTCGTAAAGCAGATGTGGAGTTTTATACCACCAAGGCCGAGGAACTGATCCAAAGAGCCCGCAAAGAGGATCAAGACAAATTGCAATCCGCCCAGCAGAAATCACAAAAAAGTTTCCCTCTGGTAGGTGTTTTTATTCTCATTCACTTAAACGTTTCTGAAAAGCTCATCCTCTTTTCATTGATCAGGATTTGATGGCAACTCGAGGTGATGTTCTAGAGTTGCGCGAGAGGCGACTTATTTTGGAGAACGAGCGTAACATACTCGCTAATCAGATCAAAGAAAACAGTCTTGAATGTGATCGGCTCGATGAACAGTGGAAGATACTAAAAGGATTCGCGAAGAGTGTGAACTTTGACGTAAGTCAATTACTGAGAGTGCTTCCACAAAAAATTGTTTCCTTAGAGTATAAAACAGTTGGATATGGAAATCGAGAACTGGAAAATAAAAACTACTCAACTAGATGAGCAAATCGCCAAGCTTCAGAAAATGGAAAACTATGCTTCACTAGCAAATGGTCAGCTTCGTAACAACCTTGCACTTTTGAAGCCATATGGTAATATCACCGTTTTTAGAAATGAAACTAATAACTGAACTTTGCAGACGAGGAATATCAAGAGTTTGAGCATTTGCTAGAAACTAATAAAGTGCTTCATCAACAAGTAGAAAGGCAAGAATTCGAAAGAAGTGTGGAAGAACTGAAACAGAGTGGCGATATTGATATAGTGCTTTGAAGTTTTGCAGATTATAATTGGTTCTTTCTTGGTAGCTAGATATCGAGTATTGTGTATTTAAAGTAAAAATAAAAATGTTCATCTTTTTTATGCTCTTTTGTTTGTTTCTTAACATAACATTGTGCAACAGCCACTACAGGATTACCAATGAAACAAATAAATGACGTTTGTTTTTTCACCATGTTCTCGAATAATTCAAATTATTCTACTACGCCTCCCGTAATCTCCATGAAACAAGTTTTTTCCCTACTCTCCTGTAGATCAAACTTTCCAAACTTCCACCCCCATTTACTAGGTTTTGAGTCATCATTTTTCCCGTATAATTCACTAAATCGTGCAATAAAATAGGTCGCGTGCCACCTCTTCCAACGTTTTTTTGTACAGCAAACGATTTCTGAATTTCTATCATTTTTTCCCAACCGATTATTTGTCCCTGTAAAAAATCGAATAAACACATCCCACATATGTTGTGTAGTTCCATATACTGTCTGTCTCCAAACACTAAAATATTTTCAATTGTTAGTCTTTCACTTTTTTAGAAACGGATGATTGTCAATATGAAGTCTGGCAGCCATATTTGTAAAATTCCGGACCGGCCCGCCAAAGCCCGGGCCCGGGCCTGGGGAAATTTTTCAAGACCCGGGCACGGCCCGGAAGGCCCGGTAGAAAAAATGTTGTCATTTTGAGCCAAATGTTGAGCTCTCAATACAAATTTCTCCATTATTTTTTGTGTTTTTGGATTGTTTGTCAGGTTGATCAAAAAATATCAACAAAACTCGAAAAAAAATTTTTGATAAAAAAAAATCACATAAGGGTCCCCCCTTATGTGTTTTTTGAAATTTTCAGAACTTGTGAAATAACAGGCCCGCCGGGCCGGGCCGGGCTCGGGCCGGGCCTCCGAAATTCGGGAAAAAGCCCGGCCCGGCCCGTTACAAGTATGCTGGCAGCATTGAAACGTTTCCATAGAATTGGATTACTTTTCCGACGAGCACCTGAAAAGCGACCTAGTTTTGTTTTGATGGTCGTTTTATTTTTTTTTCTGATATTTTTTCTGTACTTCGGCGAATATTTGAACTCAAACATCTTTTTTTAAGTTCTATTTTTGAGTCGGGCACAAACTATAAGAGGGTATTGAACAGCTTCCTTCTGATTTCTAACCGTTTGGATAAGTCTATAGTCACGTGTGTGGGCTACAGTAAATCTGAAAACATCTGAAAAGCCTACAATCCTCAAGCTTAGACTTCCTTTTTCAAATCTCCTAAAATCCTTTAGGCTGACGTGATCCATAGACTTTAGCAGTTCGAAGAAAAAAGAACACGATAGATAGCGAATTTGAAAATTGTCGGGGAGCGAAATAAATAGTTGATTGAGTGAAACTTATGGTCGTTTTCATAGTAAACACTCCTCCACAGGAGAAATTCGAAATTCAAATTCGAATGATCTACCATCCAACAAATTCAGTCTGGAGAGAAATTTCAGCTTAAACTAATTTTGTAGAGAGCAAATGTATTAGGTACCTAATTATTTTCCAAAAGAAAATATTCCGAAAAATGTCAGTTTTCCTGGTTTGATAAAAGAAAATGTGGCAATTTTTAATAAAGCTTTAGTAGAGATCATAATGAGAAAAAAACCGAATTGAAAAGTTTCCGTTTTTTATAATACCTGTTTCTAGTCATCATCCACTGGTTTTTAGATGCTTTACTTACATTTGCTTTCATTTGTCTTTGACTCGAAATTTCAGAAAACTCTCAGAAATTATGTTCGCTTTTCTTTTTCTATAATCTCCCCTTAACTACGCTTCCCCGTTCAAAACTCAAAGTTTTTTGTTTAATAATCTGCAAGAAAAACCAACCAGATCAATTCTAATTCTTAAAATCACGTGTTCATTCATATTCTTGATTTCATATTATTCTTCCTGTTTTCTTCTCATGAATTCAAAAATAAAGGTGATCTTTTCGAGCTCTTCTATGTATGCTTCCTTCTTTTGCTTCCGTTATTTGTTATTCGAGTGTCACATTTTTAAAGTCATAGGAAGTTGTTTTGCATGATTTCATCGACATCTAAAAAATCCAGTAGAAAGAATCACACGATTTTTCAAATCTTATTCCTTTTTTCCAAGACTCAACAAATAAAAAAGACTATATTTTTGCCTACAGCATTTCTGATTGCCTAAATGCTCGAATTGAATGACATCCTATACACTTTGAGTTCCATTATGTATCTTGGATTCTATAAGAGATATCGGAAATCTGTCAACGGATAGAATATCGGTCGTTGTATCTTCCACGATTGTATTGTTTTCCAGAATTTTGATACCTTATGCAGAAATTGAGATAGTTGAGCGCTAAATGCAAGTACACATGCAAGTACGAGTGATGTTCTATTGGAGCATTTGAGGCCACATTTTTTCATAATTTTTTCACCTGTTTCCACTTTCAAAAATTGTTCTTTTTTTTGACAGACATGATAACACAACAAACACGCGGTAGAAAAAGTCAATCATTTGTTCAGACCTCCTCACAGTGCCCCATGAGTACACTATTCCGTGCCTCAGTTGGACAAATATTCGAATCGAGAGCGCGCGCGCTCGACCTTCTCTTCCATCTCGTCTTCTCTTCCATTTTTCCTCGTTTTTGTTGTCCTCTTCTTTCGTCTTTTTGTGATCTTTTTCTCAGTTGCCGCACAGTCTTGAACTATCTTTTTCTTTTTCTTCTCGATCTCTCTTCTATCTTTATTCTTTATCGACGTCATATTTTTCTATGAAGAGAAATGGAAGGTGTGTAAGTAACATACACACAAAAGTGTTACTTTGTAATTATTTCCATTTATATTTTCTGTCTTTTTTGACAATGGGCAGGCTGCCATGTGACCAACAGTTTGGTTAGATTTGCATCGATTTATTCAATTTTTAGTTCCTAGAAATTCCTCGAATTTTCTCCAGAAAAGCAACAAATGTGTCAATGTTGTTGCTTGGCTCTACCTGTTGTCTTTGCATTTCAGTTTTTGTTATATTCTGCACCGAAAATCATGTTTTTTGACATCAACAGTTTTATCTACGTCATGTTTTTTTGACGAATAGTTACTGCCCTCTTATTAGTTTCTATTTTTCATGATGGTTTTGTGTTGAAAAGTGAGATGCAATTTTTTTCTGGTTTTTTTTTTGAAGTCTATACTGCAAAATGTCGCTCTTCCAAGGATCAGTCTGACGTTTATTTAGAATATCATATTTCAAAAATTTTGCAATTCCAAATTTTTTAGAACTTTCCAAAGGTTTAGTCTGCATTCGTCTACTTTTTACATTTCTAGAACTCAACACAATGCGTGTGGGTGTGAATCGACCTTTTTATCATATTTCGACGCCCATGTTTTTATGATTGCGTCGTACAAACTTGCTCACTCAGCTGATGATTTTGTTTCGTTAATCAATGGCATAGAAGTGCTGAACTCAAGATCAAGTTTTTAGGCACAAATTAAGTTATACAATTATTTGTTAGATGTTCTAAGCTCCCTGAGGGATTTGTTAAAAGCACGACTAATATCATTTTCCCACTCCCAAAGTTCTTTTTTTTTCTTTTTCCTCCTCCGTAAAAAAGCGCGAGATTTTTTCGGCGTTGTTACCTTTGGCAACGGATTCGAGCAGACAATAGGCTCGGACTCAGACTGGGGGGGGGGGGGGGTAGGAATATTCTCCGTTTGGAACTTGTTCATCCTATTCTTCGGCCTATAGACCCTCATTCTTTGTCCCTCTAACATTTTGCATCTCGTTTCTCTCATTACAAACTAGGTTGAAATGGACGGAGAAGGACATGTGAGGGCCAATTCCTCGTCTCGAATACCCTGTTTTGTCGAATAATGAAGGAATAGATTAAATCAGAGTCGGTATCTTTTTTCTTGTTTTAATCTTTTTTATTTCATTTTCTGACCTCCTACTTTATTTTTATCAATCTAATCGTTTCGAGTTGTAACCGGAAAACTCGGAACGATATAAAATCAAGGCAGAAATGATATGATATGTTGACGCAAATCACAAACCAAATCGAATCATACGCCCGGGGAATACACCTAAGACACAGACTTTCTGCTTCTTGTTTTTTGCAATTCTTCGGCTTCTCTTATCAAAACGTCATTTTATCCGCCGTATTTTTTTGTTTCCATTTATCTCAAGACCTATCAAAATTTCAGAGTAACTAAAGCCAGATGAACATTCTTCACTACAGTCCAGAACAAACTGGCTACGGTCAATTTTCCAACGAATTCCGGTACCAAAGTCAAACGTGAGTAGTTCAAATCTTTTGTAAGAAATGACTGACCAAAATACTTGGGAAAAGAAGAGAAACCCAGTTTTATAGATGTTTTTCCCACATATTATTCCTAAATGCAAATGTTTTTTATTTCCAAGGCAGATATATAAAACGTGGACAACTATTCTGATGGAAAAGTGTTGCGAAGCTTTCAAACCGACCCCTCCGCAATTGATTTTTATTGCAGTTCACCTTCCAACAGCACCTCCTCGTCGGAGAACTCGGATCAACAACAAACAGTTGGCGATTTTGTTGATTCTGCCATCTTCATGAATAATTGGAACGGTGTCGGCGAGTTTCCTGATATTGAGGAGGATATCAAAAATGTTTTAACGCCAGCTGAAAAACCAGAAGACGTGAAGGAGGTTGGTTTTTGTGGTTTTTGACTCAATCTTAAACAAATTATAGTATGCGAACAATTTTTAACGACTTCATGCAGTTTTAACATTCTAAAACTAGCCAACGCCTTTTTTCCAAACATTTTATTTCTCGATGACTTATCATTTTCTGACTAAGGATCAACTCTGAAGATGCAACAAGTTTATTTTCAGGTTGTTGCTTTCCATCATTTGCCGCGCAATGTTTGTCCGACGATTTGTGCTGTTTGCGGAGACCGAGCCACTGGATATCACTACGAGGTACCGACCGCCAAAGGGTTTTGTATTGTCTAACTCATTCACACATCATAGTGGTGCTGATCTTAGGATTTTTTTAACGTGTAGTTTGGAGTTTATTGTCCGATTGTTCCAGGTTCCATCGTGCAATGGGTGCAAAACGTTCTTCCGACGAACTGTGCTCTCTCAGAGGAAATATGAGTGCATGCGAGGTGGAAAATGTTTCAACACGCTGCCAAAAGGTAACTGACGATATTTGATAGGTTGAACTTATTTTTCGTATTTGTAGTTTATGTTGAAAAATTCACTTTCGTATTTTTCTTCAAAGAACCATCGAATTTTCGTTTGAAAATCGTTTTCAATCCTTGACCAACTAAGTAGACAATTACGCAATTCCGGTTGGAATTAGTAAAAAGTGACCTGGAAAACTCCCACTGATAACAGCGAGCAACTCAAAAAGTTAGCGCTTTTACTATCACATGGTTTGTGAATAGATGAAACTTTGATCTTGACAATAAAACACGTCATTGTCCATTCTGTGCTTGAACTATGGCTGTCAGACATAGACAATGTATTCATTCTTCCGAATTGGGGTCCAATTACCATTTCACACGGATTAACGACCTCACTGAAACAAATTGTACTTTTCGGGAGGCCTCTTTCATTCAAAACCACAAAATCTCAGTCTCTCAAGACAATCGGAATCATTGACGGATTACTGGCACATAATAGGAGATTTATGAAAAACTTTTGAGGAGGATTTGAAACATCAACATTCTTGTTTGTGTTTGCAGAGAAACGATGCTCGTGCCGATCATGTCGATTTCAAAAATGTGTCGAAGTCGGAATGAATCCATATGGTATTCAAATCTGAGTCATCGGCTATATCCTTTATGTCTTCTATTTTTTCAGCTATCCAAACGAATGATTCATTATCCGGAAACGCTGTTGTGACAAAGATAGTAGGAAAACGGAAAAATTCAGCAGATGACTCTCTTCCGTCGACTTCTAAGGTAAAAACAAACGGAAAGCACTTTTCAAAACTAAAAAGAACAACGGGGAAACGTCCCACGGTTCTCCAATCAACAAAACAAACATCGGGTTCACTGCAACCAGAAACATGCCAGACGTCGTCTGCGGGGGTCGAGAAGAAGCTCAAACATTGGTTGAATGGAGGAATTACATGAAAAGAGATACAGCTGAGCTTAGAACAAACATATGAGTCGACAGAAATCAAAATTTGTATTAAATTTATTTTCAAAGTAGCACGTGTAGGGATTATGAGAAACAAAAAGAATATTTCAGATGGTGGTCCCAACAGAGGTCATTTCAATGGATAATGCTATCGATAAACTCATAGATGGGCTACTGTATCTTGAAATCAAAGTTGATGACTTCCGAAGCTGCGCGTACAATCCGCCTAACAGCGAGTTCAAAAAACTCCAGTACCTTTTGGATCAGAAAAGCATGATTGGAATGGTGGATAATATTGGGGTGAGAACATTTGCAAATTGGAATAAGCCAGTAATTGTGAATAATTTCAGCCTATGCCAAACTGGCCGCTCACCCAAATCAGTCATGAAGAAATGAAAGCTTATCACAAAAGTGGAAGTGTGCTCCCAATCTCACCAGAGAGGTAATTTTAAGAGCAATTGATGTTCTATAGAAATTATGTAAGAGAACAGCTTCTTTTTGGAATATTAGTTCTTGTTTTTTTAAATAACATACTTTTTTGAACGAACAGGGATAAAGAGAGAAAAAAAGGTGAAACACTTAAAAATCATACTTGAGGTGGTATTAAAGACTTGAAAATTTTCGAAGTAAGTCTGGAACACTTTCCATGCCAATCCCTAAAAAGTAACTTCATTTTAAAAAACATCTTCGCGCGCGGAATATCGGAGTGTCGTTTTTTTGTTAGAGTGAGCCCTTAGATGATGTGGGCGGCAATCTTGTTCCATGCAACTTCATTATTTTCGAAAATGCAAGAGACATAATCTTCATTATAAAATTTTTAATATAAACTCAACACACTATTAATTATCCCACAACTTCGAACGCTACTTTCAGGAAAAATTGGTTCGTTTACGATTTGTTCACATCTGTGGAATACGCCAAAACTTTCATGTTTCTGCATCAGATTTCCAAAGAAGATCAGGTAACATCATACCAATCTTAATTGCTATCAACTAAATAGTTTCAGATTCTCCTTCTCCGTGCCGTTGTTCTTAAGCTGATGCATCTTAATCAATCGTTCTTCTCATACGAAAAGAATTTCGATGTGATTCTTCATCCGGATGGAACAATTCCTCCTCATTTGGGCTCAAAGGATTGGAATCCACCGCACAAAGAGTTGTTCCATTATAAAACACAAGAAGAGATGCGTGAAGAGTGGTCCGCTGCAATCAAGGCGTTTGTAATGTATGGGTTGGACAAAAAAGAATATGTGCTGTTCAAAGCAATCACCTTGTGCAATGCTTGTGAGTTTTCACTAATTAAACTAAAATCTTCTCATTCAATCAGAAAAAACAGTGATAAATATCATTTTGCAGCTATCAGTGGATTGAGTGATCACGCTGTCGAAGTGGTTACGCGTGAGAAAGAAAAGTACAGTCAAGCACTTATGCGTTACTGTCTAGCAAGTCGAGGAATGAAAGGACCTGGTCAATACGCGGCAATTCTTGCTCTGAGCAATGGTCTCGACACTAGATGCAAAAATCAAAAGGATATTCATTTGTTCATGCGTATTCGACGCAAGGGATTCCCACATGCCCTTGTTGATGACGTCATGGAAGTTCTGTAATCGAAATCGGTTTTGCTTCCTCACTTTAAAGTTTAAACCATTATTTATTCAACCTGTGATAGATATATATTCCCAGTTTACTCATTTGAAGTGTCACTCATCCCATTGATCTCTGTATAAAGACGTTGCATTGATATCTCCTGTAATTTTTTTAATAAAAATTTGTAATTAAATTGAGCAGTAAAAATACAAACACAAACCATTAGAAAGTTAAAAAAAATTTCAGCAGTTTTTTTTGGTTTTGACTGGTCGATTCCACCATTGAAGTTGAAAAAAGGTAAATCGGTAAGTATGCGTCTCCTCTCTTTTCCTCTCTCTGTGTTCTTGGAAATTGTATCCCTTTTTAGATTTATATAACTCCTCCGCCAGTTTTACGTTATCAATTTCCCTCCAGCTCTACGTATACAATTTGTTTATTATTTTGACTCTTTTAGTTGACGACAATATACTTTCTTAATGCAATTTACTTTCTCAAACTACATGGATGAAAGCGGCTTGAAAAAATTTTATCATGAGCCTGAATGTTTAAAGAATCATTTTGGTTTCATTTTAAATTAATTCATGACTCTCTGAACAGTAACGTCGTAATACTCGTTTAATCGAGTTATTCGAATTTTTGGGTGTCTTTTTGAGTGTGAGATGGATATAATTTATAATTATTGTAGTTTGAAATACATCAGTATAGAACGTAAAAAAGGCAGTCTCATGGCCGCGAACTTATTTGTACTTTTCATTTTGACGGGACCAAACTCAGATTCTTCAAGACTTTGCTACGTAGCTCGTCAGTATGATTATTTTCTGTCGAATATCAGACTTTTTCATTTCCGTCACTGTTTTTTTTCTTTTTCTCAGTAATTCATAGTCTCAGCTTGACTCTCACATTCAGCCTTTTTTTCCAATTTTGCAAAAATATTTTTTTGAACAAATTGCCTTTTTTGACATTGAATTTTATGTGCTATGATGTTTCATCGGCTCATGTAAAGTTGATTCCTTTGCTTAATTTTTTCTTGCTACAATGCATCGTTTTCTCTGTGAGTAATTAACATCAGTCGTTGATTCCGTTTAGATAAATTTAGGTAATCACAATCCAAAAATATAAGATTCCTTTTGGAAACAATCCGATTCATTAGTTAAATGAAATATTTATCAATGTTATTAATTATAAATTTACACTCCATTTTAAAAAACAAGCTACCGCATCCGTTCTTAGCATCAACGGAAAACCAACTGGCAAAAATGTTTTTGAAATCTATGTGGTGTTCGTAGATACGCACACGATTTTTCAATTTTGTTGTGCAAGCGCGCTCGACGGGGAGCTATTGGTTTTTCGGCAAAGCAGGGAGAAAAATCGAATATTTTATGTTCTACTTCCCCTCCTCATGCTTCTTTTCACTTTACAATTTCTTCTTTTTTCGACCCTTTTCCTGAAATAATTTTCTCACAAGGGAAGTACCCAAAGTGTCCCCTCGCTTTTTCTTAGATATTAGTGGCAAATATGGCCCTTCCCTGGACTAGCACAAATCGGATAATATAAGCGGCGCATGCGCAGTTATAACAAAATGGCAAAACTTCTTGTGATTTTTCAGAAAAAGCGGGTCAAGTATATTCGAAAAGTCATAACTCTGTACAGATTTTTCCGCTTCTCGAAGAGTTTTTTTCGCATATATCATTTTTTAGATATTTTTCTCTGTTCCTGTATAAATAAGTACATGTTGTCTCCTTTTCACATTTCTTCTGAACTTGGATCGGTTTTGGTTGGTTGGAATTCTAATCAATTTTAGGCACTCTAGGTACGCATCACAAATTATTCCAAATGAAAGTTGGCTGGATATAGAAAAGACAGCTCCTCATTGTAAATCATTTCACCTCCTTTCTGAATTTCGAAGCATCAAATTTTATTCTTATCTTGATGTCAATAATTGACATTATCTTCTGGTTAGATATGGAAGATAATGTAAACTAATTTCTAGATTTCTAGAAAATGTAATGATGACTATGAACTACTGACCATCAGCGTCAAGCGGTGTATTTATATTGTGTTAGTGAGCGTACCAAACGATAGTAGTCAAAACCTTGATCAATGTTTTATAGCTTCTGAAAGATATACAAGGACAACAATAGGTGTAAAAAACAATATAAATCAACAAAAACAAATAAGATCTTATGAGATTAGTAGTTGGTTTCATTTGCTTCTTGTTGTTGAGCTTGCTGTGCTCCTTCGTCCGCAGAAGATTTTCGCTCATCCGCGTTCTCATGCTCGACCATTGCTTTCTTGAAAGCTTCACGGATAGATTCCCTAATGCACCTCTCACAAGGGTTTCATCGAGCGACGTCGTTGTTCCCATTTCCCACTTGCTGTGCTCTGTCGTCTGCTTCAATAACTTCAGCGAAAATTTCAGATTTTTGGACGCATTTTTCAAAAACCTGGAAAAAAAATAGAAAATGATCAAATGTGAAATACAACGTTTTGAACATGATCACAGAGATTGTGGCTTACTTTTAAACAAATAATACTTCATTAATACACACTCCTGTGTATGGTATGGATGTTCAAAGTGTCAACTAGAGATCAAGCGTCAGGCTCACTTTAAGTCATTCTGGGAAAGTGGGTTGAGAGAATTTTGTATTTTTTTTCGGATAGATATCAATACTACAGTTGTAGTTGAAGCTATGAAACATGAGTTCCTATTCAGGGATGCCCATTCCTGGTCCAATTGATCTGTTTTCTTTAGAAGTCCAAGCTGTGACATTCCTGTGTTGGGTCAGATTGATTTCTGAAAGTGATGGAATCTCATGTTAATTGTTTTTAAACAGTCACAACAACTTCTTCTTACAAGTGCAATGTGAAACTGATGAATGGAGCACTCGGGAACAGAAACTGAATCAGTAGTCTGTTTGATCAGTATTTTACTTAACGAAATCTGTCTCGAAATGTTTTTTTTGCGTTTCCATGGGCATCCCTGAATAGGCAGTCATGTTTTATATCTTCAACTAGAACTGTAGTATTGATATCTATCCGAAAAATACAAAATTCCCTCAACCCACTTTACCAGAATGACTAAAAGTGAGCCTGACGCTTGATTTGGGTTGTCTCACTGTTTATAAATTCAGCGTTTGGAGCTTGAAGAATCATATTTTCGAGTGAAAAATGGCTAGATATTGTAGAAGATCACCTGAAAAATGATAAAAACATAAAAAGTACCAAGTATCGACCATTTGAAATCCTGGAACGATGGTAGAACAAGCTCAGAAGCCGGAAATCTCAAGTTGACTATTTGAACATCCCTTCCATACACAGAATTGTGTTTTACTAAGGTATTATCTGTTTAAGAGGTTACCAGAATCTCTTTGATCATGTTGTAAATGTTATATTTCACATTCATTGTCGTTTTCTATTTTTTCCATTTTTGAAAAATACATCCAAAAATCCGAGATTTTCCAAAAAGTGAATTTTTTTGATAAACTTTTTTCTGGTTTTTTTTCAAGGTGAGAATACATAAGCACCACTTGGGTTCAAGCGAGGGGGTCAGAAAGCGCGCTCCAGTAAATTTTTCAAAAAATCTCAATTCGCTGCCGAACTTCGTTGGCTGAGTATCACAGTTATTAAACGATGAGCGAGAATACGCGCGTTGCATCCCGTTGATTTTTAAGAAATAGATCATGATCTAGTTCAAACCCGCGTTCATTTAAAATTATTAAATTTCTTCTGGCCTACGAGTTTGCTGGGGCGCTTTTTCTGACCCCCTCGCTTGAACCCAAGTGAAGCACCAATTTTCTCGAGTTTTTTGCTTCGTTTTACAACAAAGTTTGACTCATCAGCTCTATTTTGAAGAACGTTACTGTTGAAAAAGCAAGACTTGAAACACTTTTGAGCGGTACTGTAGCCATGGTCTCCCAAAGGTGTTTTTTCGAAAATCGACATTTTTTGATTTCACACAGTCAAACCATTCGGACAATTTCCGTCCTAGTAAACTTCTTTGCAGAGATAGAATAAAAGTGTAATTGAGTTTTTTGTAGCCCCTAGTTCTATAAGATGCAGTTTAGTTTGAAACTTTATCTTCTGTCTGTACAAAGTTATGACTTTTCGAATAGACTTGACCCACTTTTTCTGAAAAATTACGAAAAGTTTTGCCATTCTGTTATAACTGCGCATGGGCCGCTTATATTATCCGTTTTGTGCTAGTCCAGAAAAGGGACATTATTTGCCACCAATATCTTAGAAAAAGCGAAAGGGCACTTCGGGTACTTCCCTTGTCAGAAACAGGAAAGTAGTTTTGATTTCCAACTTCATATGCATTCATAAGAATTTACGAAACAACGCTGAAAAATTTTGTTGAATTCTATCTTATTTCTCTGGCGCCTCTCGTGGAAGACGGAGAACGCATTTTGCCATGGCGGTAGCTGTTATCGTTCCTTGACAAGGGAGGTGTTTTCAGACAGTGTTTGAGAATTTCTTGAAAATTGGTACACATATACTTTCGGACATGGTAAATAACGAAACAACTTTTTTTCGTGCCCCTCGGTACCTAGAAGCTGAGCGTCTGAAATTTCACCCCATTTTCAAGTCATTCAACACGCGACTTCTCCCCCTTTCTTATACGCATTGGAAAAGCGTTAAGAACAGCGAGGTGTGGTGTAGCGGCGAGGAGGGAGGAACAATGTCTGACAAGGGTTGTGTTCAATCCCTCTCTCGGCCAAAACTTTCTTTTTTGTTTTTTTTTGTTTTGTTAAAACTCATACGTCTGAAAATTCTTCAAATTTAAAACTTTAAAACTTTATGAAAAACTAATATGTACCAGAAAATAGATTTTTGCGAGAAAAAAGGAAATTATTACGAAACTAACAACAATTATGATGATGGATAATGAAATGTGAGATGTGAAAATTATTTCAGGAAAGTTTCTGACTAAAACGATCCGACATTTTACACTTTATCATATTTCCACATCTAAACCCTAAATATCTATTCTTTTTCACTGAATTCACTATTTCTACAAGATATGTGTTCACTGTAGACTTTAACCTTTTTCATTTCTCGCATTGTTTTTATTTCCCTTCTCTATTCGAAAGTATTTTACTTTTAAAAAGATTTTTTTTCTAGGCAGAAGAATGCCATCGACTTCAAATCAACCACCGCTCAACCCAACATCAGTGAATGGTAGCGACGATGAATATGACGATCTTGGGGAAATTTTTCCCTCTCCTGAACGTGGGTCTTGTTAGTTTTTAAAACAAAAACAAATCAGTTTTGGAACTGAATTTCATTTATCGAATTTTTTCTCGTTCTAAATTTGAGCTTCTTTTCAGACAAAGAATTTTTCATGAAAGTTTTTTTCAACACTTGTGTTTTTTTCTTTTCGGATGTCGTAGGCAGTACAGTTTTCAAGTACCAAATGGCAACAAAAGAACTTGGAATCATGCATTTGCGGAGAGCATATGATTTTGTAAGCCATGAGGAATATGCGGAATGTGTGAAAAGAGTCGACAGATATGGAAAGATGATAGAAAAGCTATCAGTTCAAGAAGGAGTCATTGTTAGATATAAGACATACTCTTGTTTTAAAAAATTACACGGTAGGATTGCTCTGGTTAAGTAGATCAAACTTTTTTTCAGAAAAGAATAAACTACACTATGCTTTCGTCGAGAACTTTGGCAAAGTTTTTGAATTGCCCCAGAGCGTTGCATTGGGCAAAAATGCAAAAATACTCGCAAGATACAGTAACAATTTTGACCGGGATCTCATCACAAGACGCCAGTGCATAGAGGAAAAACATGCTAATGATCGAAAAATGAAGACATTGGAACAAAAAATAGCAAGTGATGAATCATCCGAAGAATTGAACGAACAGATAGACCATTTGAAAGCAGAAAAAACGGAATTGGAACGCAAAATCAAATTCTTGTGGCACAAGCGCAAGTGGACTCGTGATAGGTGCCGGGAAGCAATCCCAATGGTTGAAAATCTTCGAAGACAAGTCATTGGTCGTGCTGCAAATCTCAAAATTGTCTTTGTGATCGACTCGTTTGATGAAATCATGAAAAGAAGTTAGTTTCATACACAACAGTCTTTTGAAGGGCACATTTCCGGATTTCCGGGTTTCGATGTTTTTTTGAATGAATTGTTTACTAAATTTAGAAAATTTTAGAGAAGTCTCAGAAAAAAAAAATATTTAAATGTTTCCAATTAAAATCATAATTTGGAAAAAATATTAATTTTTCTTTTTTGGCCTACTTTCAACTTTAAAGTGTTTCGTTTTCTAGTTTTAATCGCTTCACAAAACAAAGCAATACAAATTTTCATTGTACATTACTTATAAATCAAGTATTTGTTTAAATTAGTATCATCATATGAAATCCCACGAAGTTATAGTCTCAGTAAAACGTCAAAAAGTGAAATTTAAAAAAAATTCAATTGTTCAGAAGCTGAACTTGCAAATCCTTCCCGAAAACCAGTTAAAAGGAATAGAAAACAGCCGCGACTATTACCCTCTCCTCGCCAAGGTGAGTAGTTCAACCTTTCTTTTTCTGTCAAAAAGACCACCAGATAAAACATTTTTGTGCGTGAAAATCTTTATTACTGAAAAAAGTTCATTCAGCATCACGACGCGAGCCAAGAGGAATTGCTTCACGCAGATTGCCGGGTGTGGTAGGAGTGAGGAGAAGCAATAGATCAAGACGACATTAGCCTGATCTAGTAACAAAGTAATAATGATACTAAAAAACAATAAATTTCGACGTAAGGGGTAAGTCACATCTCCCTATTATTCCATACTTTTCAGATTCCTCGACATGCTCTTTGCCATTGTTTCACTAATTCACGCACAATGATTTTTTACAAATCTAAGTCTTATCTTCAAAACTAATTTTCAAAAATCACCCCGTATTCCTGCATCTCTAATTTTTCCAAAGTTCATTCTGATTCTGTTAATTTCTCAATCGAACAGATCTCCTATAATATTATCATATGCTCCCATTTCTTCTGAACAAATATGAGTAATGAATGATTGTGAAAACTTACACTGAAAAAATTTGACGCTAAGTTTCCTTGCGAAACTCTGTAAATGTTATTATTTTGGCCAGCTTCAGGATGTTATCAAATTATCTCATCTTCTTCGTTCCATTTCAATATCTTCTTTCGTATTAATTTCATGAAAGTTTTCTGAATAAAGTGTTGGTGTTATTTTTTCAAAATTTTGTTGCCTGACCGATTCTCCGACCTCAAACGCATGCCCCCTGAAAACTTCGCAGAACCCAAGTTCGCGACTTTGCCACATTTTTCTACGCATTGCGCAACAGATAAGATCTGTCAAACCGTTTACGTCGAATTCTCATTCCTTTTTTTATCTTCTCCATTTTCTGGGTAAGATAATTCATCATTTTACCTCTCATAAACGCTGACTTCTTTGGTTTCTTGTCAACAAAAACGCAAGTTAAAGGTAATCTGTCTTATCTTATTAAAAGAATACGGTTCTCAATTCATGATTTACTCTTAATATCGTTGGTTCTCTCATTCATTAGTTCTCTTATCTCCACCCAAACATCGAGAAGGTTGCATTTTTTCGTACCGATTTCTCATCATCTCTCGAATTGCCGTTGTTTTTTTTTCGCGGTTCGAATAGACGGTGTGGGCTACCAAATTATCTTTTTCGAGTTGGGCGGAGTTTCGAGAACGTTTCATCCTATTCTGCCACCGAGAACATTCCGCTGTGAGTATTCTTGACAGTGCCTCTATCTGATGTTACTTTATTCTATTATCTATTTTTAATTAGCAGTAATCCTTGATGCACTTTGAATATAACTGTCTTGAAACTGCGGCGTTATTCCTGTTTTTTTTTCAGGAAAAGACATGTTCGAGCAACATTGGAAAAAATCGAACGGAAATTCAGGAAAGGTCTTATTCTCAAAGTTGGACAGCAACGACGAAGGTCAGTTTACAATATTTTATGAGGATTTTTGAAAGATTTTTTACTTATTTGACAGTTTTCTTTAGAAAAGAATAATGATAACTGAATGTGAGATTGAAATTCCTGTCAAAATGATTGAATCAGTCTTTATAAAAAACAAACGTCACAATATGATACTGTATTACTTAATTTAAAATTAATGACTGGAAGCTCTCTCGGTTCCCCTAAAAACTATCGAAAAGCCGTTGACTTACAAAACGTTTATCCTAATATCAAAAACATTTTTTTTCGCCTTGTAGGTGTTTATGTCTTAAAGGCACCAAAATAAATATGCTTAGACTATTTAAATTTCATATTACGGGCTCTAAACCAATGAACCCTAAGAACGCGATGAACCCTCTATGTACCATTTTTTGATGTTAGACCGTTTCTCCGGGGATTGAGCAGATTATACATCTTTTGAAAATGCATATTGCACTTTTTTCATACGTCACAATTCATGATCATGGAACGATGTCTCTCAAATGATTCGGTACCTAACTAAAACTGTCCATATTGTCTTGACGATTCATTAAATTAAAATTATGCCATGTCAGGTTCATGACCAGCAATAAAAGTGCAATAATCCTCTTTTACAATTATATTGAATAACATTACTTTGTCAACTGCTTTTTACGAAACGGTTAACTATCTGTCATACGGTACCAATTGCTAATCTATTCTGACACTGCGCAAAATTTACTCAAGATGCGGCCTGCCACATTGAACAGTCAAAAACGCATTCTCTCGAAATTATCGTTTAACTAAAATAGTTATCTTTGAACGGTTCGGCAGCGAATCTACCGTAATCCTTGAGTTGAACATACAAACAAGTATCTTGTTTGAAAACAACCTTGACGAATCTACTTTCTACAGTACTCTTCTTTGGCCTGTCTTTTCTAATCTTACATTATGTCCCGAATACCAGTTTAGTCTTACGAATTCGGCAACTCAAGGTTGTGCACTTTGTGTTTACAAACCCCATATGTCACCATTCAATTTCATATTTGTCAACCGTTTCATCTCATAGTTTTTCGCAAGATAGGCATTTATTGCAAAAACAGTCAACTTTTATAATGTTAGAAACATAGTGGAGTGTGGAAAGCATTACATCTAGATTAGTTGAAGTTGAAAAAATTGATCTGAAATTTTCAGAAGAAAGTCTTCTTGTGGAGTCCGATGAAGAGAATCGAGTTTCCGAGCATAAGCAACTTGATTATGCTCTTTTTGAATTCACCGATGAGGGTTGTGCTATTCTTGAGCCCAGAGAAGAAGTTGCCGATGATGTTGTCGATCAAGATGCCGATGAGGTTGTCGATGAGGTAGCTGAAGAGATTTCTGATGTTGTTACTGACGAAGAACATGAGACTTCCGAAAATGAAGATGTTGCATCGCAAATAGAGAGTGTATACACTATTGATAGTGAAGTTTCTCGTCTGGAAAAATTGAGATCGGAAAGCAGTTATTCGGAACCTGTGATCGTAGGTTAGTCCAAGCGCATTTTAAAGCAACACGTTGAAATATGTTCCAGGACCTGGGGTGGAATCCTTCCTTGAAGCTTCAAGATTGCTTAAGTTTTTTGAAGGAAAGAACTTCAAAGAGTTCACAAAACATTTGCAAAACATTCGTGAAACTCACCAGAAAATCGCTGCTCTCGGAAAAATTTACAATGATGATTTCCGTTTTGAGTACGTCGAGATTGGGATCATTGATCGCATGATAACAGTGGTGGCAGAAGACGTGGCTCGGAAAGCAGGAGACGAAGATATAATTCGAATGAAGAGATTGTTCAAACGCCTAAAGCACATTTATAAACGAATGGACACTGTCGTAGAGCTCAATAAAAAGATTGAAGACATGCTCAATAATGTACTACTGCTGAAAAACAAATTGAAAAGACAAGCGCAAACATTGGGATTGCATTTTCTTTGCAATTTTCTGGATACTAAATTCGACGAGGTAAAAAAAAATTCTCACGTTTAACAGGATTATTACTCATTTCAGCTCTCTTTGTTGGACGAGGAAAATGAATATCAAGAGGATGGAATTCGAGAATATATTCTTCATGCCAGTAACAAGTCTGACAACGGGAGTGATTCAGGCGGAAGCGATGCTTCAGATCCCTTTAGTGATCCAGCTGATTACGTCCAATCAAATACTGGCATTTTTGGTCCTCAAGTCAATGAGCCTGAAAATGATTTTGATCTATCTGGTTGGTAACATGAAATTTTACTATCCATACTATCAATCATTTATCAAAACTAACTTCTTGTGTTTTACAGAATTGGAAGGCGAGAATAACGACTGGTACGTGCAGAAATGGACAGTTGAACAAGATTGCAGTTCGGATGCTTTCAGCTTAGTGACGACGATTTCGATGAAATATCAATTGATGTAATCAGATCAACTTTTGTTTGAGGCGTTAGAGCCTTTCTATTACAGGTCTTGCGTTATTTTGGTCAATTGGTATCAATTTTTATCATCTCGACATTTTACCTGTTTTTTATTCAATTTGAATTTTCCTGTAACCTTTTTTAAAATCCAAAATTTTCAAGTGTAGTTTAGTTTTTATTTTGAAAATTCGTTGTTTAAGTTGTCTATGTTTTTTTTTTTGCTTTTCGACTATCCGCTGTTTATGTTGCAATTTTTGGGTTGGATTGGTTTTTTTTGTTGTTGTTTCCTAAACTACTAGTTTTCATTTCACTTTTTTGCCATGATTTCTGCCACTTCCATATATCCTACCTCTATTGTAGTTGCTACCTCTGTTGTAATTTCTGCCTACCTCTTTGTTAAAATGCAAACATGTTTAAATTTGTAGTTCACTTTTTGAAATGAAGTTCAAAAAATATTTTCAGCAGAACGATACAATCTTGTTCACATGAAATCCCAATTTTTTTATGATTTTGAAAATATTTTAAAAATACAATGCAATTTTTCAGAAGGGTAAGTGTTCTGACCGACGGTAGGTTCATGACAAGCTTTACAGTTTATTGAGTCTTCAGGTTTGGCCAAATAACGGACGACGACAGACGAAGAACAAAAAAACCTTTCAAACGGGTCAAGCTGATTTTGAGCCTTCTAGCTAGGAGCCTATTAAACTGAAAATTCAAACTTTTAAAATATGCTTAAAATTTTTACCTGAAACTTCAATAAAAGTTAGCAAAATGTTTTCATGGATCAATTCATTCATCAAGTACAAAAAAAATAGCGGTCCTAATAAAGATTTTCGCAACTTTTTTCCGTGAATGACTGAATTGTTGGTTCTGTAGCTTACTGGAAATGTGATTAATCAGATAGAGGCGAGTGAGAGTCCGAACATTTTTTTTTCGCATTTACTATGGAGCCAGTATTTCGAAAACAAATTGTTTTTATTGGAATCGCTGAAGAGGTTTCATCAAAAATCCACAATAAGGAAAAACTGTTTTCTAGTTACCTACATTATCTAATGCATATAATGAAGGGACCTAAACCGAAGTGCCCCACTATTTCCATATGTAAAATTGTGAAAAGTGAATAGACCAGCAAGTGCAAGGCGGGAGCCGTACTCAAAGCTGCATGTTTGGTAGATGGGATGCCATCTACTCAACCAACCGTGCACACCATCTGCCTGGGTGTCTGAAGGAGTACCGTGCAAAAAGTAGTCCACTCTGCGGTTTTCGAGCATAACTTTCTTCAAAAAAGAGCTGAAGAAGCAAACTTTTTCGTAAAATGTAGCAAATCATTCAAGAAAATTGATGCAAAAGTATACCCATCTTGAAAAAAATTAGAAAACATTTTAAAGGTAGGTGGACAGGAGATTTTCCGTAGGATTTTTGATGCCGGGGTATTCATTCTACCGTAACGGTGTACAACGCTTAATGTCACTTTGCGGACATCTGTTGCCCTCCCCCTTATGTTTACCATCGGGCGCTCTCTTCTCCTTTGCCCGAATGGCTCAGTTGGAAGGGGCGCCGAACCTTCAATACTTGTCTCCACAAGTTCAACTCCTCGAGGGCCGGTATCAGAAATATATTTTTGAGCCAAATTTTGAGCTCTTAATGTAATTTTTCCAATTCTTCTTGTTTTTTTTGGATTGTTTGTCAGTTTGATCAACAAAGATCGAAAAAACTCGAAAAAAATTTTTGATCGAAAAAATCACGTGAGGGTCCCCTCCCCCTTATGTGTTTTTTGTAATTTAAAAACTTGTAAAATGACGGTCCGGCCGTTACAGGTATGCTCAAGAGGCATATTTAAACGGGGTTTCGGGAACACTTTTTTTCATCACCTTTAACAAAAAATTCAATTTTTGGAATATTTTGGGTTTTTGGATATTTTTTTTTCAGAAATCTGGAAAAAATAGAAAACGATCATTTATGCAAAAAAATTTTGAACATAATCAAAGAGACATCGACCAATTTTGAAGCAAATAATACCACATCAAAATACAATTATGTGTATGGTATGGTTGTTCAAAGTGTCAACTAGAGATTTCGAGCTTCTGAGCTTATTCTACCATCGTTTCACAATTTCAAAGTGTCAATATTTGACTTTTTTATGTTTTTAGCATTTTTCAAGTGTTATACTACAATATCTTATCATTTTTCACTCGAAAAAGTGTTTCTTCAAGCTCCAAACACTGACTTCATAAGTTGTGAGACAAGCTGAAACCAGCGTCAGGTTTATGCCCATAATGTGGTTTAAGGGAAGCAAAACAGCCATTCGTTGAAATTTTTCTTATGCAGAGCAAAGTTTAACCCTATGAATTGCCTCATCATCATATGCTCAGTCATTTCCTGCAAGGGTCTCGTAACGAAAGCAGCCTAGAAAACTCCAGCATTTTTGATTGCCACGGCCGCATCGAATTGCTGATTTTTGCTTTGAATTTTAAAAAAAGCCAGCAAATTTTTGGTTGTTTTCCCTCCGATTAACGTCATAATATTCCGTTCATTACTAAAAACCTTACTGTTGTTGTTTATAATATAGCAAATTATTGTTTTCCTGGTGCAGCAATGTTCTAAAAAAAGTAAAAAACAGTCCGAACAAAATTTAACTGCTTTATTGTCATGGTGCATTTTAAAGGAAAATAATTATGCATAGACAATAGTTACAATACGGTTCAATGGAAAGAAAGAAAAATGAGATTTCATGAAAATTTGAGAGGGAATGACATTTATCAGCCATTTTGAGAACTGCTCAGTGGTTTGGTCGGTAGTCGAATACACATTGCTCAATGAGGAGATCACGAAGTTTTTGACGGAATGGCTCGGCTTCTTTCATTTTGAGTTCTGGAATCATACGTATTCAAATAAGGTCATGATAACAATTCTTACTGTGTATATGCGTGACAGTGATAAAGGTCTCATTGAGCGCTGTCAAGGCTCCATAGCGAGCGGAGAATTTTGATTTGTCTGAAAGTATTGAGTTTGGTTTGTGAAGTTACACTTGGATTAAGTTACCTTGAGTAATAAGAAGAACCATGAGACATTGCATGCTAGCTTTCACAGATTTCTCGAGTTGAATCTTCCCGTCGACACTTAGATTATCAGGTGAAGCTGCAAATGTGTTTTTTTCAGAGCAAATCAGCTGAGTCCTGTTTTGCAAAGTGCACAGAAAGAAATGTTGTCACTTTTCAGTCAGTTCAACATTCTATGTGCTGATAGCTGTACTACGTTCTTTGTACCCACCGATAGTGTAGAATAAAAGTTGCAACGTCAGCACGAGCTCGTCAATTGTGAACTGTTCTCGATGGAGTGGATCGAGTATAGTGACAAACATTTGGGTGTAGTCAGAATTGATGAAGGTCCCTCTGTAATACGATATTGTCTACGAATGATTACATTCTAATTTTTGACTGTCTAATATGAATGTACTTTTGATGTAGGTGTGTTGTGATCAGAAGACACAAATCGGAATTCAATTTTCATTCTTGATCAGTCACTCTACCATTCGTTTCCGTTGTCTTATCACTAAAACAAAACATGATTAACTTACGCGTTTTTAATCGCCTGGATGACATCAGTACCGTCTGGCATCACAACTGTTCTGTGTTTTTCAAAATAACTTTCGATCGCCTGGATAGCAATCGCTATGGTGAAGCAAGAACTACGAATAAGCTCTTCCTGAAAACATCAGATTATCCCAATCAATCCTAGCACATTGTATGTACCTTGTCGGAATCCTTGAATTTTGTGATATCCGGCAATCGTTTGGCAAACTCGATTGAGCTGACTAAATCTATCGTAAGCCACTCGGGTAGGTCGCGTTGTGTTCCCGATACTTCCTGAAAAGAAGATAGAAGGATAAGAAGGGATATGTGTTATCAATAAATCATTTCTTTCTTGTATCAGAAATCAACATCAAAAATAGAATTGAGAAACGGCACGTGTACAGTACCTTGTAGCTGGAGAGATTATCGAGAAAGCTGTCCATGTTAAGGAGGCGGCTGATGTGAATGTCAATTTCCTTGAGACGAATGTCACACTTTCTGGAAAAAAGTTTTTGTGAATACCATGAGAAACTTGTGCTCTATGTTTTGCTGCTATCCCACAAGTTCCAGTAATATTCCGAAAAAAAAATATTTTTATTATTTTCTTATCCCTAGTATCACTGTAGTCCATGCTTGCAACATTTTCACTTCCCCCACCAACCAACATACAAACGTTCTTGATCAGATATCTAACTCGTTTTTTTCATTTCAAATGACAAATTTTCTGATCCTTTTCACACTCCGAAACGAGAGAAACAAGGAAGTGATTTGTCGAGGGCCAAACGTCTTTGATTTTGCTTTCTATCGCATTCTTGCAGCCGAAATGTTGGTCAACATTATTCTAGGCATTACAAAAGAGAGAAACGTGTTCATTGATCTACCTGAATCTGCTGATGAGTCGAAGTGCTTGTCGCAAGCAGGAAGCCGTTTCGGTAACTTTTGGAATCGCGGTAGAGGTACTCTGAAAGTGTTTTAATTAGAATCCAAGGTTATCTTGGTAGAGGGCACTAATGCAACGGATCGGTTTTACGGTTCTTTCCCTTTCTAATAAACGTTTTGCGATAAGGAACAAAACATATGAAGGGTGAGGAAGGAAGTCATTGTGATCACATGTTAGAAAGCTTCCTCGTCAAAGACCAGACCAAGAGATAAATTGATTAGAGTTTTCTTATGATTGAACGGTTTGAATTCTTGATCACAGAACGATAGGTTGGTCTTTGATGGTATCACTACTCTTGCTAGCTGATATATTTTTAAAAAAAACCCACGCGGTTTCTCTACGCGAACGACGGCAACGTTTGAAAGTGTAGTAGGTCCTGTTCCCGATGTTTGACACCTTATCAATAGAAGCTCACCGAGTTAGACGACTGGCGAATTTAAAGAAAAGTGGGAGGATCGGAGCAACTTATACACCAGTAGCAAAAAAATCTAACCGGATATAGAAGCATTCAAAAATTCATAATCACATTGAATAGGAGAGATGTGGTGTGTTAAATCAGCCTCGACACATCACTTAGTTTTTTCTTTCACACTGAGCGTTTGTTTTCTCTTCTATCCTATAATGTAGTTCAGGCCCAAACAACATACCGGCTGAGAAATAGAAGCCAAGTATGCATCTGTTGCTGTTTTCCCATCGCCAGCTAGAAATCCCGAGGTGACAGCTGCAAATGTAATTTTGAAACATCAATCGGCTCTAATTCTCTTGGTTCTCTAAATTGGGTATTCGTCACTCAACGATTCATGTTCCGATGGTCGAAAAACGATTGGGAATTAAATTGATGTCAACTTACAAAATAGTTAACAATCGCTATTAGCTTTCATTTACTGAATTTGGTTCTTGACCGATTCTGGACCAGATAAACAATGAAAATGTTTGACCCACCTTCTTTGCGCATTCCTTGTTGAAGACAACGATCCAATCGGCAACTTCGACACTTAATTCGAGCTCCTGCAAATGAAAAACACAATGTTCGGGGAATAGATGATAACAAAGAGCTGCACTGTTCGTCAAACTATAGTAGTGTCGAACAAAACACACTGTAGATCAAAAAGGGACAATAATATCTACACGTGATTGAAAAAAGAGACTAAATTGTAAAACGCTTATCTTGGAAGTGCACTAGACTGATCACACACCACTCCGTGCATTCACACTGATTGATACTCTAAACTAAAGTGATCTGTCTGTCTGGTAAATCTGTTCTTACAATGATAGGAACATTAGAAAGCACTGAACCAAGAACAAACCTAGCACAAAGTGAAATGAAACGGGTCGAAAATAAACGTGATAAACAACTCAAAATCCAAAAATCGGATTCTCACTGAATAAGAGCTTTATATTCGTTTAAACCTGGAAGTATAAACTCAAATCTCGGATAACATTTAGTCTCTGCTCTTAGCCAGAGAAAAAAAACTTGTTATCACAAACATATTTTTCTAGAGAACGAAACAAAAATACCAAGACAACAAATAGAAAAATCGACAGGCGGTTTTGGTCAGGTCAACACGGATTAAATATCTTTCTTGAGAGAGTGAACTCAATGAACGTTTTTTGAAGTGATCAACTGAATCGTTTTTCGAGAAATGGGAGAGAAACATGGAAATATGCTTTGTAGATGAAGATTCTTGATGACTTTTTCATTTATGAAGTGTTAAAATGGGCACAGTGAAATGTTTATTTTCAGATACTCTCTCCAAATGTTCATTCATAATCTTCCTGTACTTTGTTGTTTGACCATTTTCCTGCATTAAACCCCTTTCACTCCATATCTATTAGTTTCACAATGTGACAGACAATTATAAAAGCGCATGTTCAACTGACCAAGTTCACTACTCGTACGTCAAAACAAAGTACAACCGGCGACCAAATCGACTACGTAATCAATGAATGAAACTTTGCCAACCAACGCTTTGGTTGGAAAATGGAATTATTTGCAACCAGCGACTACAAATACATATCAAATACTATTTGAACTTACCGGGCACCAGTTTCATGTTTGTCAGACAATTTGAATCGGAGCGGATACACCGAAAACTGGCACCGGCGAGAACGCATCGACGGAAAAATGTCTTACAGCCGTTACATGAAGCAACCTGGAAAATAAAAAAAATCTAGTTTCAAAGACATTGGATTACTGTAGGTCTTACATTATAATGATAACCTGTTGCGGGCCACAAACATACTGCACATGGTAGATCGAAAACTCTTCGTTCTCTGGCTTGGGACACGGTTGGCTGAAAAAAGTATACTGTATTTGATCATCCAGTTTTGTTTTTAATTCTAAACAAGATCACGGTCTCCAGGTGACCCCTCAAACAGCGCTTTGATTTGTTGTCCTCACTATTAGGTTTATTTAACACGGACATTACAGATAGTTTTGACAGAGTCAAACATATTATTTATTCAGTGACGTGCTAACGGCAGAAATTATATTTTCAACAGTTACTGCCAAACACGCAATGACTCATGTTGCAGAATTATCATTTTTCTCTTCAACTGTTTAAATAAAATTGATGTTTTGTTCGCAGCAAAAACTATTTTATCAAGTTTGTAATTTGTGTCCAGGATGAACTGTCCTGGTCAGTTAAATTTTTAGATTCGGAAACTGAGCCAATTAAACCGTTTGAAGTTTGTATTTTAAAGGTCACTTCCTACAGTATCCAGCTAAAAGGCACGAAAAATGTGTAGTTTCACGAACTATTTGAAATATCATGTGGGTGGTCGAGGACTTTTAACGATCAAAAAGTGGCTAAAGTCAATTCTTCCGGCCAAGTCTACGGCACTTCAGTGAAAAGTGACCACGGTTTGCTGACACTTCACACCCTTTCAAAACGCTTGCATCCGACCAAAACACATACCAAAAACGTTAAATTATAATTTGACCAATTAGTAAATTAAACTAGGATGTTGTTGCAACATCGTTTGTATTTTTGGACTAAAGTGTTCTTCAGTATCTCTACGGGAAAATCTCAAAAATTATGATGATGTGCTCATTCGTAGTGTTCGCTGTCCGCAGCTTTTTGCTTGCTCAATTTATTTTCAATACACAAACTACGATTAATATTACATTTCCTGTTCTTAAGAGTTTCTGATGTTTCAGGTCATTAGAGCTCACTAATATGAAAATACAAATTATGATACAAGCAAACTTTTTATCACTTTTTATCACTAGAAGAATGATCTGTAAAAATTGTGAAACTACGGATAGGTCGTAGTTGTGTAGCTATTTTTGAACAATGGAAACGTTTAGGACATTTAGAGTAGAAGACAGGAAACCAAGCATAAGGCACAAATCTAACAGGAAATTAGATTTAAAAGAAAGTCAATCCCATCTATTAAAACTGAAAAAGCAAGAACCAAGATGCTTTATGGGAGTTTTTATGTTGCCTCAGTATAGTTTGCAGTTCAAGAGTTCGTGAATGGTGAATCCGAGTACGCGGTACGTGCGACGATAAAATCTCGTTGAGTGTTCCGATGAACACATCCGATATATTTTCTAGGTGTAGCCGGAAAAGAGAGATAAAACTCGAACCTTTGGAGAACTAGATTTTGATAATGAAGGCGATGGCGATGAGTTTGGTGTGGACCACGAGTTGGATGTAGCGTAAGACAGTTCGACGGTATAATTAGAATATTTGGGAAAAGTGATGTGATTGGAGAACAGTGGCGCGTTGAGGATCATACGTCGTGAATTAGGTTCTCGGGGTAGACTGGGTAGAGGAGGAGCAAAAATACTGAAGAATGATTAATCTGATTTTTTATTTGGAAGGCTTTAATTAATTTATTTTATCGAAAGGTAAGTATCACTAAAATTGGAAAAATTGGAAATAATTGGAGGGAGTTGAGAGAGATATCAATGATTGGGAAGATAATAATAGTAGTTCATAAAAGTTGGAACTCTTCGACCACCGAGGAGGAAGAGGTTTTCGGTGGTGGCGGTGGGCGAGGACGGAGGCGGGGCTTGATGTTAAGATGCGCACCGGCAACACGGTTGGTTCGCCACCGATTTGCCCTCAGACGCAGCCAGCAACAGCAAACTGTTGGTCAACGAACCGGGGGCCGCCCCTCAGTCCAAAACAGACGGAAACAAATGAGACCCCACACAGAGAGGGCCCATGATGTATCTAGTTTGATGATGATAAGGAAGAAAATTAGAGATATTAGAGCGGGATTGTGCGGATCGGACGAGAGATTTAAATATATCAGTAGGCACTTTGAACAGTTCTCCTCCTCTCTGCAATTCATCGTCACTTCCCGCTGATAGTAACCGTTGCGATAACGACGGAAAAGTTCAAATAAACACATGTCTTTTGTTTCGATGATATTCATCATTTTTGGGTTCCCTTATCATTCGTAGTTTTAAGGCTCTGCTCGAAATATCTCGAACCCTACAATTCTCCCGTATTCAGCCATGGAGTTACATGTTTCGTGTTTTGTAGCTATCGTTGTGGAGGGAAAGAGAACCAATACGAGGCACCGCATACTATCGCTATTTTCGATCATTTCGGGTATTCCAAATGTGTGAGCGCAAGGCGCCCCCGGCGCGGGTGATGTCATTTTTTGAGCGAAATCTTTATTCAAAATCTGCGTACCCAAACCCGATACTAAAAATGTTCTTTGCATCCTCCCCAAATTGATTTTTTGAAATTTCCAATTTTAAAAAACCAGGAATCAAAGGCTAAAATTAGTAATTAGATTCTACCAGACTCCAGCTATTTTTGTTGATACCAAAAAACTGGTGTCGGAGATTTTGTACGAAGCGCATCACCAGTGTTCCCTAAATAGAAGGTTGCCAACAAATGAGAAGAAGCTTGTTAATGGTATAAAAAACACACATTTTGGTTTTTGAATGGGACTTTCAGAAATTGTTTTTTGTGAAGTCTAGATATTATTTTTGGAGGACTTGTAGAGTTGCAAAAAAGACCACATAGCAAGAACCAATCGTTTTTTTTTGACATGGTTCCGTGCAGATATGGCTATTTGCACATCTTTCTGGTATCAAAAAAAAAATAAACTGGAAAAATTCAAAGAGAATGACACGTTGATTACTGAAAACGGAACAAATGATTTCTAAAAACGGAGTGAATAAGATAAAGTGGTTAGATTTCGAACAGAAGCGAACGAAAAAAAAGTGCAGTGTTAGTTAAGACTGAAACGGAAACTATCAATTTGGAACAGCATTCAGATTATGTGTGGGTGGAGTGCTCTATGGAATAGGTTTAGTTCTCTGTAAAAGTACATTTCAAAGAAAAAACTATTTTTGAAAAGTCGATCCTGATGTTTTAAAAGTATTGAAATCACAAGAATTTTGATCACATTTCTAATATTTTGTATTTATCGTACTTTAATGAAATCTCAGCCAGCCGTACCGTAAACATTGAGCTCTATTCCGATCTCTATGAAAGATGCCAAAAATTAGTCAATTGACGAATTATTTATCATGATATATTAGTATTTTTTCAGTTGAAAAGTTTTTGATATATTTCACAGGGGCCAAGATGAACTGGCTTAAATGTGAAAGTTGGTCATTCTATTTAATAATTTACCGTGATTGATAAATAAAAAATTGATGAATAAATGTTTAAGTTTCACTTCAGAGATTTACAGCCATCTATACCTACTTTTTGATCGCCACGTATTGTTATTGTCTTCACGAAAAAGACCATTGAGCAGGAAATAAGTTATTAATAGAGTTATGATACTTTGATCTTTGTGGACGTGTCTGTTTTCTAATTATCATGACGTTTATAAATCAACTCCAGAAGGCGTGCCGTTTTCCCCTCTAACATCAGATGCAACTTTCGCTCCAATAACCTGACAGGCTTGATTGATACTCACTTGATTCTTGAAACGGTTCAAGGTATTTCCCCACATCTTTCTGTGCATTTCTGACGTAATTTCTGACTTTATTTGACCTATTAGATGTGACTAATCTTTCCGGGGAGACTCAATGTGACAATGCTTGCAAAAAAGTGGTTTTAATCATTTTCAGCAAAACAGAAACGCCCTTTTAGTCTCCATTGACGTCTTCTTGCTAGTTTTTTGATCTAATCAAAGGTGTGTTTAAAAACTGCTAGGTAATCTTTGTCAAAACAAAAAGAGAGACGTGATCTTGAGAAATCCATTATCAGAAAATTGGTTCCTGGTTGAAGACATCTAGTTGAACAGTTCAATCATTTACAATAGTTAGGCAAACGATTTTGGAAAGAGACAGAAAATGAGAAAATGTAACCTGTGATTTATCACGGAACTGATTACTGTCATTGTCTATACGGAAGAAGTGACAATTTTTCGAAACCTCTCGATCGATTGATTTTATTGAAAAGGTCTATTTTATTTGAAAATCTGCCTATAACGTTCCGTCCGAAAAACACGTCTAGTCTTGTACACCTGTTTTGAATCGGAAGAAATGTATATATTTGAGTAGACATTTGATCTTGGGTAACGATACGCATCTCTGAATTTGACGCTCCCATCCATCCTAGATGTCCTTAGAACATTCAAGATTCGAATGAAGTGGAAATCAAAATGGGGTATTTTGAAAGGGTATTTTGAAAGGAGATTTCTGAGGAGATATACAGCATTGCTCAATAACATATACAAGAATACGTTTTTCAGATCATTTTCAGCCGTTTTGACTAATTTCAATAGTCTAGGCTTTGGCTGTCAAGCTTCCAAGCACTTCGAAAACTTGTGACAGTGTAAAATCCACATAGAATGAAAATATGCAATCACAAAGTTTTTTAAAAATTTCTCAGTTATTAGCTATCTGTTTTTTCACGTTTTCAGTACAAAACTGGTCAAATAGCTGAGAATCTAACAACATTCAAGAAAAAAAAACCTGTGCAAAGTTTCCAATATATGTTTGCTTTACACCTTCTAAAAATTTCAAAGTGATTGAAAACTTGACAGCCAAGCTACAGTCTCCTGAAAATGGTGTAAATGGGCAAAAATCAATTAAAAAACATTTTTTCAGTTGACCAATACTGCACTTCTCGAGCTGACTCTCAATCTTAAATGTTTTTTGTTAACATTCTGAAAAATTGTTTCAACCACTCCCTGTGATCAGATAAAAAAGGAACTAAAACCGTGACTTTCTCCGTCTCTCGCCGATAAAACTTCCAGGTTGTATTGTGAGTGTGTTTCCGTAGATAAATCATTTCAACTTCCTAATGAAGAAAACCAGTCAAGCTACCCGCACAATCATTGGCCGGAATCTTGTTGGAAAAATTTACATATAAGTGGGCCATCAAAGACAGCGATCACATACCATACCAATTTCCCTCACTCATTTGCATTTTCTTTTTCATCCAGTTCTTGGCCGACCGGATCCAGACTTTTTGTCGGCGTGCTCAGCGGGACGCTAGTTGTCAGGATAGTATAAAACAGTTAGTCCGTTTGCATTATTATTCATTCTTTTCTTTGCTTCCGCCCAACATGGATTCTTCCGAGAAACAGCTATGTGCTGAAACTGAGCGAATCAAGAAGACTGCTTTCCTATCTGTGAGTCACTTTAGTAGCATCGAAACAATTTTGTTTAACTTTTAGGTTGCCGTTTCTACATTCGTCGTATTTTGTTCAGTCATAATGCTTCCTTTGATCTATAACTACGTTCAAACATTACAAACGCATATGTTAGATGAGATGGACTTCTGTAGAGTAAGCTTTACTGTGGAATGCATACCAAAAATAGTTTCAAATTTTCAGACTAAATCTAGAGACCTCTGGGTAGAAGTGGTTTCAGTGGATAGTGTTATCAGTCGTGGAAAGCGTACGATAAGATCAGCGGATCGTGCCAAACGGGAGTGGAGCTTTGGTCAATATTTTGACAGAGCCCAAAGAGGTTTGTGTATGATTACAACCGACAAGATTTTCGACTCTTTTTAGCATCTGGATCTGGTTCTGGCACTAGCGGTGGATACGGTACCTACCCACCTGCGCCTACTGTCGCACCCAGTTACGGCGACTACAAGGTCGCTGCCGTCGAAGAATTCCAACCGGCCTCATGTAATTCGAATTTCCGTTTTACAAATTGATTCAGAGACTTTCAGGTTGTACTTGTCAACAAGGTCCAGTTGGTCCAGCTGGTCCACCTGGAGACGATGGATTGGATGGTGTTGACGGAAAGCCTGGAGTTGATGGACCAACCGGAAGAGATGGTGTACTTCTCCCACCACTTGGACAAGCTCCAGAACCATGCGTGATTTGCCCACCAGGACCAACCGGACCACCCGGATTCCCAGGACAAAAAGGACCAAACGGGCCGAGAGGTAGTCCAGGTCTTCAAGGACAAGATGGAAAAAAAGGAGAACAAGGAATGTCGGGTCCACAAGGTCCAACTGGAAGATCAGGTAGACCAGGACCCAAGGGACCAAAAGGAGAGGATGGAAGAGTTATTATGGTAAATATTTGTTATTTTTCAGATCTTTTTATTCCGTTACAAATAAACAATGACATGTTACAGGTGGCCGGTCCCGCAGGACCAGCGGGTCCACCAGGTCCAACTGGAATTCCTGGCAAACGAGGAGCAAGAGGAATGGATGGATTACCGGGACCACAAGGAGCACCAGGTCAACAAGGAGATGCCGGACTTCCAGGTCCTGATGGAAAAGAGGGAACGAAAGGAGAAAGAGGGCCACCAGGACCACAAGGACTCAAAGGATCGTGCGAACATTGTCCACTTCCAAGACTTCCACCAGGATATTAAGATATTTCTTAAAACTTGTTTGTATATTGAGGCTAACTGGCTATTTTTATTCTTTTTCATATTGCATACATTCCATTTCTATTCCCTAAATTATTTTTTCAAATACAATTATTTTATCGTTTCCATTCAATAAAAACCTGGACATCTTCCAATCATGTCAAGATAAGTTCAAAAAATTTCAAAGAAAAATCATCAAATTCCACTACTTGGGGATGATCGACAGTCAACAACCATAAAAAGTGTGTATGTCGCCAACATTTTGATAACGAACTGTTTTTAATTGCCTGTTTTCTATCGCTTATCATATCGTTTGAAAATTTTCGATCATTCAAAACGTTCGTCTTTCTAACTTTTTTTCTGTTTTTTTTATTGGTTACCAGCCTGTTTTCAGCGCCTCTGGCGCTTCAAACAGCTGGAGTTAATCTTTTTCAATTACTGTTCGCGACTCACTCTTTTTCTTAATGTCACGTAAATTTATATTTTATTTCAATTTTTCAACGTGTTCGGACAGATCGAACTTCATTTATTTATTATAATAATGATGTTTTTCTTAATATTCCTAATGTTTCAGAGACAATGAATGTGTTGGTGATTGGAAGTGGTGGAAGAGAACATGCGTTGGCTTGGAAATTGGAACAATCTTCGTTAATTAAAAAAGTGATTGTGGCTCCAGGAAATGGAGCAAGTGGGAGAATAGGTATGAGAAAATTCAAAAAAATTTTAATTCAAGTCGTTTTAACAACAGTGTCATTTAGACTTGAATCCAAACAATGTCAAAGAAGTCTCCGATTTTTGCGTCGGTAACCACATACATTGTGTCTTGATCGGTCCTGAAGAACCATTGTCAAATGGTTTGGCAGATCATCTGATCAAAACACATCCGGATCTTATTGTATTCGGCCCGACAAAAGATGGCGCTCAACTTGAGGTATCACACTAACAGAAAACTCGTGAAGTTACGTATAACTCATTCAGACATCCAAATCATTCTCAAAGCAGTTCATGAAAGAATACGGTTTGCCTACGGCGGATTTTGTGACTGTGTCCGCCGACAATGTCAAGAGCCTTGACAGTGTTTTCGAGAGGTTTCTTCCGGCTATTCATACGTAGCGGATCAGAAATTAATAAATGTTTCTTTTTAGAGTTCCTTGGAAGAAGTCTGTAGTAAAGGCGGATGGGCTGGCTGCAGGAAAAGGTGTGATTATTCCAAAGGATAATGAGGAAGCGAAAAATGCGGCTAGGTCTATCCTTGAAGTGATTGTAGTTTGAAAGTGCTACATGAGAAATTGAAAATTTTTTAGGGAGAATTCGGTAGCGCTGGACATACGGTCATTATTGAAGAACGGTTGGAGGGATATGAAGTCTCCGCTCTTGCATTTGTAGATGGTATCAGTTTCAAGAAAATGCCTCTTGGCAAAGATCATAAGCGCCTTCTTGAATTGGACTTTGGCCCAAATACAGGTTGAATTAATCGTCTGAGAATTGAGAATAACTGAATTTCAGGTGGAATGGGAGTTGTTGCACCTGTCGAAATTCCATCTGAAGTCAATTGTCAAATCGATGAAATCTTCGAAAAAACATTAAAAGGACTGGCAAACAGGAAAATAAAATACTGTGGTGTGCTTTATGCTGGATTCATGATTGTAAACAAGAAACCTTATCTTTTGGAATTCAATTGCCGATTTGGTGATCCAGAAACTCAAGTGAACCATTTTGTTTTTCCTTTTCCTTCTTGGAGTTCTTCCAAATGACTAACTCTTTTAGGTACTCATGCGCCTCCTTGAATCTGATTTGTTTGAAATTATAAGATCATGTGTGCAGCAAACTTTATCCAAATGCGAGATTCAATGGTCAACAAAATCTGCGTGTGGGGTCGTTTTGGCATCAGGAAATTATCCGAAATCTGGTGATAAGGGTTCTCCAATAAGAAGTATTTTTTTTCAGAAAATTAATGAAGAAAAGACGAGAGGTTTTTTTTGCAGACGTACCTCCACCTAATGATACTAATGTTGTTTTTCACGCGGGCACATCTGTAATAAACAATCAAAGTATGTTTTTTGCAAAATTTCATCTTTAGGGCAATATAAAACATTTTTCAGTTGTTACCAATGGAGGAAGAATATTATGTGTCACTTCGATCGGAAAAACTTCACAGGACGCGAGAGAACAAGCAAATAAAGTAGCATCTGAAATAGAATTCAGTGGGAAACAGTTCAGAAAAGATATTGGAAAACCATTGTACTACTACATTTTTTACACATTTTTTTTCAAAAATCTTATCATCAGCTTTGCAGGGATACTGTGGCACCATCGCTATCATATGGGGCCAGTGGTGTTAATATTGACGAAGGAAATCAGTTTGTGGAAGATATCAAGTCTCTCGTCAAGAAAACTTTACTACCTGGAGCTAATCAGGTAAGCTTGAAATTTTCGAAAAATTATAGTCTTGCTTGCTCGCAGATCGGAGGATTTGGTGCTGTTCTAGATTTGAAAACTGCTGGATTCAAAAACGACTGTCAATTGGTTGTTGGTATTGATGGTGTTGGCACCAAAATCGAAGTAGCCACCCATTGCAAAAACTTCTCTGGCGTTGGATATGACGTTGTTGCAATGTGTGTGAATGATGTTATTTGCCACTGTGCAAAACCAATCGCTTTCTTGGATTATTTCGTTTGTGGAAAGTTGGACAGATCCATGGCCACTCAAGTACTTGCTTCGATTTCTGACGCTTGTGTAGAGGCTGAATGTTCTTTGATTGGTAAACTGTTGAACTATGGAAAAAAGGACGCACGATTTTCTATTAAACTTTTTGCAGGAGGTGAGACCGCCGAAATGCCCGGTGTCTACAGTACACATCAGTGGGATTTAGCAGGATGCGCAATCGCCGCCAGAGAATCCACTTGGCCAATGCTTCCTCTGTTGACGAGTATTCAAGAAGGTGATGTCATCATTGGATTACCATCATCCGGTTTACACTCGAACGGATTCTCATTGGCTCGGAAGGTTCTTACAGCCAATGGGGTTGAGTATAGTGTCAAGCTACCTTGGGATGAAACAAAAACGTTTGGAGATGAGCTTCTGACAGGAACCAAATTGTACGTGAAAACGGTATTGCCTCTGTTAACTGATGGACTTGTCAAAGGATGCGCTCATATCACAGGAGGCGGGCTTACAGAGAATGCAATTCGTGTTTTAGATGAAAACTCAAAAGTTCAACTGGTGGTAAGCGAATAGGACAGTTTTACTTCACAAGAAACATTTAGATTGATTGTGCCAAATGGAAACCAAAAGAAATATTCAACTGGCTTGCATCTGCAGGTCCAGTTGAGACCAAAGAAATGATTCGCACCTTCAATTGGTAAGACTCCAGATTACCGAAAGAAAATGAAAATTTTTCATTTAGTGGGATTGGAATGATACTTATTGTTGCAAAGGGAAATTTGAACACAATAAAATCCAGAATTGATTCCGAATTTTTCGAAATTGGCCACGTCGAAAAATCAACCGATGGAGAAAAGATAAAATTTCTAAATGAAGGTCAATTATTCGATCATTACAAGTATCAGACCAATCGGAAACGTGTGAAAGTGGCTATTCTGATTTCTGGAACAGGAACTAATATGCAAAAACTCATTGAAAGATCTAGAGCTCCTGATAGCAACTGCGAAGTGAGTTCAAACCCTTCGGAAAAGTCTCTATAATAGAAAAACGCAGGTTGTCGTAGTTGTATCAAACAAAGAAACGGCAGGAGGCTTGAAAATTGCATCTTCCTATGGAATACCAGCAAAATGTGTTCCTCATACCGCTGACCGAGTTACAGGAGAGACTGTAATGGTACAGGTGAACTATTTTATTTCAGTTACCATCAGATTATAGTAAAAAATTTAGGTTCTGAAAGACTATGGTACAGAATTAGTGTGTATGGGTGGATATATGAGAATTATAAGCCCATACTTTATTGCACAATTCCCATCAAGAATCATAAATATACATCCATCATTGCTTCCATCCTTTAAAGGTTTATGCAACCAAAAAAGCATAAACTTTCTGAATTACTTTTTTAGGTTCACATGCATTACAAGACGCTCTGGACTTTGGAGCAAAAGTTGTCGGATGCACTGCGCATTTTGTTGACGTGAGCACAAGACACAAAAATATAGTATCACATCAATGCATCCGTGATTTTAGGAATTGGTGGATCACGGAGATATAATCGCACAACGGCCTGTCATGGTGGAGGACGGCGACACCATCGAAACAATCCGGCAGAAGATACAAGTTCAGGAACATGAGATGTTCCCGAATGCAATGATGGCGGTTGCAAAGAAGATATTGGCGGAATAGAAGTGATAAAGTTTGTGTGGATTCTTATTAATAAAACGTTTATTTTTGATCGAGTTTGTGAAAATACAAATGAAGAAAATCAAGGGAAAATAGAATGCAGAAAGATGGAAATTATAGACAAAAAAGGAATGTGCACAAAATTGAGAAAATAAGAACACTGATAATTCAGAAACCCAGAAACTGTTGTCAAGGTGATCATTCACTTCCGATTTTCAGAACAAAATACTTAGATAAAACTTAGATAAATAACTTAGATACAAGAAATACAAACACGGAAAAAAAGGATATACGATAAAACCTGGAGTAGAACTTATAAATTCAAGCCCATTATTCTCAGTTCCTGTCCAAGATATGAAAAAGTTGACAACTGGTAATATGTTTATTGTGATGTCAGACGTGTTTTGTCAGTTGACACATGTTTGATATTTTTCATAGAAATCGGGATAATTGAGCTTAAAATCAACGGTGTGAGGACATTCCTACAACATTTTATGGTGGGATAGTGAGCAGCTATACATGAACAAATGAGTTCAAAAAATTCGAATTGAGTTTGAAAGCTCGATTGTTGAATTTTTAAGAAATGAAGTCAACTAAAATTTTGTGTGAACTCTATGTACCGAGTGAACTTGAAATGACGAAATTTAACGGTCCACTATATGAAAAGGGAATTTAAATTAAATGATGGTCGTTATTTACTTAAAATCGAAAGAGACTCATTTCGAAAATTGGCCAGTCTAAAATACTTCAGTTGACAGAAGTGATTTTGCTCCAAAAATATTTGAATAATATATTGAAATCCATGAATTTTTTTTTCCTGAAATTACGAAATTTTTTGAATCTTTTTGATTCGTTTACCTGTAGTTATATTACATGGTTAAAAATGATAGGTGAACGATAGACGTCTAAAATGTGCAGAAATATATAATTCTGAAAAAAGGGAATTACTGCCTACATTTTCAAGTTTGAACTCACAAATTTCCTGTAGAAGTGCATTGAATGAACATGGTGATCATAAATGTTGTTTGTAATAATAAGTTATTAAGTTCGAGTGATTTAGTTTCTCAATTCCCATAAACATCATTAAATTATTTTTATTCCTAAAAAATTATTCCTAAAAAAATTTATATTGAGAAAAATGGTGTAGCAAAACATACTCTTTCTGGTGGATTATGTTCGCACTCTTCAAGATATGCAATCAGTCCTTCGAACCCTCCTCTGTGAATATATTGATCGACCAAGTCTGGAGGATTTCTGCTGGTTACTCCGAAAATAGCATATTCCAATAAGCGAGCAACTACATAAACCATGAATTCGGTTTGGCTGATTTCTCCAATAGGAATGTACTCATTCGACACAATCGATCTGATGGCCCATGGTGGTCTTGGATCCGCTGGAAACATGTCGAAAGGCTCTCGATTCCTTGGACCAACAGCAATGACATCTGGCAGATTTAGTGGGTTTCTTTCCTCCTGATCAGCGATGAGATTATTATCATATATGTAGTTTCCATCCCCATTGAATAAAATTCCATCTCCAAACTGAACGAATCGGTCGTGATCAAAGTTGTTCCGACATACTGGGGATGAGAACATAGGAGGGTTCTTGTCAAGTTTCCATTTCAAGTTCGGCATGTAACCAATTCGGAAGCCTTGTTTTTCTCTGCTTCTTTGGTTCTGCGAAGTCCGGTTTCTTGGCCCATCTTCGCTTGGTGGAGGTGGGCTATGTGCGGGACCAACGAGTGAAACCTCTGAATCTGAATCATCTGATTCCGAAATTCCTGCGACGTTTGGAGCATGGTTGATCAATGGTGCACTGGTGGAAGCCAGATCGTTGCTCAGAAATTCATTAGATCCCAACGATGTAGATTCTCCGATCTGGAGTTGCTGAAGTTGGTTTACCACCAGACGAATAGTTTCGTCGGCTGCTGGTTCCGCTGGTCGTTGTGCAACATCTTGATCTAACACGTGATTTACTGGAAAAGATAAAACGCTCTTTTTCAACATCACTAATCAAATCAAATCCTTTCTGTTGTCTAACTCACAATTGTTGTTAATATCTGAAGCTCTTTCTCCAACTGCCACGTCTCCAATTGGGAGCACTTCATCATCAAAGACATTGGGCAAGTCAGCGGTGTCCAAATTCATTGCCGTCAGAAGCTCAATACTCAGCTCGTCGGAGAGCTCGCTCGCGGAGGAAACACGAAGCCGATTGTCTGAAGTGTATTTATACTCAAATAATCTGTCATTATTTTGGGTGTACCTCTAGAATCAGACATGTTATTTTACACGTTTTTTGGAATTTGGAAGATAAAATTACATGCTCTCGAAACTCGCAATAAACCAAATGTTCAGAAGTTTCTCGAAAATTACCTGAAAAGTTAGAGTTGTTCAGTTTGCAAAAAACGTCAGATAGGAAAAAGGTGACATGTTTAGAAATAAGGAAGTATAATATAACTAACTAGTTATCTAGTCTTATTTGAAAATTGAGTCTGGTCTTCGAGATGCCTAAATGGCCATTTTCATTAAAGTGGGACTCTGACCAAAAATCACATTAAAATCTTCTCATTTTTTCGTCTAACATTCCTTTAAAAACTTTTTGGAATCCGAAATCCCCGAAAAACTTTTTTGGAAATATATATCAAAAAGTTGCAAAGAGGAAGGAATGTATGTTCTCGCGCAATGACGCCTAGGCCGCAGTGGCAAGCTGCCCTTTTTTTCGGCCGCCGTGGCCTAGGATTCTCATTACGCGCGAATTCAAATTTTTGCCCCTAGCTATCATTCTTCAGGAAACCTATTATTTTTAGCGCCGTTTTTTGGAGTTTCCGGATAGCTTTGAAATTTTCCGCATCAATATTAGGAAAATACCTAAGTTTTGAACATTTTAATGCAAGTATTGCAAAAAAGATAAAATGTATCAAATCGCTATTTCCGCTGTTTCAGCAGCAATTTCAAACTTTTGAGACGTTCTCTTTTTCACATGATATTCTTTTTTAGCGAGCTTCTGTTGAAACAGTAATCAATTACAAAAATGAAGTTCTATAATTGTTTCATGGTTCCAAAATGCCAGACTAAACAGTCATTTACAAAAAAAAACATTAAGATACCCACGACTATGTATTTTAACTAGAATGGTCATTTCGGGTTATTTTTTTTGAGCCACTGTTAATCGAGTTTTGAAAAGTTGGGAACTAAATGGAAAGCTTGAAAGACCCTGTGCGGAAAAAAAAACGAATAGAAATATTCGTTTTGAGATTCGCTTCTAGGAGACCATAAAAAAGAGTCTCCTGGTTGCTAAGCAAATTTTGCAAAAAAAAAACCCATCCAATAGATGATTTATGTCGGATTCTTTTTATGGCCAAAAAAGCCCCAGCCATCAACTAGCACGGTTGCTACTGGTGAAACAAAAACGAAAATATCGAAAAAAACTAAAAAAAAAGAAGTAGCTTTGTGGGAAATTTGGACTAGTCTAATCATAAGAGTCACCCCATTTCCGGCGTAGGTAGGATGCTCTAGGGAAAGTGGAGTCTCGTAAATTCGAGAAGGATTGAAATACGTTATATACTATAATTAAAGAATTAGAAAGAGCGCACGAAATGAAGATTTGAAAGAAAGAGAAGAGAATAGAAGAAGTCAAAGGAGAAATGAGTCAATCATCACACCCACTAAATAGAGTGAGAAAAGAAGGACCAGTGGTTTTGATGAACTACCAATTTCAAAAAGACGAGAAAAAAAGAGTAAATGGGCGGGGAGCGGAGATTGGGTAGCCACGTCACCAGGTCATTATTCTCCGCCTTCAAGGGGTGCGTTTTTTGGCAGCTCCATTGAGCATACTGTGGATAAATGTGTTTTTAGGGGTTCCGTCGGACTTTGATGGAGTGGTGTAAAGCAATGAAAAATCGAGATGAGGTTGTTTAGAGGGTTTTTTGGAGGAGACTAAATTGGGGAGAAATGTGAAAGGGATCAGATATTTGAAGGAAAATTCGGATAAAAACTGATAATATTATTTGACAAGGCGATGAAGATTTTGTAAATGAGAAAAAATGTTCTAATGTGACTTTTCCGGACTGTTTCGGAAAGTCGAAAATTTGGAATGCCGTAATATTCCGATTCTAAAAATTTCCAAGTTTTAGAATTTCGGAATATTCCTATTTTCAAATTTCAGAATATCGGAAAACTCCGATTTTGAGAATTTTGGATCTTCCGAACACCAAAGAACATTAAATCGAGGAAAAATTGCCCATAGATTTCAAAAAAAAGTAATTTTTCTCGGGACATTGCAAGGGAAAATTTAGCGTGCGCCTTTAACATACTTTCCATAACGAACCCCTCAATAATTCCGATATTATTCCGGTCAGGATTCGATTCCGAAAATGAGCTGCGGAAATATTTTAGGCTGAAATTTGTGGAACTCCGAATTCCGTTCCAAACATCTCTGCAGTATGCTTAAATTTTTAGATCAAACATTTTGATTTCTGTAAGAGATGAAAAATCGGTCTACTGATAAAATATATGTCATAACATCACTAACACTTTCATAAATTGGAGAACTTTTATATTTTTTTACATTTAAGAACAGTGAACCCAAATTGTGAAACTAATTAAGAGGGGAACGAGATATAAGATAGAGACATTGTTTCATTTTTTAATTCAAAATTTCGAGAAACGGTGCATACTTTTTAAGAATGAAAATCAAGTTATATTTCAAATCTAAATTTTTCTTCAGATTCACAAAGTCCATACTGTTCAAAACTTCAGTTCTGCATGATATCCTTTCTTCAGGACATTTTTCAGTCTTCGCCGAAATCCGAAAGTTTGTGTACTGACTAATCGCGAAGGAACCCTATCATTTTCTTGAAATTTCAAACGCCTCTTTCGCTTTTTTTGAAGCTTTGTTTCTCTAAAACTTTTCAATGCTTTTCAGAAACCTTTTCTAAAAAATTATTGAATAAATAGAACAAGTTTATTTATATCAACAGGATGAGAGAAAATAACAGTGTGAGACACGTATTGAATATGAGAGTACCCGGTATGAACTAAAAGACTAGGTTTTGGTATCAAAAATGAAGCAAAGAACAATTTTTCATGGTCGCGTAGAATTCTGAAAACTATGATTCTCCAATTTTCGCAGATTCTTCTTGGCAATTATATTTTCGGAATCAATCATCAATGCGACTCGATATTCTGTTTCCGCCTCTGCCAACCGTTCCATACGTTGGAAAAGAACTCCTAAATTAAATGAATTATGAGTGGCTCAATGAAGAAAAAGTCAGTACCTAGATTTGCATGGTACAAAGCCGAAGTGGGATGTAAATCGATGGCAGTCAGAATATGTTCCTCAGCCTTTTCAAAATCGTTTTGTTTTGCGAAACAAGATCCTATTTGCATGTGGACTCTTGATTCATTTGGAACACTGGATAGAGCTTCAGAGGATAGCTCAAGGACTTCTGAGCACTGATTCAAGTGATCCAATACAACGAATAGGTTGGTCCACGATTGTGTATGGGATGGGTCAACTCTAAAAAACAATTTCGAATTTTGTTGAGATCTAAAAATGTATCATTTTTTCTTTTAGTTTTTGAAACCGATCTCAAGCTCTAGTAATACATCATCAGCTATTTCTATGTATTACATCTTAATCCGCACGTCTTCAAAATTTTCCCATGATACTCACTTTGTAGCATTTCTCCACGCTGACATCGCAAGAAGCTCTCTATTTGTTCTCTGATAAAGAACCCCAAGATTGAATAGGCAGTGTGCCGATCGAGGTCGTAGAGTCAGAGAGTTTTTCAGGGACTTTTCAGCATCTTGATACTTTTTCAAGTTCATCTGAGAAATTCCAAGATTCATCCAGGCAACGGCAAAATTTGGACGAAGAGTTACTGCTCGAACAAGAAGACTTTCTGCGGTTTTACTGTCTCCAGATTTTTCTAATAAGTTTCCAAGATTGTTGAGAGCTTGCTCATATGATGGGTCCAATCTGAAACAAAACAATAAACATGAAAGCGGCTCAAAAAATTTAGATTACTTTATAGCATTCCAGTAGTTTTTCACAGCATCCTTAGTTAATCCATTATCACCCAGAACTTTTCCCATATTGTAATGAATTTTCGCATTCATTGGGCATACTTGGAGCCCAGAGCTGTATAAAGAGAGTTCGCTGTTCCATTCACCACTTCTCTGAAATTACCAAAATAACTTAAATTGATCTCCAAGTATTATTTACTTTATGAGTTTTGGAAATAGAGAGGAGTAGAATTGTTAGTGCTATCAACTCTGCATTCTTGCAGTGACTGCTCAACTTTTTCAAAACCACTGAACACATTAGACAGAATCCGGATGATGGCAGATACAGTATACGCTCAGCTACCGAGAATCCAACCGTGAAGAAAATATTAGATGAAGGTAGGAAAGACAATGCCCCCATCAATCCACCAAACGTGAATACCCTGAAATAAATCAAAATTTTAATCATACTTTAATATGCACACAATGACGGACCTGCATTCGTTTCTAAATTTGACTCCGTTAATTGCTAGGATAGAAATGAGGACAGGTGATAATACGCGCAGGTCGTATAATGAGGAGATTGGGGAGATGCATCCCATCGAATAGTCGAAACAAAGATTAGTGGGCACCACGAGAAGGTAGATGTGGTAGAGCCAAATGTAAGAATAGTTAACAACCTGTGAGAGGGAACGTTGCAAAATTTCACTAACTCAAAAAACCCACTCTATAAAATCGAGAGTCCAAAAATGCTGCCGGATTGTCCAGTTTAGTAAATTTTGCAGATTGAAACCCATTTATCGAAAACCGGAGTAATCCTAATGCAGCAAACAAAAAAGTGGAATGGAGAATTTTCGATTTCGACCAGGAACAAATTATCAAGTCTATGCAAATAGCAATGGGCTGTAAGAAATAAAAACTAAATTAATTCACATTTTTGAAATATCTTTACAATTGTCATGATCCCTTGCTCTTTGGAAAATGTAGATAAAACTACAAAACCAATAAACTTCCAGTTCATTTCAGAGTGTCTGAGGTATGATATCAAAGCAAACATAGAAAATGTTGTCATTAAGAGTTCAGCTCTTCCAGTCATGTTGGCTACCTAAAATAAAAAAAATCTTTTAAAAAAGCTTTAAGAAAAACGCTAACCGCTTCTGTATGAACAGGGTGAACTGCAAATAGTACTGCTGCCGGAAAAGATATTTCAAAGTTGTTGAATTTCTTCTCCAGTTCTCTAGCCAGTTTGTAGAACAAGACTGTAGCGATTCCATGACAAATGATATTGAAAGCATGGTACCCAAACGTAGATGTTCCATGAATTTGATAGTTCAGCCTGAAATTTCAATGGTTCCAATTCTTAGTTTCATTCCACACAAAATGGTTGCATGTCTCATTTTGTCAAACATTTATGAGCTAATGTTTCCTCTTTTCTCAGGAAGTTGTTTAGTAATTTAGGGGGATGAGTAATTTCATGAGACATCCCTCTCTACCAACTAAGATGTTGGCAGATGGTCCGCCGCGAACAAGCACCCAATTGATAGAACGCGTTAACTGAAGAGACTGAGACTTGTAACCCTCTAAGCGCAGTTTTCAGCTCATAATCTGAAGACATCTTGAGTATCGGATGAGCCCCTTGGGAGAAATATCTGAGGTCGACGATAGAGAACGGGTGAAACGAGCGCGGGAAGAGGATGAGCTCATATTTCACATCTTGTTCCTTATTTGCATAATTCTCGCCTGGAAAATTCACGAGGAATAAAGATACATTGAGAAAAAAAGCAAAATAGCTGAACATAAAAGAAAGGAGAGAAGCCTTGAATTTTTAAATATCCCTGAAAACAATTTGTCGGAAAAAAAGCTTTCATCCTTTTATGTGGCAGTGAGGTTCTTTATACTGATTGAAAAATCAGAAGTTCCAAACAAAATCAATTTTCAGCAAGATTTCTTCATCTGCTTTCTATTGATTCATTCTCAGTCATCTCAAAACTACCGTAAGACTTTTTCACGCGTTCCAAACAAACTCCCAGTAAACCAAGAGACGCCAAAAGTACTATCTCATGTCAAGACGCATCAAACGTCAAACTCAATGGGCAATATAGCACTTTGTACGAACATCCGTCAATCAATCAGACCTCGCCTCTTGCTCCAAACCTCCTCCCTAAACGCGGTAAATTTATAGTAACCAAGAGTGCATGAGAGATGGTCATAAATTTTGCCACACCTGACAAACATCTGTCCCATGTCTCCTTCTTCGCGCATCGCCATCTTTCATTTTTCCCTGAGAGTGACACCAAGTGGTTTTGGAATAATCCATCCACATCTCCCATTTTTCTATCTGGTTCCCTAAGATAGATGAGAGGACCAGAAAGGAATTTTAATTTCGAGTTTAGCATCTTCCCCTCTTGTCAACAAGAATTTTAATATCAGAGAAATGGATGTCACACTTCTATTTCTTAATATCCGCGCTCATCTGAGCAATAAATGTAATTGGTATCCATCCTTGTCCTTTTATTGGATATACAAGTGGAAATTCGAGAAAATTAGGTGTTCGATATGACTACCAACACGCGAACATGTGTTTTGGTTTCTTTTTTTTCCCGTCAATGTTTTTTTTTCTCGGGAGCAGTTCCGGAGGTGGAGAAAATTGGTTGAATCTTCTCTTTCTCTCCCTCCCTGACTAATGCAATAGCTACTCTTGGAATCAGAAAGAAAGAAATCTTAACTTTTTGTGTGTCGAGAGAAGATTTGCATTTTATGACTTTCCTACGACTCGACGGCACATTTGATGGAATTGAAACAAAAGAAGCGCCGACTTCGATACGTAATCCAAGTGAAACAAGAAATGGTGGATGCCTTCTTTTCAATGTTGTTGTACTAAATGCACGCCTCATTGATTCCAACGACAGCGCGACTCACCTAACTTGGTAGTAACTAATGTGCCGGAATTTTCAAAATGACTCAAGTCACTTTTAGAAACTTTTTGAAAGTTGTAACTAAAATGTTTATTTTGGATAAAGATTCCAGTTTCGATAAAACATGGTCTTCCAAATTTTTAAATAAACTTTTATTTGAATCCCGATTTTTAAATCCAAACCTAATTTCACATCTCTTGACCCAAAATCTGGGACCAAGTGAAAATCTGGCGGTTAGATGAAATGTCACGATTAGAGTGAGTGGCGTTTGAAAAATTGCATAGAGTCATCGGTGTGAAGCATCAATCTCTTTCCTTTCTTCCACCGAGGAGCTTCTTTTTCGTTTAATCCCATCTGCACACACTTCTTCAGATGTGTTCACGAGCCATTAGCGCAGGAAACGATATATCCGCCAACACCCCCGGTCCAAACACACAGGCCTCCCATACGATCATATTTCATCTTCACTCTTCAAATCTTCCCCGATTTTGGTTACGTAATGTCTTTTCCACACATGTGTCCAAGATGCGAAACCATAACCCGAAAACAGGAAAAGCGCATGATGTGGAAGCAGAAGGAGACAAAAAGAGCATTCCAAGAAGAGATAATAAATATTTGATGGAACATAAACGCGATATATCTCCTAACAAAATGCAGAAGGAGTTTTGTGGTCCCGACCATGTGTCCTTTCCTTTCTTTTTTCTAATAATCCCTATAATTTCGTGTCCTCAAGAATGAATAGAGTGGCAGGTGTAGCCTCTCTTCACAAAACAAGCGTATTGCGTAACGCTAAACTGTCAAGACCTTTTTCACACCCCTTCCATCAAATTGTTTGAAAATCACTCACCAGAAAGTGAAGGTTGTCACTGGACGGTAGCTTTTGTGGCTGTGAGTTGAAGCGATAGGATGACCCCAGAAGTCACGCGAAAAAATCTGTAAGTTTTATTGTAAAAATGACAGTCTGATAATAAGAGCGGTTTTTTGATAGCTATTCCCAATTTCTAAAAAATGCTCCGGCTAATTACTATCACAGAAATTCCAAAATCCCTTCTTAAAAATTCACCTGTATCAGTGAATCCTTTCCGTTGACGATAGAATTGTTCACAATAGATTCAGCATCATCAAACACAAAATCTCCATATAAGCACGAAAAGTACGGTAGCACTGATAAACTGATAATCACTAGCAAATTTCGTAACTCATGAGATTTTCCTTTATCTTTCTTGCTCCTCGGAGTTACCTCCCAAGGAGTTGGAACTTTCGGGTGAGCGTGTTTTTTCATTGTTCAACAGTGCATTTCTGGAATGATGAGAAAAATGAGAAAAAGTGAAAAATCTAAATTTTCAAAAAAGATTGAAGAAGAAGGTTTTAATATTCGAGAGTGTCAAGAAGATGACCAAAATGAAGCAGATGTGGGCGGAGCTTCAACGAAGGGTTCGGGGGTGAGAAGGAGGAGATGAAGGAGGACACAACAAGAAGAAAAAGTAAAGAAGGGGTTGACCACCAGCAGTTATGTATATGTTCATGAATATTCAGGAATAATCTCAGTCATTGGTCCTTGTTGTTTTCTTTCGGAAAATGGAAAAACCCGAAAATTTATGCATTGCGAAAATGAAGGAGGATACCGTTGTCGCAGCAGCAGGACGACAAGAAATGGGCAACACTGAAGTGACACTTGAGTATTCAGAGCTTTGAGGAGGGTGGGGTCTGAGAGAGAAAAAAACCTTGGATTTCGAAATTTCAGACACCATGATCAGAAATAAATCGTAAACACTTTAATAAAAATTATAAAGCAGTAAAAGTGGAATTTATATACTTTTCTGTAGAATAAAATTTTTAAAGTCAACTGACGAAGTTCATCCTAATATTAGAAATGTTGTGTCAGTTGATCACTGTTCGATATCTTTCTCAGGAATCGAGACAAATTAGCTCAATATTGAGAATTTTAGTTGGGATTCTATTAATTCATTTTGAAACCAGCAAAAAGTAAAAAGCAAAAAAAAACACAAAAACACAATTTTTGGTCAAAATTATTTCAACATTTTTCATTGATAAATTTTAACATTTCTCATTGATTTGATAAAAATGCCGACTGCAAAAAAAATTTATCTTTTTCGCTGGTTTCAGGAAAATGCATCAGAAAAATGCTTGAAAATCAAGTGCACATTGATTTGACAGACAGTTGAGAATTTCTAGTTTTTAGATTCGACCTTATTTTCCTGTAATCTTATCTCCGTTAATAATAACGAATAAACGAAAATACTGTAGATAAGAGAATAACACATTTGAAAAAGAAAACAACCAATTACATATTCTCTCTAGAAAAATGTAAATGTTTTCAACGAATATTTTCTCGACGAGAAGGAAGTCAAATCAAAATTCACTAAAAACCTCACACACGATAATTACTTGTTGTGGGTAAGCGCGTGGAGATTTGTGAAAGGCCTGAGTGCAATCCGCGAAAGAGCACGTCGCCTATTTTGCGCATCTTTGTAATCCGACGGAGGTCACCTTCTTGATGAAGTGGTTATGAATAGATCCTTCTCTCCCGACCACTCTCATCCTTTTCAGCAAAACAAAATTTGATCAGCGTGTCCTCTTCTTCTATAAATCTAAAAGGAAAGGGAAAGTGTGAAACAACAATGGGTACTAGCAAATACATGGAGAGAAAACTAGCTGTCGGAGAAATCATGGAAAAACGTTGATGAGGATCAAAAGTGACAGATTGATATGAGGAGTCAAGCAGTGCGCATACATGTTTCCGGTGTCGAAGTACTACAAGCAAGCTACCCAATTCGGAAGTGAAGAAACTACTCGGCATCCGGGCGTGTGCCCCTTTTTCGCAAACAACGACAATCTCAATAAAATTGCTCATTTGATTGTTGCTTCTACGAGGGGCGGGATTCCTGAAATTGTTTGGTTGGTTTTGCTTCTTTTAATTTTGGACTTTTGGAAAAAAAATAGGGAAATGGTTTCGAGAAAAATTTAATTTCGTTTCGACAGCTCGCTGAATCTTCTGACGAAATTCTTGGGAATCGGAAGCTGCAATGAATCATCAAGAGAGGTATCACTCCCATTTCAAGTTTGTACTTTTCTTTTTGCCCATCTCAAAGTTTGCTAGTTTTCTTAGTTTCCTTTCTCGCTCGAAAAACAGAAAGCCAATTTCTGTTTTTCACTTGAAGTACCACCAAAAGTTAAACAAATTGCCGAGGACAGAAGAAACTAATAAAGTGAAGAGACCACCCGGACCGGGACCACAGAATGCCCAGGAGACAAGACAAAAGAGTAGACAAATTGGACAAGCAATCGACGGAGACTTAATGCAGTTAGCATAAGGCTCTGAAGAAGAAGAAGAACAAGTAAAAGAAGAAGGAAGAGTGGGAAGTGAGCATCTTCTGGATTGACAACCCCAGGAATAAACAATCTGCGTGGAGACACGAAACATCTCGAACGGATGTTCCCATCTCAGACTTATTAAAATTCGGGAAAGTGGTAAGGCTGGTTTTGTTGGATGAGATGAATAGAGATGGTTGTTTAAAATTTCTAATCAAGTCCGTTAGTTTGAGAAGATGAGAAGATACATACGGTAAAACCTATAACAGAAGAACATTTCAAAAGAAGCTGAAAAAAGAGTTTTGGGTGAAAGTATTGACTTTAAGCTGTTATTCGAGTTTCAAATTGCAGTACAAGGCAGCATGCTATCTGGATATAGATAAATAAACTTAAATTAAGAATGAACAACTGCGTAACCCGGTTGGTAAGTAATGAAAGTTTGCGGAAAATCTTCAATAACCACTAATTGAGAAAAAAAACCTAAAAACATGAATAATCGCATTGTCCTGTAAAGTAAGACCTTGAAGAAAAACGGTCCGAGGTTGTACGACAATCCATCTTAAATGTGCCAACTAACCGTTTTTTCTTTTGTTTGCCTCACACGGAACGCATGCGCGAAGGAACAATTCATTCCGTCAATGACAAGTGGTAAGAAAGAAATAAAGAACGATTTATGTGATGGGTTAGGGTAAAAGGAAATTGAAATAGAAAGAAAAAAAGGTGATGAGAATGAGATGAAAAACTGCGAAACGGAAATATATTTTTTTTTAGTACTATAAATTTGAAGACAGTATAAAACGAGTTTCTCGCTGTTTCATATGTTTCAAAATGAGCATTTTCCGTCAAGAGACAGACGTCGCGGCAAAATCAAAGAAATGCAAAAAGGGTTGCATGTGTCGCGTTGGATTATAAAGATAAATGTCACTGGCAGTTCAAAGCTAACACCAAGAAAATTCAAAACATCAAACAGCTTCTTGATTTCAGTGTGATGCGCAGCATTGTGCAGGAACACATGTTGATACACTCGGAACCACTTGTAAACAAGCAGACGGTTACCCATCGTTGTCCACCCACCCACTTCTCATTCTATTATACACGCATCATCATTATGAGTGTTCTTCTGCTAGTTGTAGAGAGTATGCTCCTTTGCATGTTGAGGAACAAAGATGTTGAAGAGGGTGATTTGAAAAACTAGTTTTTCTCAAAGAAAAAATTTCTGGGGTTTTTGGATTTTCAAAACTTAATCAGATATTTCAGGTTATCGTTTTTTGAATACACTTCCCATCCTGATTGCATTCTAATCTAGATGTCCGAAGCCGACCTATATGCACACCTAAAAATAAACACAATAGGGAAGCGGATGATGTGTTTGTGTGTTCATCTGCACCGTAACCATCATCATGTCCTCCGCACTAAAAATCCCCCATCCGCTTTCTCATTTCTTCCCTTCTGTCCGGTTTATTATTACGACCTAATGATGAAATTTTGTGCGCTAATATCATAAAATCCACAACACAGTGAGTCCCGATATTTTCTTATACGGAAGTGCTCCCTTTGATAGACTTCTACTTTAATATTAGAGATCAGAAATTTTGAAGAATCGAGTGTTTTGAGTTATCAAGTTTCCTGTATTTTACAGAAGATGTCTTACAATCACCACAACCAATCTCAGGGCTACGTCCCTTCCTATAACTCTCAGAACACCGGTGCTGCATATATGGCTAGAAGAGGTTGGGGCAATGAGAGTGACAGAAATACAACTATTTCTTTCTCGTCAAAAAGCAGGTAAATTGGGAAATTTGTTATATTGTAAGAAAAGATTTTTTTAGTTCTAAAAGGATATACATAACTTTGTTTGTCATGCTGGTACTATTATTGATAGCTGCAATTGTGATCATCATCTTATTTGCGTCTGGAGGTAAGCTTAAAATTATTTTTCTGTCGAAAATCAGTTTAATCGTTGATAGGTTTCTGTATCAGACCTGGATTACTTTTTATGATGCGAACTGGTCCCAAGGTTAAAAAATTCATTTTTATCAGTTTGAATTTTAAAATATTTTTTGAAAATGAAAAATAAAACCATATTTCTATTATTTTGTTTTCAGTCTTCCACGGCGCTGATCCACTTCAAAACCCCACAAGCTCACCAATTCTCAACCCGACATTCCGGCCTCCAATCAACAACATTCCCACTTTCTCACCTATATTTTCCCAAGTATCTTATTCTATTTTTTAAACATTTTCTTTAAATAACTATTCCAGAATCAATCCTATACCGGATCATTTTTAATTCAACGAGAAGCCAGTGATGTCTACAATTTTAAAAACACCAATCAATATTTTAACGCTTTCAACATTATGCAAAATGCTGTGAGCGCTCTTTTGTAAAGAAAAACGGTTGTGACTCATTAGGTTTTTTATAGCTCGACAACATTTTTGTGACTTCCACTCTTCGGCCATATGCTGCACAGGCAAGACTAATCGATTTGCGAAACAGGTGAGCAAACTGTTCGTGTTTTTTATTTCATAAAAAAAAAAATAATTTTCCTTGCAGAGGGAATGATCTGGCTGTGTTGTTTGAAGTGCATATGCTTGGTGGAGGTAATGTGGATCAGAATACAGTAGCTGATGTCGTGAGGTAGCTTTTGAATGTGTAGATATAAATGATATTAATAATGAATTCAGAAACAACTTGGGAACACTAAGAAACCAACTCGGCGGCAATGCACAAATTGATTTCAATTCAGTATCTGTGGTTCGGTTGTTCACTTTCTAGAAGAAAAATTCGTCAAATCAAAAAAAAAAGACGGGTTGTGTTCCAGAAAAAAAATACATTGAAATAATTTTTTTATTGGTTTACAAATAAATTATTAAAAACTTTGATATTTGAAGGCTGTTATTTTGTAATCTGTAATAGAATGAGAGAATTGATTCTAGCGTTTTTACTCTGAACTTACATAGTAGTATGTTCCGGCCATTGGATTACCCAACTGTTTTCCTGTTTCTGTTCCTAGAAACTCTGTAAACGTAGTGTAATTTGCATGTAAATCATTCCAAGTTTGTGGGTGTCGTTTTGTAATTCGGAACTTTGTTTTAAACACGAGGACGATGTATAACCGGCGGACTGAAAATGTGAAATAAACTTTTCTTGCTGGATATCACAGATTTTACTTTGTCTGCTAGAAGTTTGATCTGATTGAATGGTCAGGACTCGATTCATGTTTCTGAAGAATACCCCTTCATCCCAAACTGGAACGGACAAATCGATTTCCCTGGATAATGAAGATGGTCTATTGTAGTAGAGGTTCATAGATTCAGGATTTCCGTGAGGATCTTAAATTTTGAAAAAAAACAAGGATAATGGGAAGGGACTTCTAAAACTCACTGAACAAAACCAATACATGGAAGAAAAAGTTAGGCATTGGCTCATGGAAAAGGAAAACCTAAAAATTCAAGACTTTGTTAGTTCAACAAAAATTATTACCTTCTTCAAGTAGACAGGTTCCCTAAATCTATAAGGCAACATTGCAAAATGGTCGCCAGTTCTGATTTCTGGGGTGTTTGATTTGCTTTTGGTGGGGATGTATTCGTTGAGAACAACCTGGAGAAATTATTAGTGATTTGAAGTCATAAATTGCCTCACATAATCAATCCCTCCACTAGGAGCGATGGGAACAATTGATGGAGATAATTGTGTCACATAGAATATTGGCATAGACAAGTTTGATGACATTTTGTTGATTCCAACCTTAGTTTCATAGAAAACTGAAATTATTTAATTATGAAAAGAAAATCTTTTATTTTAAGTTACCATTTTCAAAAGAATCCAAGGTGCTCGTCTTACAACACAAGTGCATATTGTATGTCGTAAGCATCTGGTGGTTCACAGCTTGCTCACAGGTGTACATCTCTGGACATGCTTTGTCTTCAGATGGATCACAAAGGAGAACCGATGGTAGATCATAAGAAGAAGCTCCGTAAGGGCATACTAGAAGCTCAGGAAAAACATAAAATCATTGCAATTAATTAGTCTCACTTGGTTTCACTTGTTCTGGAATACCAGGTGGATTGCTCAAATCCTGTGGTACATCTGCACAACATCTATGATCGTTTGTGACTTTTGAAAAAACACAGCTTGGATTACGGCCAGTACACTCTATGGGATCGTGTGGTGTACATTTTACACCTACAATTATTTACGAAATTCGTAATTACGCAAATTGAAATTACCGTCATTCATGACTTCACTGCACATTGAATACTGAGCAAGAACGTTTTGATCATGGGTTTGCCAAGGAAACGGGCAAACTAAAAAAGAATTGTATAGAACAAAAGTACATTGGAAGAAATAACTCACTATCTTCAGTATCCTCTTCACCGTCTTCTTCTTCTTCTTCTTCAACTTGTTTGACTTTCGATGGTTTTTCCTTACAAAATACTACAAAAACAATGAACCAAACCACAACAAGAACAGATCGCCGCATGATTTTCAAATTTCTATTTGAGTAGAATATGGATAGCTCAATATGGTCATTCACACTTTCACCTCCGAGCTCCGTGCCGAGTGTTTGACTTTTGGCTGATAACTGGATGACCAACACCTCGACATAATAATCGCGAAGAAGGGTTTGGCCAACATCTTTTTGCGCGGTCACGAAGTGCGAGAGTAGGGCCCGAGATAATTCTCTCCTCAAACCAATTTTGGAACTTTCTTTTCTTCGGCCAGCGGTTTGAATTTGAGTGGTGGTGTTGATCAAACTTCACACATGTTTTGGATTCCCATATCAACATTAATTTTTATACGATTATGTGTATCTCAGCCGTCAATCCCTCCACCAGAACGACCAGGTGAGTAGAACCATGTAAATTTTATTTTTGAAAAAAAAACAAAGCGTTGCAGAATGCAGTGAAAGTTGGCAATCACCAGATTTGACCTACGTTCCATCCATCAACCAGTGTTCCGATTACACCTCCGGTTTGTGACATGACGAACATTTTGGGAGTAGAATAGTTTTAGTTTCATTGGGGTGCAAAGCTCTCAGCGGTGCTAAACCCACAATTCGCGGGTAAAAGAATTTAGGTTTTCAGATATTTTGAACTCCCGCATTGAGGATTTTGTACCAGCTAATTTTTTGTACTTCAATGACTCCTCAATTTAATAACCTCTGAACTATTTTCCTTGTAAAATTCAAAATTCATTCTATCACCAAATCGAAAATTTAGGAGCCGGAGTAATGTGTCAACCAAATAACCCTTTCACTTGCACTGGACGGAACCCATTTTGTGCAACCGCTGGAGACAAGGCATTCAAATGTTGCAGTGATATTATCCAGGACTCTACGGAACTTTCTAGATTAAACGCGTCGCAAATAAAACCAAGTAGGTATATCTTACAGGGTACTTCAAAACCTTGCAACGTCAGATTTCAATTAAATTTCAGTATAGGCTAAGAATATCAAATCTAGACACTTCTGAAATTTTTAGAAACCACTCGACAGTTTCAGCCGAGTTATATCAGTTAATATCAGTGAAAAAACAACGATTTTCAAGGACGATTTCTCCATACTTGTAATCCGGGCCTTTGCCGAGCCTTCGCGGGCCCCTGCCATTGTATGATAGAGCTCCAC